TACCGTATTATAGTAATATAATTAAATAGGCTCTACATGTTTTCTTTAATAATATTTTTTATAATAATATTTTTTTATGTTGTATCGATTTTCTCGGTTTTCCAGATTTTTCATATTTACGGAGAAAACTCCGGAGAAAATGGAAAAATTACCTTTTTTAAGTACCTTTCCAGTGAAATTTTCTGTCAGAAACATCGCTATCATTCAAAGTTGGAGCAAGTCCTCTGATAGAAAAGTTGTCCACAGAAAAAAAAATCGTAGTATTTTAGTAATATATTTCGTACATTTTCCCGATTTCTTTCCGTTTTTTATTTAGATTTTTCAAATTTATGACAACACCTGAGAAAATCGAAAAATAACCTCTTAAAAGTACTTTCTTTTTCCGATTTACCAAGTTCCTTTCAGAATACGAGCTACACTTAAAAATCTGAGCAAGTCTTCTGGTAGAAAAATTGCTCATAGATAAGAAAAAAAAAACAACTTTATAAAAACATAAGCTTCTTCGCTCCACTCAGAGTCTAAAAAAAAAGGCATTGAACGTATTTAAAATTCACACTACCAATATTTAAGGGGATTTCATACAAGCAATTATCATGGAATTTTTGTGTTCATCGACTCTAAATAAATAAGTTCCTTTTTATATAAGTTTTAAAATGGTCGCTAATCAAAACAGAAAAAAATATACAATTTACAATTCACAGTGATTTTAATATAATTTTACTCGTTAAAATATTAAAGACAACAAACATTTTACTTTGATTTTATACTTTAATGAGACTATAGATATTCAATATTAAAAAGCGGTCTTGTTTACAATTGTTAAATCATGGTTTTTGTATGAATGATGAATATTTGTCTAAGCGAAAATGTCATTCCCTAGATAAATTTGTGTATTGTATTCATTAATTGTTATAATATTCAGTTTACGAAAAACCGTACTCATTTCAAGATAAAACGATCAATCGACATAATTTTTTATGTTCAAAAAAACTCGTGCTGTCATTCTCTCTAATAAATATGTGTATTTCTTAATGTGTCTAAAACACTAAGATTGAAATTTAAAATTTTTTGACGTAAAAGCTTCGAATAATTTTAATTACTTATTTATACGGCAGCAAGTAAAGGAAATCAATATGATAATGATATGTAATCGATACTTGCGGTATTCGCGAATCGTATCCCGATATCCTTTTACCACTTATTATTTTCCTTCCCATCGAGAACTACAGTCTATAATAATATATAACCTTAATTAAATAATTAAACCTTTATTACTTAATAACGTTCTAGGGAAATCCGTCATAATATACGGTTGTACAAATGTCAAACACAAGAACATTATATGCCCGATATTATTTAAAGGATCATTTTCTTTGTTCATAGGTTATTTTCTAAGCTGAAAAAATTAGGCAACTCAATAATATTCGAAAGTTCACTTGCAAATAAATTTACAAATGGTCCGGTGTCATATCCACGTGAAATTTGTCTAAAAACGTGTTTACGGTGAAATAAAAAAATGTAGAAATATATTATACCCTAAATGATTTTAAAAATAAAACATCCAAGTAGGTAAGTATCTAAAGGTACCAGGTTTTAACAATTTCACAGGAAGGCTCACTCCCACAATTTTATAAACACACAGAATATTAGAACCGTGAAGGGCTGAGTTCCATTTTACTAAGCTCATGGGGGGCTATAGCTTTAGAGGCCCCCTGTACACGGCATCCCTTTAAGTATCTATTATAAGATTTTCCAATGTTTATTATTATGTTGAATCAATAAAAACAATTTTTTTAATTTATAACAATAGAAAATATGGTATCATACCCGAAACATTCCAATGCACGATATTGTCTCTGTCTACATGCATTATTTATTTGCGAGAATTTATTTTAAAGTTGAATCCTGCATGTACCTACACATAACAGACAAAGATTTTATTGTAATAATACTTATATTTTGAAACGCCAGTAAATTATGGTTGTTCAAATACAATTCCACAAAGGAAATTTTGGTTAACCATAAGAGGTTTTTAGAATTTTAAATGCTCGTAGAAAATAATTTATGGGTAAACATTTTTAAAATGTATTGAATTTATAAAAACATATATGACACGAAAACCCGATATCGAAACCCTCTTGTATTAAAAATATTATATTATATGTCAATTTTGAATACACGAAATGACAAAATTACACTACAAAAAATGATAAATATCATCTTTGAATGTGCACTATCGTAGCTAGGGGACCAACAATTATTTATTTTTTTAAATGTATTCGAACTCCTCAACTCCATCAGCTATATGATAACTAAAAGCCGCAATGTAGGTACAAAACTCAAATAAATAATTATGTTTTTATAAGTGGAATAGAAAAACTATATTTTTATAGGAGTCCGCAGACTTTTTCCAGGGAAGTGGACAAAATTAATTTAAAAAATGAATTACGATTTTTAATTACCTATCCGTACATTTCCATGTGCTTCAAATAGAATTTAAAACCCAAGAGGACAATCCCCCCCTTCGAGACGCCCATGAATATTGTGTTTTTGACAATCACACTAAATTGTTGGACAATTTTTATTTTTATTTATGTGAAAAACGGAATTAATCTCAAAATATGTCGACAATACTATTCTATTATTATTGTTTAAAAATGTTTATGGATTCTAAAACTATTTAGAGAATTATTGAGAGCAGGATTTCGGAATATCTAAACAATTATAATAGTGGGATTTCTTAACATTAATAAATCTTTAGCGAAATCGTTTTAGTAATAAATTAAAAATTGACCGAAGTAGCTTACATATACCAATAAAAGTTTAAAGTTTAGCCAAACATAAAATAGATTTTCAATTCCCCTCAATGACACAAGTTCATTCCTAAAGTTTGGTCGTTTAAACTCAGGATCCCTGAATGTAAGGATTAAAGCAAAACTCAATGTAATTGTTGAGGTAAATGTTTCTCCAAAATAAATGATTTTTTATAATAAATACTAAATATTTATTAATGCGAATTTTTACTTGGAACCTTTATGATTGATTAAATATTATATTAGTTTAAAAATTTATTAATATGAATAGTAAAATATTTTATTTTCCTTCACCCTCGCTTATCCATAATTGTACACATTTTATAAACCAAAAATAAAAACAAAACAAAGAATGTATTATGCATTTGTATTAACTTAAAAAACTAATAAATATTACAGCAATTTATAAAAGGGGAAAAGCAACTCTAATTAAAAAGTTTTGTTTTTTATTACAATAACAGTAAAGTAGATAGTTCGAAAAATCAATGACTATTTGCAATTTCCGAAATCTGATACAAAGTTCGAAAATTTTTAAATGTTTCTAAAATGTATATAACTTTTGTAGAACATTAAAATGATTTATGTAATAATTGGAAAAACTTTCTTTCCTTTATGGGAGTATTATTTTCCTAATTTCAACAAAATAAACTTAAATCGATTTTGTTAAATATTGTTATGTGATATCAAAAATGGCTCCGTATTTTCTGTATAGGTTTGTTCAAATTATTTAGAAATTTAAAAGAAAACTATGAGTATAATGAAAAGTTACAAAGAAATAAATTCGTTCAAGTGTCATCTGTGTTCAGTTTCTAATCTTTAGACGGAAATAGGAAAATACTTTTAAAGCACTCTTACTCGAAACAAATATTATATAAAGCTAAAAAATCGAAACATCTATCCTTGTAAAACTAAAACAGATTCCCGTTTTCGTTAAAAATATTAAACATAGTCAAGAAATATTAATTTTTTAATTTTATTATCGTATGTACTCGTATACATGAAAAAGTTTAAAATTAATTTAAATCTTTTAAGAGGCAAATTTTAGATTGTAAATGGTTTTTTTTTTTTTTTTGGTATATTACTACGTGCAATTTTAGTGTAATTTTATAATTAGTATAATATTAATACTATACTTTAACTGAGATTTTAGACTCTATGATAACATTGTCAAGGATTACCAAAGAAAAACAGTACTTAATCCAAAAATCAAAAGTGGGAGGGTACTTTTAATATAAAGTGCACCTAAATAAATCCTCTAAAAATAATTCTTAAATCCATCTCTAGTGCTTACAAAACATAGTATATCACTCGCGGAAATTAGGATAAATTACTCATATTTGAGAAAAAGGTACTGAAAATATAAACCAAACAGTCAGAAATGAAACGATTTTGTTTCACTGGCGTGATTACAAAAGGAGAAAATAAGTAGATTTTGAAAAGTATTGAATAAGAAACTTAAAGTGTTTTTTAAATCCCAAGCGATAAAGATCATTGGTCACGTGATGTGAGATGAGAAAAATATACGTCTTCAAAATGTACTAGTCAACAAATAACCGAAAAACGTCACTAGGAAAAACCCCAAAAAAAGCGATTTTATCGAGTTAATGAAGATTTCAAAACGGCGAACAAGGCAGCAAATCTAGATGAAACTGTAAAGGATCTTAATGCCCTGTAAGGCATTAAAAAAAATTATGAGACCGTTTCCTAAATTACTTGTATTTTTATGAGGCCTCACTCAGTGTAAAAAATACCGTTCCACACGATCCAGAAATATACATTTTAAGTACCTACTAATTTTAATATAACATAGTAATGTTCCCTGGTCGGTTTAAGAATGTTTTCTAGATATAAGACCAGTATACATTTTAAGTTTCAACGTAAACATATCGGTGAAACATTGTCTAATACTTCCACAAATATACAATAAAATTAACTGTATCCACATTTTGTAATATAATACAATATACAGTAGAATCCGCTTAATGAGGACACATTGGGCGGTAACCTATTTGTCCCCATTATCCAACTGTCCCGATTAGCCGAACTGACGAAAAAAAAAACTTTGAAAAAACTTAAAAAACTTTATTTAAAAAATATATACATACTTGATTCATACTTTATTTAAAAATTAAATATTATTATTATTATTATTATTATTATTATTATTATTATTATTATNTACATTATGTACATACTTAATTCATATTAGGTTGCAGAAAATCGTCCATTCTTCTTTGCTGTAATTTATCAAGACTTTGCTTATTGATAAAATCTGCATAAACATCTAGTGAAGTTGTTGGGACATTTTCGTTTCCATTTTGCATGAAATATAGTCTCAGCTGATCAATGCACTTTTCTGCTTCTCTTGTAATTTTGACGGGTTGAACGTCGTCATTTTCATCACTTTCTTCATTTTGCAGACTTCTCTCAGCAATTTCGTCAAGAATATTATCGTAATTCTCATTTTCATTGAAGCACTGCACACCATCATCAATTTTTAAAAATAACTCCCCATTTCCTACGCATTGTGCTACATTATTTTCAATAGAAACAAAAGAAGGAATAGGTAGATCAATGAGTGTTCTGAAACCGCAATGTGCAAAACAATGCTGAATCGTAACAGATGACACTTTTCTCCAGCTGTCAGCGACAAATTGTATAGCTTGTAAAATATTTATTTTAGAACTTTCCGGTAATTTAGTTAAAGACCATTCATCAGCTCCGTTTGAATCAGCACTTGATTTATCTCCGTGAAATCGTTTGAATTTAATATTATTCCGATCCTTCCAACGACTCATCCAACCTTCTGTGGCCTTAAAATTACCATGTCCAATTTTTTCAGCAAAATATTCAGCTTTCTGCTGTAACATGGGGCCCGAAATACGAACACCACGTTCTGTAACAGCAGAAAACCATTCGTTCATAGCTTTGTCTACTTCGGGATCTTTGCCTTCCCGCTTTCTTTTTTTGTTTACAGGTGCACTATTGCTGTCCGTTTAATTTTTCCCATTGTTCACGAATAGCTTTTTCATTATTTTTCAATCGGCTTAGTACCGATTTAGACATGCCTATTAATTTCTCTAACTCACGAAGACTATGAGGTTGAGCCTTAATTTTGTACAAAATGGAAATTTTTTCAACCAATGTCAAATCTTTACGAGACATAATTGTTACGCATTAACACAAACTGGGATCAATAAAAACTTTAATAAACACACATACGTTAATACACAAAGACAAAAGAACGTGAACTAAAGGTTATCGATTTTGTACGTAAGCTAGTTGACTCTTATCGTGGTAGTAGAAGATAAACGTATATTATATTTGTACATATACGGACGTATATAAAATATAATAGAGCCATAAAGATTAGATAATTACAGTTTCGATAAGAAAGTAGATAATTTAGGTCAGAATACCTAGTTAGACACTTTTATTTTTGTCCCTTATAACCGATGGTTTGTCCCCAATAAACGAAGTTAAATTGCCTTAAACGAATACATTCGTTCGGGACTATGCCAATTTGTCCCCATTAAGCGGTTGTCCCTTTTATGCGGTGTCCCAAATAAGCGGATTCTACTGTATATATATTATATTACCTAATTACCTAACCTAACCTCGTTCTGGCCACCATAATGCGCGCATTGCTGACACGCCAGTGACGATAGGCAATAGGTTACCCATTGTCACTGGCCACCCGCCCAGAAATTATCTGCAAGCCCATAAAAACATCTATAAAACATATCTTATTAACTGTTGTTAACTGTGTTTAACAAAAAAAAAATATATTTAAATTCATGTAACTTGGCATATTGCGTTTCTGGAATGTATTTGGAACTTCTAGGTAAATTCCATAATAATGTTTCAACATTCCTTCGGAATGTTACTTAAACATTATAGAAACTGTTCTTTGCACAATGCGTGCGGACGATCTTTATTATTGGTCAATGACATATTTTACAGTAAAGGCCCCATGATTCGTAGTAGAGTAAACCGAATTCAATTATCATTATTTTGTTGGAAATAAGAAGATATTTTACAGAACACATTTGACTTGGATTTTGAAAATTATATTTCTAAACACAATATATAATAACTATATTCTCTATACACTAATTATTAGATTTAATATCCAATCTTTTTGTTATGGTGTTTGGTTAGAAGATCGAAAATCGAAATCTAATGCACCGCTTAGAAAGTCATCCCCTTCCCAAAAGAAAAAAAAAACTTAAATTAAAACACTCTACAGGGAACGAGAATTTTTCCTGTAAAGCATGTTTTATCAAAAAATAAAACAGGCCCTTTAATATAAAAACTAAAATGAGCTATTTGAAAATGTTAATAATTCGTTCTTTAAAATTGTTAATAATATGTAAAAATCCATCCTAGCTATCAGACTCGTCTTTCTAAATAATAAATATTATTATACGCAGTAATGACTTTTAATACATTTAAATGCGAACTTTTAATCAGCAGACAACTTCTACGGTTATATATTTTTTTAGTTTAATGTTTTGAAATGTTTCTCAATAAGTCACAAATCGTGTACCGTGTATAGAGACATTTAATGCAACAAAACTCGACATTTTATAACGCCACCCGCAGTGCAGTGTTTGAATCGGCAAACGAATAAATTGGCGCAAAGGAAGCGATTATTTACAAAAAGAAAAGCGTTTTCAGCTTACACGCTACCGCCACCGTCTGATATATTATAATATTCTAAAGCATTTAAACATTTATGAACTTTTTAAATTAACTAAATCATTTCAGCGTAAAAAAATTTATAATGAACAAATTATACCCATTATGTACAATACATTTTATTTACGTTGAATAAAACTTGACATTTTTACTACTTATATAAAATATAATTGCCCGAAATAATAATCAACTGCGCGTCTACATGGGCATATTACGCATGTTTATAGCAATAATTTCAGTTGTATTATTATTATATTATTTCTCTTCTCTTTTGGGTGCGTGGACTTGCAGCCAGCTCTCAGAAAAAATAGTCGAGATACTCAGTTGGCTTCTGCGATATTTTTTTATAAAAATAAAATAAGTTCTTCCCAGCAACATCCCTTTACACAGTACCTTTATCGAAACTCAATGGTACACAATTTTTAAACATTTATTTAGCTCTGTGACGTATTTCGAATTTCGCTTCTCTACATAATATTATACAGAGTGATTAAGCATCGATAAAATACTCATTACCTCGGAAAGTATTCAATTTTTTCGGAGCTTGTATGAAACAAGCAGCTCTAAAATTTTACATGAACATTTTTTTTTCACCCAAAGTAATAGAAGTCACATAATCTTAGTTTAAATTAGTGATGAGAAAAACCTGGATACCCGAAGTTCGATACTTCAGATTTTTCCGAAAATTAATTTAAAATCGGAATTTTTGATTTGAAACTTCAACTTTGGAATCATAAATCCATTTTTCATGCAACTCAAAAATTAATTTTAATAATTATAAATGTTTAAATTTTATATCTTGTTGTCTAAAATCCGAAATATGAAATCCCAATTTTACGGATTATCCAGATTTATGTCACATCACTAGTTTAAATATATTTTGGAATTGAAACGTTTAATTTCCGTCAACTCGATAGCGAGATTTCCACTTTTAAACTCAGGTAGGGGGAGAGTAGTATGAAATATCAAGTGTATATAATGCCACAGCACGCAGCGTTTAAATAGTGCTCACTACTGACATTAAAATTCTATAATAAGTTAATTTAAATATATTATAATCTAACAACTTTCACACTACATTTAAATATAAATAAATTATTAAACATTTTTAAAATTTAGATAAAGACGGCCTACCACGCGATCACACGTCTACACCATCGGCAAGTCTGACCCGGATAGTATTATCGATAAAGATTACTGAGTAGAATTTTTTAAATTATATAACTGAAAAATTATTTAATATAAAAATAAATTATTTTCAAAATATTAACTCAGTTAAAGTTTAAGTTTTTTTATCAGTAACCTGATGATATAAAGCCGAAACTGTATTATAAAATGTACTTCCAAAATAAATTGTTTACATTTCTAGGTCTTAACTTCTCAGTGTTTAAACAATTTATTTTCTATTTATATTGAAAATTCTATGAAGGCCTAATTCTGTGACGACTTATTAATAATATTATGTTTACAAACATTATCTAGACAAAGTAAATTTTGTATTATTAAAATATATATAGTCTAAAATACTATAATAAGGCATTGTTAGTGTCTATCCTGTAAATCCTAGCAAAAGCTCAGTTTCTGTTGTCTACCGGCCTGCAGTCACTCGTTCATCATTATAATAGGTACAACATATTGCATCGTGTTTCAAAATGAAACACTAAACTTGTAAAACCATTATATTTAAATTCATGTATAACGTTTTTTTTTTAATAATTGTTTAAACATTTTGAGCTCCAAAGGAAACATATTCATTTCACAACTATAAAGCAGTATCTATTTAAAGGCCTTTGTATATACATAACAAATACGTATATATAGTACTACCGAGCGCTAATTTTCAATTTGACTCAAATATTATTTTAGATTCTGACATTTCTACCAGAAATATTATTCCAATTTACAAGTGTCACTTTTTCTAAAAGAAAATCTGACTGTGATTTTCTTAAGAGTTTTTTTTCAATATATTGGGAAAACTGAAAGAAACCAAAGGAAAAACGAAAGAATAGGGAAATAAGTACAATATTAAACAAATATATTATTAAAAAAAATGTTTTATGCATATGTAATTATTTAACCATAATATGACATATATATTTTTCACAAAAGCAACTATCAACTGAACTCCGCTCAGAATCAGCTTTTCGTTAGAAATGGTTTATCGTTGCTTACAGATATACATTAAATTCCCGTCTGTATCCTTCCTTTCCAACTTTCTACCTATAACAGTGGCCGACCCACATACGTCTTTTTAAATGTATTAATAAAACAGATCAATCGATAATATTCCAAGAAAGTTCTCATTTAATTAAAACGCCGCTAAGTGTAAGCAAAATTCTATTGGGCTGTTTTCATCATTATTATTATATTAAATTGTTCAACCTGTGCATTTCTTAATAAATAAATAAATAAATAAATCATCCGACGCAAATTTCTAGAGTTTTTGATGTATCAAAAATGTATCTAAAGAGAAAATTTTTCAAACTACACAATCTCATATAGCAACACGTAGCGAATTTTTTTCTATTTCCAAGTTTATGGACTCAATGTGTCTGGTCGGAAAATAAAACAAATTATTATGTTAATTATGTTACATTAAAAGTTACCACTCCTAACTGTTAAGTGTGATTTTTCCTCATTCGATAAAATTACATTTATAAAATACAAGTTTAAAAAAAATATAGAAATGTTTTCTACACTAAAACTATTTAGATTCGGAATATGGAACAAAAACGATTGATGATCATATCCTCTTTAGAAGTCTATAATCTTCTGGGAAAAATTGAAACAATACGCCTCTAATATTGCACATAATATTATAAAATCAAAAAATAAGGATTTGAAAAAAAAGAGCTGACACTGGAAATGGGATAAGCCTTTTTTTTTTGCGATTTTCGTTTAAATTTAATTTTAAAACGGTTATTAAAAAAAAAAAGTCATCCGATGATTTTGGAAATTTTACCAAGTCTAGGTGAATCTAATATAAGTATTATTACCAAGTTTCAAATCTAAATATATTTATAACCGAATTATAACAAAAAACTCCCAAAAATTAAAATTCCTTAAAAACTCAAAATTTTTGGCGATGATACCGTAAGAAGATAAATCAAGAAGGCAGCAAAAAAGGTATCGTGTGATTTTTCGATTAAATTATTTTTTCTGGTAGAAAACGTCCATGTTTTTTTTAAAATAATGAAATCGTGAAATTGTACGTTTTTTCCTACTTAAGTAATTTTATTTAAAAATGGCATCGAAAATTAAAAAATGACTTATTAAAGTACCATCTAGACAACTTGAACTTTCAGAAAAGTTGCTACACGTAAAAATTTGAGCAAGTTCACTAGGAAAAAACATGTCCACAGACTAGAACAAAGAACAATAAAAAAAAAAAAAAATAATAAACATCTTAGTAAAACCAATAACTCCCTCGCTACTCTCGGAATCTAAAATTAATGTGGCTATTTTTATTCGATTATATAAAATATTATGTATATAAATAACGAATAATCCCTGCACACAGTATAGATTTTAAAATACGTTGTTTTTTTTGGCACCATCCAATAGAGAACGATGAAAAGTATGTAACATAATAATACGATATTAGGGTGAAATTTGGCGGCCGTTCATATGTGGCGTTGTTTCTTTTTTTTTTATTTTTTTTTTTTACTTGTATGAATTTAATATCCAATAAACAGAAAAATGGCAAAACTAAAACTCGACAATTTTAACCATTAGAAAATCATAAAACGAAATCTAACGAATAGCCTTTAGCATCGAAAAATCGTGCTAGTTTTATATTATTATTACAAGTATATTTTTATTACCGTTTTTGCAAATATTCGCGAGTGAATTTAATGCCAGAAGACAATACCAATAATACGACCTTTGTGAGATACTGCGTATTTGAAAGCTAACTTTCATATCAAATTTACTTCCCAACACCACCACAATCACCTGATCGAGATGTTTATATTATACATTTATACTACAGTCTGGAGATTTCAAAAGGCTATACCTCGAGACCGACATTCCGCCGTCATCGTGACATTTGCCTCGACCGCAAAAACGAAACTTTAATAACGTTTTCCACCACACGTCACCACGTGGATTGCAACTCTCCCGAAACTTTCCACTCCCAACCGGGACAATTGTCATCTGAGTGTTGTAATGATAACGAAAAATGATAATATAATAGGCAAACGGATTTTCAGCAAATCCATTATCGAATATAGTATTATTACAAATTACATTTTTTTTCTTTTAGTAGTTTATATATTTGTGATAAACGTTCAGTCACCACTAGCTGCTTAGCTAATGAACCGCTAAAAAGGTTAATGATGAACGCCAATGTAGACCCTCATTTTCTTTCGCTTAATTTAATTATATTTTAATCGTCTATGTACAAGGTGATCCATTTAAGTGAGTACACTCATTATCTCGGAAAGTATGAACTTTTTCCGGAATTTGTTTTCAAGAACATTTAAGAAACAAGCTACTCTACAATTTTATGTTTATGTTATTTTTTGTCTTTCTTATTTTTGGAAGTAAAATCACTACTTTTAATTTTCAAATGGCAACCTATACTAATAATTCCATTAATAGATGAAGTATTAGTTAAAATAAATTTGATTGTTGAAATTTTTTATTTCTGTAAAGCCGTTGACGAGATATTCCATTTTTAAGTTTAGATTGGAGGAGACTAGTAGTATATTATTAACACGCCGCGCGTCGTACCACCACACATATGAGATTCCACTACTCTCCTCCAACCCAAATGAATATCTCATCAACGAATCCACAGAAATCAAAAATTTCAAGACTAAAATTTATTTTAACTAATACTCTATCTATTTATGAACTTTTTAATATAGGTTGCTATTTGAAAATCAAAAGTTACCCCCAAATAAAGGGTAACAAAAAATAATATAAATATAAAATTGTAGAGCAGTTCATTTCTTAAACGTTCTTAAAAACAAATTCCGGAAAAAGTTTATACTTTCCGAGATAATAATGAGTGTACCCACTTAAATGGATCACCTGGTATATAATCTTACTCATCAAACTTATGTATACAATCGTATTGCTATTTATTATGCGCATTATGTCAAATAGGCCATTGCCCATTAAAAATAAATTCCAGCTACGTATAATCTATACACTTAATTTAACATGTAATAGTGAAAAAACAATTCACAAGATCGACACAAATCATTTTTGGACTGAGCGTACGAGTAATTTGTATTATAAGATCTGAATGCTTTTTTGTACAACTTTTCTACCTGTAAAAATCTTACTCCAATTGTTCCGATTGTCTATTTTTTGAAGTGAGGAAGTTATTTTTTGTTTTTCTTTGTAGTTTACTTAACAATAGGAAAAACTGGTAAAAAAACGTCGGAAAACGGTACTATTGAAATATTTACACAAAAACAGTTTATATTAATTTAGATTTTGTTTTTTTGTTGCAACTCAATTAGAAATAATCATCATAGAGACTTAAAACTTTCACGCAATATAGTAGCGTTACCTTTATGCGGTATAGTTTTCAAAAAAACATTCTAGCGTTTAACTTAAAATAATAAAAACGAGAAACAGATAACTGGTCAAGTTAGACGGCAAATATTTCGATCGAGAATGTACCGTTAACTCAGACATCTTATGTATCCTACTATACGCCAATATAATATTATTTATTGCAATACGGTTTTTGATCTAAGATCTACGTCAAAAGATAAGTATTTGAACATTGCGTATACATCGAATGAAACTTTGGTAATATCGTCACAAATTTACGGTTCTGCGGTTCTATGGAAATGTCGATATTTTAATAATCCGTTTATGTTTAATAAGTTTGGAGAAGATTATTATATTATATTACGTATAGGTAAGTATAGGTAGGCAATATATTCAGATCTATTCATAGCAGTCGTTATTATTACGTGGTCGACTACTGTAATATAGCAAGGAGAAGTATAGGTAGGTATGTCGTTTAATGTTTAACTTGAAACAGTATATCAGCGACTAATAATTATAATAATTCGTTCGAACGATAACTTAAAATTATACAAAAAAAAAGCAGCAGCGACGATATCAGTTTCGTAGTTTAGTACTTTTTGTTGACGAGGAAAAAAATATAACATTATACTCAGGGTTTACATAATGCACAGCGAAAACGACAACTTAATCTAAGTATATAATATAGGTAATCTTCAAAGAACCAAAATGCGACTCAAGAATGAAACGTCCTTGAGCAAATACCGCCAGACTATTATAACATTATGCAGTAGTAGGTACCTGACCCTACACCCTTAATTAGACACTTGTTGCGTTTCTCTGAATCGTATTATACTGTGGGCAGGTATACGGACAGAGCGCATACAAATTTATTTGTAAATGTTTATATATTATAGCACATACACAGGTACCATGCTTTGTCGAGAGCTTATAAACTTGGTCGAGTCGCTTCGAGGGAGAGACCTACTGAAATGATAATATGTTTTGTATATGTTAACTCTTTAATTCAACAAGCAAATTACATATTATACTCATATAGATTTATACAACTAGGCGAAATAGTCAGTATTACTTAGGTGTATAACAACGCATGCCAGTAACCCGAAGACTAAATAGCAAGTGATTTTAATTGGCTATCCTCGGGGCAAAGTATCGTTCTCCCTCAAACCTACAGTACATTCTATTATATAAAACAATTAAATAGCCGACTAAATAAAAAACCGTGAAGGGTGACCACCAACTATGAGTATTTACCCATTAAGCAAAATATTGTTCCCGTGACATAAGAAAAACATTCCATAGAAACATTGGAGCACTCCTAAGGAACTTACTTTGAAATTAAAAAAACATTCTAGAAATGCCTTACGTATGCCGTGTTCCTTAATGCTATAAAAAATCATACACCTACTTATAAACCGTAAAATATTCTTAAGTGATGTTTTTTTTTTTAACATTCTCTTAACTCTTTATTTATATTCCAGTAATACTTTTTGATGGATACAAATATTTGTATAAACATGTTAGATTTGAACTGGAGCTTGGTTATACAATTTTTTGTCCATTACCTACTTAAAACATACTAACTCGGAACTCTATGACATAACCACTAAGTCACCTATCAGATATAAAATATGATTGATTATGTATTTGATATTTAAACCCTTTCTTCTATCATATTATTTTATAAGTGAAACTTTTTTTCTAAGGGTAGACGTAAGATTCGAATTTCGCTTTTTATTTATTTTTTAATTTTATCTTAAAATTATATATATATATAAATACATAGGTTCAGGGTTAAATTTAAATATATATACAATATATGACTGCAGCCAAGTTAAAATGAAAAAGCTTGATTTGTTGATTAAAAATCGGCTGTTTTGAATACGACTTATAAATTCCCATTGTCGAATTAAGTAAAGAAAATGTTACTATTTATTTATGATTTATATTTGCTACATCCCCTCTCATTGAAAATTCCTGGGCTGGTCATTGATAATACTAATACCGAATCATTATTTTTTTCTAATTCAAGAATATTGACTGGCGAGCTTCAATGATAAAATCGGAGTCTGCTATCTAATTGTTTTTTGTAACTCACACCTCAGTATACAAATGTCAGTTTTATCTTTCTTGATTCTCTTGACAACGAATGACCAAGTTTTCCAATCCTCGGAACAGATATTCCGTTTATATAAATTATATACCTAGAAATCTATGATTATAATATGTACTTACGCACAGAGGGGTTCGGCGATGATGGTTAAATCAAATTTCAAAATAACGTCCAAATAATATAGTTTTATTTCATACATATTGTCCGTGAAAACCGAATATAATAATTCATTTATTTTTATAGTTTAGGTACCCGCGAAATACTTAAAGTTCGTAAATCATTCTGTTTTGAAACGCAAAAACACCACGAGAGAGAAATGCAGCAGCCGTTTAAAACGGATATGTTTTTTTCTCTCTCTGTATAATATACATCTGTCAAGTTAAATTTACACGCGGAGTTAAATGAGTATAACTATACGTCGTGTCAGTGGCCATAAATCTGCCGAAGACAATAACGCGTGTTATATTGTTTTAGGTTTGTCTTTTTTTTTTTTTTGTCATCATTTTAACGGGTCGATATTCACGTTGTTTCTATTATCGTTATTGTTTGTATCAAGCGGCCGATGTTTTGGTACGATTCGCATCCCATTATTTCGACATTATCTAGAATGGTCTACCAATCTTTCACTGGTATTCGCAGTAAGTCACCCCCGTTAACATATAATAGTAATAATAATATATTATTGCTGTGTAAAAATAATAAAAATATAATGACATTTTCCGCGGGGCTATAAAACAACCGAACCATATTTTAGCTGAAAATATTTCAAGATTTCGTATTAAGCCAAACATGAAATTATCAGAAAATATTTAAGAAAATAATATTTCCGCCGATAGTATCTAGACCGAAAATAAAACAACCGAAAGTATTTCAGCCGAATCGGCCGAAATTCTACTAATTATCAACTTGTACATTTCTTATCGTTGTTTTTAATCAGAAAATGTTGAATTAGAAGACTTGGAAACGTCTTGTTTAAACGTCAATATCTTGAAGAAAAGTTAAAAAATTTGGAAGAACGTTCAAATTTTGAGTTATAATTCTGACACAATTTTGAACAAACAAAAAATAATAAAACGACAAAAACATTTTCTATGATAAAAATATATTTATATTTAATTAAGTTTAAAATTATTACCTATTTTTTTTAATTTCAACTATTTGTAAGCATTTAAATTATTCAAGTGTAAATAAAAATCCACTTACACATGTTGGATTTATTATCAAAACTAAACCAATGTATTTTCTAACTAAATTCATTGATTAAAAATTCAAAACACATACAAGTGGGTTACTTGGAGAATTTGGTTAACTTATTTTTCATTTTAAACTAATATGTACGGAATTTCTCTCCTTTTTATTTATTTCTTATCACACGTTATCTTTTTTTGTTAGATCTGACCTTATCTCTTTAATACAGTCGGCTGACATATTTTTTGACAAAATACTTTTTTTATACTTTTATGTTTATAGTCATCCCTTTATACGTTACAAAAGATATCACTCCGTTATCGTTTGAGTTATTATGGAGGCTATGTTGTCCTATCGTCACGTCGGTTTTAAACCTATTTATTTTCAAATGTTCACATTAAAGCCTCCTTATACGATTTTGAACATATTTTAAGATATTGTATCATAAAGTGTTTCTAGTTTTTTATAAAAATCATTTTTTTTCTCTTCTCGTCTTTGTCCTCTATTAGAGTATAGCAATTAATCAGTATTATATTGAACCATTTAGTTTGAATTACCAAGAGGCATAACCTATTATTAATTGACTCGAGATACTTTATGTTGTCAAATATCCTGTCGCTGACTACGAAACCAACTCCCCCCCCCTATTTCGTGTCCTAATCCTTCACTATAGAATAATGTTGCTTTCTCTAATTTATGGTTGTCAGGCCGGGCCATCTAATTTCTTGAATTGCCAATAAAGCTAGTTCGTATCTTTCAAGCTCAGATACTACTGTTGTCAGTGTCCCAGTCCATTACAAAGAGCGCACGTTCCATGTTCCAATCTTTAAGTTCTGTATGTCCAAATATTTTCTAGGCTTTTGTTTTGGTTATTTCTTAACAATTTTTTTTTCCCGAAGACAAGTAGTTAGCTCATTTCTTAACTCCCAATCTTAAAGGATCATGCCCAGTACCCACCCAACCAGTTAAAGTAAGGTAGGGATTATGCAGTATAATTAGTACTGGATGGTGGGAGCACCATTATTCCTACGCCACAGTCGTCTGAATCGTAATTTAGCTTACCTAAATTATATAACCCTTAAATTTTAACTGATATGATAGTGTGATACACCAGACCTATTAATTTTGAGGACACTGAATTCAAATTTTACATTAATTTTTCAATTTACTTGTTAGTTAGAGGAACTATGAGAGGGTGTACTTTTCAAAGTTGTACATTATTTTTATTTTTTATATCAATTTATATGTTTTAAAGGGTGCAGAATCCAAATTTCATATAGGTTTTTAATTAACTATAAAATTTGGAAATTGTATAAAACTGAGTTAGGTAGTTAATGTTAACATACTATTTTTAACTAATAAAATTAGATATTAATAATTATATTATATATAAGACCATTTTATTCTAAAGTATTTGTTACTTAGTCACCCGATGTAGAATAATTGAAACTATCCTGTGTTAATATAATAGTGCATTCACTAAATAATTTAGCTGGAAGGCTAGACGTTTTAGATAAATACCTATAAAAAACAGTTTTAAGACAATGGTTTTCTTTTTGAACAAATATATCACGATATATATCATGACAATGTTTTATCCACTTCTTCTTTAAAATTGTGCAAAAATTATGTAATTTATTTTTGATTTTATTATTTTTTAAAATATTATTGTTTTTTTAAATATTATTCGGTATCGAAATTACTTCTTTTTTTTTGCTGTTCCACCAGTTTAAACACAAATAATTTACAGGCATTTATATTTTTGTTTCGTATACAATTTCCCGTTCCCCGAGTTTGATTTGCAAATTTAACAAATATTTCCATCTTTTTAATTATTTGATTTCAAAATAAATAGGCGCCTACTATATTTTCGATTCTCAGTATAGCAAAGAATGTATTGGTTTTACTAAGTTGTTAATTTTTTTTTATTTTTTTATACTGTGTACAAAAATTCAACCAGAAATCTTACTCAGATATTTATGCATGGCACCATTTCTGAAAGAGGATGTTTTTTAGATAATACTTTTAGAAGGTCATTTTTTTTTTTACTTTTTATGCGGTAATTTGCTGTTATTTGTTGTAACTCAGTTAAAAGTATTCGTAGACTTGAAATTTAGAAAGAAAACGTATATTTATCTTTTCTAGACGTGGTAAAATTTCCAAAAAATGTAAACCATTTTTGAGCTATTTATAGAAATTTTAATTTTGCGAGTTTTGTACGTAATTATTATTTGGTAGGTACTTTGTGATAAAATTATTAAACTTAACAAAAATACTTGAAAATATAACAGGAGATTAATTAGGTCTTACTTTTTGGTTAAAAAAATAAAATTTGAGTTTGATGTAGTATTTTTTTTATAAAAGAATTTTAATATCAAGTTTTTGACGAAAATCATCGAGTAAAAATTGTATGGAACAAATCTAATTTTTCAATTTTTTTTTTTTTTTTAACGTACTTATATTTCCGATTTAAGGACGATGGTGAAATCAGAATTGACTGGACTGACTTTCGAAATTATATTTTATGTAAATAACTCTATGTTGTCCTATTTAAAGCATATTTATCATAGTTGAATAGTTGTTATACATACCTGTTTTTGACCTAGGGATCGTGAGTTCGAACTCGTGTCTCGAAAAATAATTTTTTGTATTTTTATTTCCCTTTTACCTAAACAAGGAAAAAGCAAATGCATTTTAGGTGTACCTAAAGCCATCGCTCGCTTGGACTATTTTAATCGCGAAATACCTCTCGATTTGTTGTACAAACTTTTCTATCAAAAATCTTGCTCCGATGTATCAAGTGTAGCTTATTTTCTAAAAGAAAATTTAATCTCCACGGTAACTTAAGGAGGTAATTTTTGATAAATGGCGAAAATTTTAAAAAACTGAGAAAAACGGAAAAATGTACAAAATATATTAGTAAAATATTACGATTTTTTTTTTCTATAGACAACTTCTCTACCAGAGATCTGGCTCTGATTTTAAATTGTAGCACAATTTCTGAAAGAAAATCGGTGTAGAGAGGTACTTTAAGAAGGTCATTTTTCAATTTTCCCTTAAGTTTTTCCAGCAAATGTGAAAAACGGAAAAATCGGTACAATATTAATAAAATATTATTAAAAAAAAATATATGATGTCTATTTAATTATTTTACTATAATATGATATATATAATGTTGACAAAGCATCACTATCAACTAAACTGCGCTCAGATTCGTTTTTTCGTTAGCAATTGTTTATCATTGCTTACGAATATACATTAAATTACCTGTAACAGTGACTGCACTCGACTCTATTATCCTAGGACGTCTTTTTTTTTAAATAATAATTATATACTTGTGATAAATTGTATTTATATTAGTAATTTTCACAATCTATTATTTTCTTTTTATCTTTTTCGGGGACAATTATTAAGTTATGGTAATTTATTTGATATTAATTATTTAGGTGGGTAAAATATATACTACAATATGTAAATTCTTTTCAATTTGATGATTACTAAATGATGAGTAGGTAAATATAAATAGGTATGTATGTTCAATGTTTATAATAGACAATTAATTTAGCTGGAATTTTCATCGTCGGAATGTCAACGAAAAACAATTTCTCTAATTAATACAATACGCCAGTGAAGTAATGATATACCAAGTGTACAGTACCCACATTTTCACAAAGGTTGTCAAAATATTATGCTTTTGTCGCCCTCGAAAAACTAATTAAAAAATATGCCAGTAGTGAAGCCAAGAATTGAAAGAGTCTTGGTCTTGGTCTTGATCTTGCGCAACTCTTGCTATTTTAAATTACGCTCAAATTTTCATAAGAACGAAACTAACTAGAAAATGATAAATGCCTATAAATTGCTCGAAAAATAAAAAAAATGTCGACGTCTAGAAAAAGCTAATATAAGTATTCTCTGAAAATGTGAAAAATTCGTACGACTATTTTTAATCAAATTAAAAAAAAAATCGAAAACAATAAAACTATTATTGCCGTAAACTTTTCCGTTTTTCTTCAGTTTTCCTAAATATTCAAGGAAATACAAAAAACTCAAAATATAACCTACTCAAAAAAGTTCTCTTATCGTTTTATGATCATTTTTCAATTTTCTCTAGAATTTTCACAGAAAATGTAAAAAACCAAAAAAAAATATGATAAATCTGGAAAAACTTAGGAAAAACAAGAAAATCGGTACATTAAACAAATATGATTAAAGATAATATATAAAATCTATTTAATTATTTTCCATAATATGAAATATATATATTATTGACAAAGCATCACTATCAACTGAATTGCGTTCAGAATTGTTTTTTCGTTAGCAATGGTTTATCATTCCTTACAGGTATACATTAAATAACTTATAACAGTGGCCGCACCAGACCCCATCATTATCCTGGGACGTCTTTTTTCTTCGTGGTCTTAATTGGGTCAATCATTACAAGAGACGTTCATTTAGCAAAGTCTCATAGTACACAAACTTTTATTTTTCTAAGTCAACCGCTAATAGTAAAACCAATGCATTTATCAATGCACTCAGAATCTATTTACCGTGGTTTGAATTTGATCACAAAAAATATCATTGCCGTTTTAATGACAATAATAAAATTAATAGTGCTAATTTCGGTCATAATAATATAATATGGGTACCTACGTGCATATTTACTATTATTATATACCCAGGTAATATCACTCTACCGTACAGATAATATAATATATTACCGTATAGTATATTAAATATATTATACGGTCTGTTACTGCACTACAGTGGTCAAATACTTCGTGTGCTTATATCGACGACAGGGCAAACAATAATAATAATATATTCTGCTATACATAATATATGTACATAAACATTATAATATATTAAACCCTGTAGCTGAAACGGTGTTAATTGACAACTTGAAACGAAAATCAACGCATTTGAATTAGGTACGATTGTAAGACGTCACATGTGCAACGATATTCCGTTACAGATTGAAACGTCCCGGTTCGGTCAGCCTTGTTTTGAGAACCGACCCGAGCACGGTCGCCAACCTAGAACCGAGGTCCGAAGACCGGAGTCCCTTTTTTTTTTTTGTTAGGAGGAAAAAGGGAAAATGACATTCATCTAAATAAATAAACACATGTTTTTATTTTGGGGAAAATAAAGAATTATTTTATTAACTCGTTAATCGTCAAATAAAAGTAATGTTACGTTGATGTGACAGAAAAGCCCATGGGCATAAAAACTGTCAACTGAAAGTGAATAGTAGGTACGATTTTCCATAGGTATACATACATAGAATGATAGACACATATATCCAAACAACATATATTTAAAATGTATATATATATATATAATAACATAGTGCTTAAAGGGAATAAAAATAAAAATAAAAAAACAAAATGCGGGGGTGAGGGATTTAGCCTATCGCACATAGGATGCGGAACGCGGGGATTATTACAATGAGACAGACACACAAACCTAATAGACGCTGGTTGATCCCCGTAGGTATAACGGAAGTGTTTAACATAAGATATTTAATCGTATACGAATTTAACATACGAGAGAAAAGAGAAAAAAAACATTCTAGATAAAAATATTTATACGGGGGACATTAACTCAACTACCTTAAAACTAACGGGGTATCGGCCAATTATTAAATCACATGTATATTACCATTTGTCTCGCCCGAAGATGTCCGCCCGGCGGGCCAGTCACTTCATCGGTTCGTTTGAGGCACCGTCAGAAAACGTGCCAAGGTACACGACCTTTTCTTGATGGCAAAATATGCGAATCCGTACAGTACGGGCGTGTTTTTAGCAAAAGAACTGTATCGAAAGACCGTCCGGTGACGGAAGTCTCGAGAAGAGGTCTGGACGCGAAGAACAAAGGAAACGAACGAATAAATGAAACTGGTTAGCGGAGTGCGGAGACGTTCGTGACACACACGTCGCCGGGGGCCGACGTTTTTGGCGATAAGAGGAAACGTGATCTGATTGGCCGTTATTGCGAATTGCAAAAGATCGCGATCGCATAAACCTTTGCGCAGGGGGGGAGAGGAATTATTGTTCATGATGACATAACATATTCGTCGACGCGAGCGTAATCTATTAACCGGTCGACCATATGGATTGTATGTATGCTTGTTCTTTGATAACGGAAAATGGTCATTTTTGGACGTTACAAGATATTATAGGTACAAGTATGTATACACCCGCAGTCGTATTGTGGATATTTTAAGCAATATTATTATTGCTATAATAGGTAGGTACTGGATTTAAAAAGAAGTTTTCCACTATCTCATAAAATTACATAAACCTTATACATCGTATAGGTTTTTTTTTTTTTTGTTATACGGTGATAAAAAAAAACTTATAATAATAGATAAATCACATATTACATAAACTATACATTTTAAAATAGATTACAAGGACGAAATGTTTAAACATAAATAATTACTTGGATATTTTTTCTGTAACCATTATTGATTTAACCTTATCAGAGGTGTGTCTTAGGTATGGGATATTCAACACCCTCTTCTCCCTGTCCGAAAAAAAATGTCTAAATAAAAATAATATCTGTGGCCTTTATTATCTAAACTCCTATCTAGACCCTATAATCTATAAAATTATAAGTAATCATCGATTACCTCGCACAGTCAGGTAACCCAGTGTAAAAATATACGGATTGGCCGAAATTCGATAATCAGATTTCCGAAATTAAAAATATATTTAAAATTCAAATTTTGAAACTTTGATTTTGTATTATTTTAGGCATTTTAACTATACGATTCAAAACCCAATCATAATTCAAAACGTATTAAATATTTATTTATTATAAATTACGGCACAAGCCCAGTTTACATTGCGTATTCTTATACGAGTATCTAACATATATTTTACTTATATTAAACTTATGATAATTTGATATTTACTACTACTATTACTAGTAATGGGTATTGTTATTTACTACATTATATACTACGTTTTTGTTTCATAATTGAAAGGATGGGTCATTGTTTCCAATCCTTATTAGACGGTTTAGGACGGAATTTTGAAGGAAACTAGTAGAAGGGTGGAGAGTATGAAATGGAACATGGAAGCGGGTGCGACGAGGTGAAACTTTAAAATTGACGATAGAGAGAACGGGAGAATATATTTTGCCAATGAGGAGATTTGATAGGAATGAAAGGTCCAGTGTACATAGGACAGGAGAGTAGTCGTGGGGCATGGGACAAGGAATATTTAGACGAAAAGAAACGGCACGGAGAAACCTTCTCTGAACTCGCTCAACAGAAGCACTAGCTGTTACAGTTTCAGAATTCAATAACACACTGCCGTACTCAACGATAGGTTTCACTAGGGCGCATAACAGGGTTTTGAGGAGCATGATTAGATAAATATAAATAAAAAGTTTAAAAAACAATCCCTACACAAAAAAAAAACTCAAATTTTGAAATCCAAAATTGAAATAAATTACTTTTCAAAAATAAATATATTCTTGTGATAAATACCTGATGAATGATGATAATGATACACGTATTGTTTCCAGGTATGTGATATCGACTTTATGCGGAGATCCGTGTAGCTTTCCAGAAGCACTGGTAACCGTGCTGTTTTGGATCGGTTATTTCAATTCGTCGTTGAACCCGTTGATATACGCCTACTTCAATCGAGACTTCAGAGAAGCGTTCAAAAACACTCTACAGTGCGTGTTCCCATGTTGTCAGTCATGTTGTCCAAAAGAAAGCGACTCGACGGCCATGAGCTACGTCTAACCATTACTACACCTATCGTTGGCAATAATAAAAATATTTTTAATATTTTTAAATAAAAGCATTTTTCTTTTTTACATTTGAACGGAGTTTAAAACCGCGCTGTAAAATACTCCCGATGAGTCAAAACGATTTTTTGTTTTTTTAGATAAAAACTACGTTGTTTATTATGTTATGATTATTTTTTACGGTAGGCTATAATAACATAGCCGCTATTAATATACGTATACCATAAATATTATTGTCTGCTACGAACCAATAAATTGTTATCTCGTGTTAAAATAATAATAAAAATAATTAATAATTATTGAGATTTACATTAGCAGTCTTCCTGCTCAGTGGATAAGAAAACGCATAACCGTTTGATAATATAATTATTTTTGGTATCGAACGTTATTTACCGTAATTAAAAAAAATATAAATATATATATTATATAATTATGCAGTGATTTTTTTTTTCATCACGATCCAGAGATTATCTACGAAGATTGTGTGTACATATTAGGTAAAATTGATTTTGGTTTTTTCAGTCATTAAAATATAGAAAATCCTTTAATCATCTTATTTAAACATATATGTTGCCCTTATTCCGTACATAGCTACACCATAAACAAACCTACACAAACATTCGATTTTAAAATATTCAACCCCTCCCATTTTCAAACAGGTTTCTAAAAGAGAATAATATTAATACGAATTCGTGTTTTTAAAAGGGCACCCTTTTCAACACGAATTGTTGTTTAAACAAAACAAAACTACTTTTTTATCCTCCAGATCAGCCCTCCGAGCAAATACTCAACCATTTTTTTCTGTCCTTCGCTGTCCTTCCATATCCAATTGTTAAAAAAAAAAAAAAAACAGAACTAAAATTCATTTAAAATTTTCTAAAAAAGAAAATCACTGAATCGTGATAGACAGAAAAAATCACCACATAATATAATAATAATTCATTGCCTACCGTACAAGAGTTGCGTGACGAAATTTCGCCCGATTTACAAACGTTTTTATTTATATATATAACATTTATTTTTTTTTTTTTATTTTTTTTTTTGTGTGTGTGTTTATATACATTTTTAAAAAGAAAATTTATTTCGACGATTGTTTTAAAACGGTTTTTTGTTATTATACGTAGACTATACTTATATGTATATAATATAATATGTATACATACCATATACGATTGCATGAAATATAAATTATACTATGTTATATTTATAAAATGTAATACGTACATTTATGCATATACAATATACATACCACACCAACAACAGTCAACACAAATGCCTATATTTTTAAATTTTTAATAACGTCCAAACTTATTATGTTATCTTACAGAGTACAAACGCGTAGTAGTATTTTATTTTTACATAATTATAATACAGCAATTCAACATAGTAGACGTCTGCATATAAACGAAACAAAAACCGAAGAATATAGTAGTTCGTCCTCATCAGTGGTGAACTCTGGAATTTGAAACGGAAGGGAATGTAGCAAATAATAATCGTGAATAAATCGTAGAAATCTTTTTCTATTAATTTTAACCATGGGAAATCAAAAGCCGGATCTAAAAACGTCAATATTGTTAATCAATCAATAAAGAGAGCTTTTCCTTGGAACTTGGTAAAAATATACTAGGTAGCTAGTACGCATTTCAATATTACCTAAGTTATAACTATAAATATTTAATACGCAAAGTAATTGTATTTTTAGCTTATGGGATTAATATAATCTCTAAATTCCCCCATTTGCGCACGACCCTATTCTTAATATTACTACATACTATTCATAATATTATGCAGTGCTATAGATTCGTGAGTCTACTACTCAATCATGGGGACAAGCACGAAAAACATAATTAAAGAATGCAAAGTTTTACCTATTTACATAATTTAAATTTAAAACAATAAATAATAAAATAATAACAGTAAAAACAAAATTACTAAATATTCATTAATATTCAATAATAATCTTAAATAAATACATAAATAAAAAATGTATTTATAAAAATAAAATAAATGAATAAATGCGTCACCTGGAGTATTATGATAGGTGTATTATACGATCAATTTCAAATTAAAAATACATCAAGTATATCACTGTCAAAAATATGACTGAATCACAGATATAGGTATAGATCCAAATTGCATAGGTAATTATAATTTATAAGGCATTTAAGTATGTAAACAGAATGTCCTCTTTTTTTTAAATCCTAGATATATAATTGAGTCATAAGTCAATAATTATATGCGAATATGGTATACAGAAGTACATAATAAGTCAAATTTTAAAAATATTATAATTAATAAGATTGTTATTTAAATTAATTTCCTTAAAATGATTGAAACAAATCAAAATCAAATTTACGTAAACAAATGATACACACCTTGAGGTATTCAAATTATTAAAATAAATATTCGTAAAATCCAATAACTTTTTTTTAATTTTTATAATCCCTTACAGCTTACAGGGACACTTTTGGTATACCTAAAAATTAAAAAATATAGATATAGTACCTACTTATTTATGCAAAACTAACATATTTCTATCACTTGACACCAAAAAATACAATTATTAATACTGCCAAATTCCAAATCAAATAAGATATACCTGATATGTTGGTAAGTATAGCCTCAAAAATACATTATTTTAAAAACCTTATATAGTGATAGAGCTATAGTGAGGGACGGTTATAAGATAAAATTCAGCATACACATTGTGAAATAATACAATTTGTTGCAACATCTTGTACTTCATGTTTTCAATTTATTTAAATATTCTAAAGAAATAAAATAAACTTACATTTCACAATTAATCATACTGTATCCTGTACCCTATATGATTTCTGTCTTTATTGTTTGTAATAAGCATAATATTATCTACATAAAATGGGTGTTTGTGTTGTGTTTTTTTTTTTTAAAATACTTATTTCAATTAAAAATGTTTTTAATGAATGGATAATCCCCAAAAAATAAAATACATGAAAAAAGGATCAGAAAAGACTACTAGACTTAAAAAAAACTTGGTATAATAGATGCTGGAAATGACACAAAATAAAAACAAATTATGTTCATAATTTCATAAACATTAGATACTTTACCTACATTTTACAGGCAACTTGTTGATATAATATATTGTTAATGACATTGTATAACCATAAACAATAACAATCATGACAAAACTAAAACTCTATACCTGATTAAAGTTTTATTTTTTAACTTTCAATTCAATATATTTTTCCAAAAAAAAATAACACTATTAAAATGATTATAAGTTGTTTATATTATTTAGCCACATTTTAATTTAATTAATAAAATCATATCTACTTCTTCAGGTTTTGGGCTTCTAAGACCATTTTGTCAGACAAATCCTCTTCCAGTTCTTTCTATCTTCCGCCAATTTTCTCTAATTCACCTCTGGGACCTCTGTCACTACATACTTTTTAACAAAATCATCTCATCTAAGGTGAGGCCTTTTCCCCATCGGATATTCATTGATCACAGCTTTAATAATTTTTTCGCCGAACATGGCTAGCCCACCTTAGTCTTTTTTTCTTGATTTCCCTTATAATACACGATCTTTGGGATAGATTTTGGAGTTCTCCATTATGCTGTCTTCTCTATTGTCCTATTATAGCATCCTGGTACAAGCCAAATATACGCCTTAGGATTTTCCTTTCAAAAACCTTTAGTCTCAGTTCATCCGTCTTAGAACCCATGTTTTAGATCCATATAAAATGATAGGTTGTATTAATTCTATATAAATTTTCACCGTCAGGTTTAAATAAATTCTTATACCTAACTAAAAATTAATCAATACAAAATAATTTTTATTTAAACTATTAGAACTGATTGAGATGTCATTGCAGCCTTCAGAATTTTGTACGTGTTACAAATGACATTAATACCAGTAATTCTATTACGATTGTTGTAGAGATACACTCTGTAAGTGTATTTATAATTTTAAGTGTATTAACAAATAAACTTTTGTTTTTTTATTTTATTAACTATTGTATTTTAGAGACTCCCAGTCTTTTTACAAAAGATGGCGAGCTTGATTAAAATTAATTTGATATTAATATAAAAACCATGTATAAATGATCAGATAAAACTATATTATATATTTAATAATTTAAAATTAATTATTAAAATTAGGGCTGTGAATTGAATTTGTGGGAAAGTACATTTTTTTTTAGCCGATTGTGAAATTTATCTTTCTAAGTACATAATTTTAATAATGTAACACAAAAAATTAATTTGTGAAACTTTTATTTTGCAGTTTTTTGACGTTTTTTAATTTTTAAGGTTATTTTTTGGACATTTAAGGTAAAATTTTCTCTTTTAGTTAATTTTCCGGTATTTTTAACCAAATTCTGTCTATTAATATCTTTACACACATATTTTTTTGTTTTTCACAGCCTGTATACATGTTAAATTTATATTTATATTTTATAAAATAATATTTTACACAAGCTGTATACGAGTTAGGTAAAGATAAGGATCTGATAAAAAAAAGCAATATTATTTAAATTAGTTATTTGAAGGTTTGCGATACATCAATATCAATAATATCAAATTAAATTAAAACCAATAAGGTGCATTTTATATTATATTCTTTGAGACTTTAAATGCGTATTTTATTGAATTTTTTAACATTTTTGGTACATGTTTTATGCATTTTAAAATTTTTACATTGCATTAAATTCACAGCCCTGATAATGATTGATAATATTATAATTAGATTAAATAGCCTGTTATTTATTTTAATCATAGCTAAAAGTTAACAATCTGGTGACATTAATTTTTATTCATTATAAATTATTTATAATAATTTAGGAATTATAATAAAAAAAAAAATCTTATACCGTATTCATTAATTATTAATAATTTTTACTCTATAGCTATTCAAATATGAGAATACAGGAAGTATGAGACATGATAACATTGAAGTCTCATTAAATTTTTTTAGTAAACCTTCAACAAAAAATGTGCAGTAATTTTTCAATTTGCATCCTATGAAGGTATATTTACCAAGAAACTAACATTCAAAACATTCCAACGGACATGACTAATTTATTCAAAACAATCTGTTTTATTTGTTCATTTTATTTAGCATCTAATGTTGAAAATAATCGGCTTAATTAGTATTTAGTTTATATATCTAGTAAACTAAGGCCTGTTACCACCAATGTATATGTTGATTTTTAAAGTTTATAATAGAATCGACCAATCACGGTCAGTTATCAACCATAACCTTAGTTTAAGAATCAGATAAACACCTTTTTTTACGTTGGTGAGAATAGCCCTAATTTATTTTTGCATTAACTCTGAAGTTTATCTTTAAATATCTGATATTTTATAAAATACCTAGTTATATATTATATTACAGATATTTTAATCTTGTGTATAATAAAATCTATGATTATACAAATAACACATACATTAATCATACATACAATAAATATAATTATTATGATTTAAAACTTTATAAAAAGTAATTTGGTTTACATTAATAAAATATTATAAAAAAATGTTCTTATAAAATAACTAATGAGTTATTTTATGATTTTTTCACATGATAAATAACTATTAATTACAATTAGAATAACATTTTGGTAGAGTATATTATTAGTTATTTGTGCAATACAAATTAATAAAACATTTTGTTCGTAAAAAAAGGTGTTAATATTAACAATAATACTAATGATAAATTAAAATATAAAAATAAAATACATACTATATATGAAATATATCAAAAATAAAAATTAATTATTAACAATTTGGTACATTTGAACACGAAATGGACGGAAAAGATTACCTTGTGTCAATGCCACTGATTTAAATCTTATAACTAATAAAAATGTAATTAAAAATTATAAAATACCTACTAAATATACCTGATTGATTTGTCAATTGTATTATAATGTATTACACAGGTGCAGTAGAGACTGTACTATGAGGTGTAGTTGGACGAGATCCAGCTAAAGAATGCGTTGTAGATGCATTCAATGAAGCCATAGTTCCAATCTAAAACAAAATATTAATAAACACAATATACACATAATAGAAACAAATATAGGAGGTATACTACATACTCTCAAGTGTGCTAAATCTTCAAGCTTGGTCAAATCAAACAATTCTAAGTACAATGAATAAACAAGTATCCAACCATATATATTTATAATTGTAAACAGTGCGCCCAATAAAGCCATAGTGAAGTTGTATCCAAATATAGGATCATTGGCAATCGAAGAAAATAACCAGGCAAAAAATCGAAAAACCGTAAATGCAGCAAATGAAAATAGCCATGGGACAATCCGTTTTTCGTGTTCCTGAAAGTTTTAAATTGTAAGATAATTATTATTATTATTCATAACAAATTGAATAGATTAAAGTACTTACTTTACGTAATGCAGATATCAATATCAAACTAGTTACAAAAATAACAGCTGCCACCACAAATGAAAATAACGAAAACAATACCAATACATTTCTCACTGAGACATAATAACAATTGTTAAATTAATTAATAATTGATAATTATCGTTCTATGTATTAGAATACATTTTATCTATTTACCCCAAGCACTTCCAACATACACAAACTGATAACTCATGACATAGTATCCGTAATGAGTAGATCCAGGAGCAGCCATTGCCAGACAATATGTATCAAACGCAGACGTAACCAAAGTAAAAACACTCAAAAACTATAATATATAAATGTTCACAATATTATACATAATAATAATGAAAATTATATAAATAAATAATATTAATCTTTGAATTCTTACGAATGAATAGAAAGCAATAACAAGTGCGCCTCTTTGCGTGTCAAGGAAGTAAGCATCTTTCAATATCGGTCGTTGATACCATGGCACTCGCAAAGACTTCATAGAACGTGTAGACCGCAAGTTGGACGACCGTATTGTCAAATGACTGGCGTGTATTGAGTACACCGAAGGTGTACCCATGCTAGGCGTTTTACTTCGAGCATACATTTTAACTATAAAGATGAATTTAAAAAAAATATAACTGAAAATAACAAAAACAAAATACCAACAATCTAAAAAATCAATATAAATTAAGAAGGTATTCTAAACTTTCACATTATAGACGCGTTAAATCTACAGGTAAAATTAATTAATAATCGGTTAATTCTTTAAAAAATAATACACCCTAACTGGGAATGTAACACAGTATACAATATAACTATTCAATTGTTTAAAATGTTTACTAAACACAATTTAATAAACACGCCCAGCACTCTACGGCTTGATAGGAGAATGCAAATGATAATATTTGAAGTATGGAAGAAACACAACCACTTGCCGCATGGACGAAAAACTGAACAATATTTGTATTTTCTCAGATGATAATATGTATTGATAACTTGGCGCCATATCTTTATTTTAATTTTGTGTAAATAATCTAAACAGTACCTAGTACCTACTATATTGGCCAAAATAAAGCACTAAATATAATGTAAAATATACTGATCTATGAGTATAAATCATGACAAACTCCATTTATTATATTTCACAATATTTTATTTTTGTAAACTTTAGATTTCAAATGACCTCTTTAACTATTAAACATTTCAAATATAAAATAAACATGTAAATAAAATTGTCAGTAATTAATTAAATTATGATATCGAAAAATGGATTAGTTAGCGTTTATGGGTTGTTATTAGGGATTTTCGTTTTGTTTATTATACTACTTCTACCAAACACAATATTGTCGGCCTATAGCACAAATGTAAATACATTTCACGTATTTTTCTTCTATGCAATTATTTCCAATGTCTTGGTGCGGATTTTCAACAGAGGCGTAGTATACAAAGTATGTATTATCTGACCACTATATAACGGTAATAATGAATTTGTATTCATATATGTGTGTATTTTTAAAACATGGTACAGATATGTGCACAGGCTTTGTTTTTGGGCTTGGCAATGGCTGCAGGCTGCTTGATTTCATTTCAAGCTCCCTCCTCATGGAAACCTTTTGGATGGTAATAATTTCAATTTAAAAAACCTATAACTTATATTCCTTATATTCAAATAGCTTGTTTCACATAACTTGTATACGTATAAATGTTTGATTGAATGACTTAAAATACAAAATAATCAGTGCTTGGAATGTTCCTTTTAAAAAGGAATTAGTTCATTTTTAACAATGAAATTAATTCCAGACTTGTTGCAAAATTATATTATGGAACTAGTTCCATTTTTCACTTACAAACACAAATAATAATCATTATATTTTTATTTTTTATTACATTTTAATATATTATTAACTCCATAAATAAGTAATCTGTAGATATCCTTCATAGAGGACGTTAAAACAAACTTATATGTTATTTATAAGTGTTGAAAATATAAGTATATTGTTAATAGGTCCATAATATGAAAAAAATATTTTATTTCTGAATTGGAAGGGTTGATAAATAAGTAAATCTGATACATGCAATTTTTAAAAATAAAAATGTATTAAAAAATGTTTAAAAAAATACATAAATCTATACTCTGTTCCAAAAGATAACATACCACTTTTGCACATAATAACTGATGACTAGCGACCGTTTAAAGACCAATATCGCGTAATGTCACCAAAATGTGCTCTTTGTGACCGGTGATACCTGTTAGAAATGTGGGCCGCCTAACAAAATCTGGTCGCCACCTGATATGTTCTCTTTTGGAATTGGGTTTAAATAAGTATATATAAGAAAAAAAAAACAATAATTTATTCATGTTCCTCCAAAAAAATGAATAAAATTCCTTCTCAGATCTGTTCCAATAAATTCCTGAAAAGTGAAGCAAATCAAAGGAACAATTTCATTTGAATCCAGTTCTTCCAAGCACTAAAAATAATAGGTAATCTATATTATTGGTATTAAATATAAATAAGAACTACAAAACGAGATTCCACATTATAAAAAGAAAAGACGATTTTAAAATATTTTATACCAGTCAATTTTAATTTTTTTTTTATCCTCAATTATAAAAACATTTGTATTAAAAATTCAAATTTTGAATATTTCTCTATGAATTTGATATATTTACAGTTTGATGACTTGTATATAAACAATTAAAATTTGATTTAATGTTTTTAAGAATAAAATGGGGGGTGTAAATTTTACACAGTTGAAAAGATCACAAAGTAATATCTATTTTTCTTTCTACTTAAATATTTGATGTTAATTTTGAAGTAAAAAATAATAATAAATTTAAAATTAATAAAGTAAATTAATTATTTTAAAAATGTGTTAAAATATCAAAGTACCTATACTTAATTAAACATCTTACCTTTTTTTAAATAAAATTTTGAAAAATCTATATATATTTTAAAATAATTTGTATTATGTAATATAGAATTGATTTTTTTTTTTATTTATTTACAGGTACATCATTGTGATGACTATATTTCATTATTCAGAGTTCCTCAGTATATCAGTGTGTAATCCAAAAACTCTGACGCCTTCGTCATTCATGTTGAATCACAGTATTGCCTATGGTGTAGCTGCTATGACCAGCTGGTTGGAATATTTGCTGTGGTATTATTTTTTACCTGGTAATTTATTCTTGGAAAGTAAATTAATTTAGAGTCAGAAAAAGTAAATTTGAATTCTAAAAGAATTTATATAGGTATTATTCAATATTAGGAATGCCATTAACCCATTATATTTTTACCAGACTGTGAGAGTAGGGTTATATGTTCAGTGGTGTATTTATGGGTCTTATGTGGATTTGGCTGTCTAAATTGTGTCAATGTACCCCATCCTCTAAACAAAAAAGTTGTAAATACAATAGAAGTATATTTAGGTTGCATATATGAACAGTGAATCAATTTTGATGAAAATAAAAATAATTTTAGTTTTAATTATTGCTTATCATATTATTGTATAATTGGTATTTGTTATATATTTAAAATTAATAACATATGAAATAATCGTCTTTCATGATCTTTTAATTTAATATAATCAGATTTTGTTTACTTTTAGATATGAAAAATATTCATGAAATCAGTTATGTTGGTATGGTATTTTGTGCTGTGGGAGAGATATTGAGAAAAGCTGCAATATGGACGGCTAGAGATAACTTCACCCACTTGGTGCAACAAGAAAAAGCGCAAACACATGCATTGGTTACACATGGTGTATATTCATGGTTCAGGCATCCAAGTTATGTTGGTTGGTTTTACTGGTGTATAGGCACACAGGTATAATATAAAAAACAATAATTAACACGTTTTTGAATGCATTACCCAGAAGGTATTGTATACATGTCATAAATTGCCTCACTTGCTTTTGTGTACATTATTATATACAGACGTTCTTGGATTCACTATCTCTGTGTACAAAAAATAAAAATCATTATTACATATTATTTTTTCTTTTTATATTTTGGCAAACATACAATAAAATACCTATTTATGAACGAAAATTTTACCGTGTACAATAAAATGTACACATGGCAGTCAACGTGTTAAAACTCCAACAAGTTACTGTGTAACTTAACCATTAAAGTATTGTTACTCATTTAGGTCATCATGATTAATCCTATATGTGTAATAGCATATGCACTAGCGGCATGGAAATTCTTCAAGGATCGCATTTATCATGAAGAAATGACACTATTAAATTTTTTTGGAGAAGACTATATTTCATATCAGGAAAAGGTCGGAATTGGCTTGCCATTAATCAAAGGATTTGTGGTAGCACGTGACAAGTAATGATGAACAAGCTGTTGTCATAGCACAACTTTAACAATTAACAAATCACTGATAAACAAAAAAATTATCCAAGATTAGTATTTTTTTCTTTTTCTACACAAAAATTATCAAATTCATATAAATGTATATTATATATTGAAAGTATAAAAATATAAATTAATTACAAAAATCAGTTGTTAAGTTACTTTATGTAAAATAAGCATTGTAGTATTATAAAATATCCTTTTAACATATACATGTATTTTATAATTTGTTGTTGTTTTTTTTTTTTAACCATGTATTTTATAAATAATAATAAATGTTTAATACTATTTTTAAATTTCATATATGTGTATAAAATAAAGAATCAAGTAGGAACAGGAACTTATATAATATCAAAAAAAAAAAAGTTAAACAAAGTTGGTCCAAATATAAATTAACTCTTACAATATACATAAATGGCAAATCATTTATATCCAGAATTAAAAATAATAATTTAATTATGAATAACTTTTTTAGTTAAAAATAACATAATTTTAGTTTTAAAAAAAAATGTTAATTGTTTTAATACAAAGTAAGGATAAGTAGTTTGGCACGTAGTATCGTTTTAGACATTTTACACTAAAATACCCCTCTTATTGATTGTAGCCATCATTTCAATAATACCAATAGCTGCTTTAACTAAGTCCCAATTGGCATTTTCCAAAGCATTCAAGCACACGCTGTGATCAACATTGATAAGGCCTTCCGTTTCCAAAGCCGATTCTAATTTGGCCAACTTAATTGCATGATGCACATCCCAACCAGTGGCTTTTAATTTGTCCAAACACTGTTTGCCAGACACCTATCATAGTATAAAACAACAATGCACAAGATTATAATTTTTAATAAAATATGGAATCGAAATGTAATCCACACACTTTTGGTCCGAGTACTTTAATCATTATTCGGACTTCATCACAGTCCAGAACCCGTTGATCCATTATATTTTCCTTCCCCCTTACATCACTTCTATTAAATGTTTTTGATTGGTCATCATCATCTTCCACATCACAGCAATTTCCATCGGACTGCTGTCTCTGAAAAGCTATCATTTGCCGTTCGGCTACAGGTGACTCAACTGTGCCCAACTGGTCCAAAGCATCCAGTTCCAAGGCAATACGCTCATCAAAACTTACTTCAGTTGCACTAAAAACCAACAAAAAAATCATCACTAAGTACACTAAATATACATTTTATAACTTGAGTGACAACAAGAAAACCAAAATTGTTTTTGCTTGAATGTGGTTCTAAAATTATACTAACAACTTAAATTGGAAAACTGAATTGGTCAACAACTGTTTTAAATTACGTTTAAAGAAATTCAGTAAGTAGAACACAGTTGGGGAACACTGTCATATATATGTTACACGAGGGAATTATAAAAACTCACGTAGGTTCTTGAAAATTATTTTTTTCATCTTCATTTTTATGTTCTGAATCTGAAAAAAATAAGTATCTTGATGTCAAATTTCAACACTCCATAAGCAAATTAGTGTGTTTCTACTCTCCAGAACACTTACTATTGCAGATGGTTATATTATTTTGATCGGAAAACACCTGTTGTCCATTGTTCGCAGATGTCATCCCATGACACGTCAAACCACCAGAATTGGTCATAACTAATGGATACTTCCTCTGGTGTCTCGGTTTAGATGCTGTTAACTGTTGCACGGCCTTCGGGTCCTTGGGTGGTAACGGTATAACATTACAACCTGAGAATGAAAAAACCCATGGTGGTAACATTAAAAAACCGAATATATTTAAATTTTTCATAAGTGAATGCAGGAATTATTCTGTAAATGTATTTATTTATTTGTAAAACAATGGCATCAAGCAGTAAGTAACAGTCTACATTACTCACTGGAATCCTTTTCGCCATCTTCAGATGATACGATACTGCCGCCGCTACTACATATCCTGTACAAAATATTTCATAAGAAAATAAGTATGATACAAACCATTTATTATAATAATCCTCTTGAAATAGTTTATATACAGTGCATTGCATTCAGTGAAATATATTTACATACTATTTATTTACCAAAAAAACTATAGCATAAATAAATGCAAATTAACTTTAGTGGTCAATTTTTTTTTTTTTCAAAATGTGTTGGGCACTAAATTGAAAAAATTGCAGCTCTTTTTAATTTTGGAAGTTATTATCATTTTAAATTGCATGATATTGAGTTGCTACATAAGAACAAAGCTGAAATGCGTAATAAGTGGTCATTACACCCGGAAAAATAGTTTTTTGGGGTTTTCTTATGTAACCTACCCAAAGTTTTATTTCTATTATAAGTATGACATTAATTTAAGTTGGGAATGTAAGGCTATTTTCTTTCACAACTGTAAGAGAGGAGGGGTCAAAGATGGCCATACAGTGGGTGTAAAATCAGTGAACGAGTAGTTCCCACTGAACAGGTCCTAAAAGTATTTCTTAGCTATGCAGGTTTCTTATTGAAAATTGACCACCACTAATATTGCTATAATCTTGATCATGAATACTTTAAATCATACTTCACATAAGAAAAGGTATATAAAAACAGATAAAATTATTCAGACTTCTTTAACGTATAGACTTATAATTTTTTCAGGCCAATATTAGATCCATGAGGAATTTCACAATCCCACTAACTGTTCAAATAATTTGATCTATTGATTAAATTGATGTGATCCTTAAATGATGATAATATAGTTCATGACCTCAATGAAATAAGGGATAGCTAGTGTCATAAGATATATACAAACATTTTATGAGAACAAATTATTTCATATTTTAAATATACATATAAACACAACACAAACAGGCATTTAGTTTTTAGGTAGTAAGTAAGATAGTACCATAGAACTTTAAATGGCATAACATATATGTATTTAAGTGATTAAATTAAACATTAATTGTTGCCCCATTGATTGGAAATACTATATATGCCATTAGAAATATTATAAAATACAAAAAGAGCTATTTAGAAATATTTACCCATTGTTGATTTTGTTCAGCTTGAATTTCGGTTTGGCCACGGGAGTAGTGGTTTTTTTTAACATTCTCAATGAATTAGTAATGTTACAGTCTACAGCTGCCGAAGGTTTTTCAATTAAACCATTGTAAGCTTGTTTGGCTTCTTCAGTTAAACATCCCTGTACAAGTGCGAAAGGAGAAGGAAAACGTCAGGAAGGTAACAGGACAAAGGGAAGCAACAAAAATAAAAACAAAAATAAAACACGAAAATAAAACTAACTAAAACCCTTTTACAAAAAAAAAAAAAAAACTATTTAAAAATGTGAAAACTATTATTTCTTTTTAATAACTAATAGTGCTAATAGTTTTGAGCGCAAAATGTATACAAGCTACAAAGAATTTATAAGTTTCAGTTTTCAATAAGAATCCATATTGAAAATGCCTATATACATATTATACAAAACCACATGCAATCTATATGTGTCTAATATATATTTATATATTTTAACCAAGGATTGAAAGAATACAACAGTTATTTTTAATGTAGCAACATAGATTTTGACATGAATTACCCTAAAAATTTAAGTTTTTAGGAGCTCGTAAGTACAAAAAATAAAAATAATTATTCTTGGATCACATAATATTATATTTAAACGCATTTCCCATTAGGAAAATGCAATAGTGACATAATTTAAAAAAACAATAACCTAGTAAAAAGGAATACAAGCCAATTCCAAGATCAACATAGTAAAACTAAGTCATATTTTTGATTATGATGTTTTGGTTACTAGAATAGTATAGTATATAATATAACGGTAAAATAATATACAAAAAGTAAATAAAATAGAGTATGTAAGATGATAATATATAGATAAGAGATGGTCCCAGCAGCCAGATAAACCCACCAAAAAAAGGGTACAAGGTGTTAACAAACTACAGTTGGACTTGGTTAACTCAAAGTTGAAGGAATAATAAAAAATAATTTTCGTTTTATTTTAATATTGATATCACAAACAATTATCTTAAAATCGTTAACATTGAAATGTAACAGAGTACTAAAGTGTATATGTATGTGAGTGGATAACGTGTGTATTATCAAGTAGTAAACCAGTTGTATAAATTATAACCACAACATTAATAAACTTAACTTTTGATAGTAAATCAAATTTACATACATATAGGAATAACCCGTATATCACCAACCTTTTTACATTGTTTAAATTTGAAATTCTAAGGACTATGGAAAAAGTTTGAAGTATTAACGATTTCAAATTAATATAATGTGAGTTAAACAAGTTTGACTGTATTTTAATATACTGATGCAGCAAGTATATATTTTGCATTTTATTCAATTTTATTAACAAATTTTCAGGCATTTTCTGATTGTATGGTGTTAAATACATCTTTTTCCTGTTACTTTTGGATACTTTTAAAGGATCCCTCTGGATCATGATTATCTAGTAGAAAACTGTTCTTTGGGCCAAATAATTTAACTCAGGAATTAGAGTGATTTTATAGGCGGATATAAGTTAGGTAGAATTTCAGTATGAATTTCAACATATTGTTTTAAATTTGAAGACCTCTACAGACTCCCCCAAATGAAACTCTGGAGATGAAATTTTATATATGCATAAAGTTAATATCAAGGATGTGCCTTATGAGGGCATCAACTTTTAACCACCTCTCCTACAATTTTTTTTTTTGTAAGTACAATACTGTATTATTTTTTTCTTGTCTAGCTTTTATAGCCCTTCACTGCTTGTACTATTTCAGACAATCTTTCTCTATCTTAGCTCTCCTCTCCTATAGTTTTAATACTGATGCACATGTTTTGAGGTTTGATTTAACTATGACCATTTACCTCTGCCTAGATTATTCTCTAAGTTCCATTAATAGTAACTCTTATAAATAACTTGATATTGAGCTTCAGATACAATTGATACATTTCTTGATTGGTTCTCATTCTTTATTCCGAATTTTTCATCATAGGGCTATAGATTTCAAAGTATTTTTTTTTCGAAAGTCAGTAATTTCTATTCACGAACATAGAATAAAACTAGTCGTAGGTACCTTGATTAAAGATTGACTTTGATCTTATAGATAGTAGTAGTATTAATAACTCTAAATATTAAATATTTTATAAATATTTTTCCCAGCGCAAAATAACCGTTATAAGCTGCTGAATTTTTTAGCTGTATCTCATTATTCATATTGTATGTAATGTTTATAGATTCTAAATATTTAAAATCAGTTACATATTGAAAAGTATAATGTCCAACCATTAGATCCCATGCATCTCTAGTATAATTGAACTAACCTTGATTAAAATTAAATCCCACTCAAATGTTGCCACTAAATATTCAATATTTTAATTTATAAAAGAAATATAAATATGTGAAATAAAACATTTGAATAATCATTATATTTTTCACTGGAAAATTGAAATATCGAAAAAAAATAGTGGCAACACATAGTGTTACACAGTGTTACATAGTGTTCTTATCTTTAACTTGATGATACTTCAATATACTCTAACATAAAAATTAACAGTCAGTTGTCCCAGCTTAAGTTGTTAAATTTTCTGTTGTACATTTGTAACGCAGAAGCAATGCATACGAGTATCACATCATCTTAATACTTTAAATTATATTTCTACAGATTTAACTGTTTGATAATTAAAATAAATACAGAATCACAGCATGCCATAATTTAAACAAATTATTTGTTATGAAATTGCAGGTCAATAGTTGTAGAATAATGTAGGTGAAGTACTGATAATTATTAATGAAGTTATTGACAAAATTAGTTGTTTATTATATAGTTGCTTTCATTTTGTTTCAGTCATTTCTTATAGCATCAATGGGACATCTATAATATGTGTCCTTGTTTCATAAAACGAACAATTATCAGCTATCAGGATATAATTTTAAAATTGTGTAGTGTCTAGTTGCTCCAGTGGGAGAAGGTTTTCAATTAATTCTTATATTTATTTTAGTATTTTATGTACAATATATAAACAATAAATATAAAAATTGAATCTAGTATTTAATAACTGCACTTCTGCAGTTTTTTAAAATTTGAGAATTAATAATATATTATTTATGTATATATATATATACATAAAAACTGATATGTATTGTTGAAAAATTCAAAACATAAATTGAAAATGTACAAAATATACAAATTTAAAAAATTGATTTATTAATACCTAATTAATGTTATTATAACATAACAATAATTTGTGTATACATATAAATTATATAATATGAAAGTTATTATAATAATTAGTTTTAATAAATTTATACACATGGTCCATATATAATATTTAAAAAAAAAAAGTAATGGGTAGTTTTAAATTTATTATTTGTGTACATTTTTGAATGCATAATATTACAAAAGTAAATGGTCTTTGTTTCTTAAAACAATTAGTTTTTAATCCTTATGGAGTAAATCAATTAACGTCTATGAAATCAATTTGAATGTTTTATTTAAAATTTATAAATTTATTTTATGTAAGTACATAGTTATTATGATAGTTAAAAATCATTTAAAACCATAACTTTAAAATCTAAATTTACTATTTGCATTATTTATAAAAGAGTTGTTAATTTATATAGAACAAAAAAAAGTCTAAGGAGTTAAAAACTGAGATGCATATCATCTTAACAATAAATTACCTATCTTAACCAATAAATAAATATTTTGTGTACATAGTGGAAGGTTATATAAAAAAAAATTATTATTCGAGTATACGTATGTCTTTCATTTGAATTCTTAACTATTTAGAGCTAATAAAGGTGCAGTGGTAAATGCCAAGGCGGACAACTAAAATAATTATCAATGTTTGACAATTAGCCAATGAACATAATATTATGTTTCACAACAGACTGGAATCTAATGAACCGAATCAAAGTAAACATCTCCAATGTAATCTTTTAAACATATGTCTACAATATAATTATACTTTATAGGCCCAGTTAATAAAATTGCATAATAAAATAAAGTACTTTAATAACACTGTTTTTCGATATAAAATAATAATTCAATAACATTTAGTTACAAAAATTCAAATAACAGACATTTTTGAATTTTTAACTCGATTTATAAATAATTTTAAAATTAAAATAAAAAGAAATCAGCAATTACGTAATTTTTCAAAAGCAATATTTTTAATTAATAAATTATCAAATTTAAAAAATATTTTTAACTACAACTACCTACTACTAATATTACTAGTTGTTACTATTTCTACGACTACTATTTAGAGTTCAGCAGTTTCGTCATCAATTAAACTAGTATTTATAGGAACTTTGTTAAGGATATCATTGAGAATGTATACACTAGTCTCAGAATCTGACCAACTTCGTCGTATTTTGTCACATTTTTTGCTACTAGGAAGTGTGTTTGCTCGAAATGTATCATTAGGTTTGGGCCTAAGTTTTGGTGAATTAGGACAGGAATACTGTTCACCGACTAATGTTTCTGTTGAGTCTACATTAGACCGTTCAATAGTCCTTAAAGAGTTACATGATATGTAGTCTAATGAACCTATACTAGGAGAGGCTTTTGTCAAAAGTTCCCTGGAGCGTGCAAAATAAAATTCTGTAGATGCTTTATCCCATAGAGGGAGACGAAATGGTGCGTTATCCAATAAGGAATCTGCACTGATAAATGATGAAAACGATTGCAAGCTACTACACAACTACAAGCAATAATTAAACATAACGGAAGGAACAGAGGGGAAATTGATTTTAAATAAGTATGGTACCCATGATTAAATGTTTATAAAGGTATTTAAAACTGTTTACTTGTATATCTGGAATGGAAGCTGCTTCATCGGTGAATGTTTTTGCCTCATGCTTTTGTGTTTTGGTAAGAGAGCCAATTGGCGGAGGAAACTTAAATGTAAACTTCCGTTTGCTTGGTGATGATGGAGATTCGGGTACCTGGTGATGTGGTGGTTGTTCTATGTCAGATCCCATTGAACGATTAGCCAACTCATTTGCCATTGCAATAGCTGAATCAAGACTCTTTTCATCAGAAGCAGATATTGGTTTGACCTTAAAAAATAATTAATATTCAATTAAATATACTATTTTGTAATTGAATTAAACATATTATTATTATATTCTGCCTAATTAGAAAATATAGTGTCACATCACAGTGCAAAAAGAAAACTTTATGCAACTTGTGCCTCAATCTCCCATCTAGTATACAACTACTGAATTTTCAATTAGGTAACAATACTTACCACCACCACCATCTATATCCTCATATGAGAAAATACTGACATATTATTAAATATTTTCTATATGCTTTATGTAGTAATTATTTAACATTCTTAATAAACTAAAAACAAGGTTATATTTGATCAAACATAATTATTTTATTTTATTTTACCGTTGCTTGTTTTTTTTTTGTCTTTGAATTTACAGCAGCAGCTGCAGCAATGGTAGCTGCAATTTCTCTTAGTTCGTTTCTATGGTTTGTGTCTAAAGGATCAAGTGGAGATCTCGGCGGAGACACAGCGTAGTTACTGACTCCATTTGTACTTATAGTTCTAAACATAGTTTCCATTTCTTCTACAAGACTTGGTCCAAAGTCAAATGTTTTCTAAAAAAATATAAATACATTATGGTTTTAAGTGATTTCTATTCTCAGTTAACTACATGATTCAAACAATTTATAATATTAATAATAACAATAATAATTGTATATAAAGTTTAATTGATTTCATAAGTAACATTACAAAATGAAGCATTAAATCATCACTTTTCTTGGTTTTAATACAAATAAAAATAGTAAAGACAATTGAAAGGAACTTACTTCGAATCTAGGACTTTCAGCAACGGTATCTTCATCGCTAATTTCATGGTATTCATGGTCAGTTAAAATTTTGGACAGCTTGTTTTTATCCAACCAGGTTGATAAATCAACTAATAATAATAATATAATAATATAGTCTATAGGTAATAAGTCTGTAATTTACCAACATATATATTATATACCTATATATATAGTGAAAGCTATATATAATGGACATTTATAAGCACATAAAAAGTGTCAAATATTACATTTATGGTGGTAGAATTACAAAGAAAAATGTACACTATAATAGATAAGTGATACAGAAGGAACACTGAATTTTCTTTGCATTTTATGCATATTTCTGGTTATTTTTGCCCTCACAATTAACTTTAGTTTTATTATTGAACATGTAATTTGTCATAATTGATATTCAAAATAGACTGGCTACCCCGTTGTGTGGTATGTAAGTACACGTAATATATTTAATTATAAACTAAGTCAATTGTTTGTTATCAAGGTATAAGGGAAAAATATTACAGTTTGTGTCCCTAATACACTAGAATGCCTATCTTTATACATATAAAGTGATGCTACTAAATGACCTGTTAAGCTGTTAAGAAAAACATAATGTATATACAGGATGTCCCACAAAAATTCGTCAAATGCCATAACTTTTGTTCTATCCAATATTTTTGATATATTTTGTTTTTTCAAATAATTAGTATGCCTCTGTGCTGCAGTTTATATATGAACATTTTTTTTTTACAGGAGGGGAACTTAAAAATTTAAATTTAAAATTTTACTATAATGTTTTTAAACAAATTCAAAGTAGCCATTTTGTAAAATAGATTTTTAGAAAATTATTGGTGGTTGAAACTTTTGTTAAAGCATAGTTCTTTTATTTTCTAAGAATTTTTAAAAAATTTGAATGATATTTTTTTTAATCATAACAATATTATTTATCCACATAAATTACAATTATTGATTGATTGATACTACTAATACCTATTTTTTTTTTTTATTTCTCAATTTATATAAAAAATAATACAATACATAAATTGATTATAAATAAATTATCTACCTTCAGTAAGTAAAGCTTGTGTTAAAGGTCTCTGATCAATGTTTCATAATATATGTACAATTACTATTCAATACCTATATGATAAATTGTTTGCACAATATTAACTCATGGAAAAGAAAATCCTTATCATGTGTCTCGACTAATAACTAATTAAATATTGTAATATTTACATTTACAAAACTTCAAAAAATCTTAGACAATAAAAGACCATACTTCAACAAAAGTTTCAATCACCAACAATTTTCTAAAAACCTATTTAACAAAATGACTATTTTGAATTTTTTTAAAAAATTATAGTAAAATTTTTCTTTTTTATTTAAAGTCCCCTTCCTCAAAAAAAAAAAATGTTCATATATAAATTGTAGCGATGAGGCATACTAATTATTTAAAAAAATATATATATCAAAAATATTGAATAGAACAAAAGTTATTGCATTTGTCCAATCCTCGTGGGACACCCTGCATAATTATTCAAATTGTTAATAACAAGTTGACTATGCAGTCAATAAGGATCATTCAGCAATGCATTTGATGTCATTTAGTATCCAATACACATATGATGTAAATAAAGCATATGCATGGCTGAATGATATTTGATTATTAGTTAAGATGATTAAAAGGATTAAAAAGTTATATATACAGTGAACAGTTGTGAAAACTGCAGACAAACGCAGTCAACATTGAATACAAAATAAATAATAATCGAAATCAAAACAATTTTTGTTTTAGAATTAAAATTATAGTAGCACTAAAACAATTATATTAGAATACCATTTTTTTTATTTTCTGACTTATCACCATTTAGCAATGGTGCACGATCTGAACAAGCTTTTATTGAAGTTGGAGAATCGCTAACACTAGCACAGTCTTCTTGAGGTTTATATGGAGCTACTACTTGATGCGGTAAATGATTATACTAAAAAATATATATATATCAAATTACAATAAATAATTTTGAATACAAATGCAAAAATTGTTAATTATTAATGTGTATCAATTACTTTTGGTGCGTTTGTACTCATGAATTCAATGTCTCCAAAATATGCACCATCTAGACCTACATGTCCCATATGTTTAACATCTCCTTGTGGACATGAGATCATGTCAATCCTTAGACGACTACGCCGTGATGAATATTTTGAATCTATAATATAATTTTTTAAATAAACCTACTAATTGCCAAATTTTCCCCTGAAAATAGAAACTTTTACAATGTACTATGTCTGTTATAGTTTATAGGTATATTTTTTTCTCCAGTATTTTTAGACTCTTTCAACGACTCCCTCTAGACCAAATGAACTCAAACTAGAAAATTAAGAATTTTTTTACAGGCCCATTAAAAAAAATGATAAAATTTAAGTTGAGTTTCATCATGTTGGTAAGGGAAGGGGGTATTTTTTTAGTTTTTACTACAGACCCTAAAATAATACCAGAAGGATGGAATTTTGCACATGAATAGTGTTAATATCAAAGATGTACCTTTGGAAGGTTTACACTTTCAACTCCCATCCTTATCAGTTATATGATCAAATTTCAAAAATTATTTGGAAGTATTATTATGATTTAACATTACATAAGTATACTTATATATTTTAAGTTATACAAGTATTATTATACCATTTGGTTATTTATTATTTTTGCAAATTTCTATGATACAAAAGAATTGAGGGGAAATTTGACACTAAGTAATAAATGGAATTGAAGCTATATAAATACCATTTCTATTAAACTCAGAATTTCTAGTCGATGGTAAATTTAGTCCCAAAAAAGCAACAGTATTAGAAGGATTGAACAATCCCGTCTTTCCATTGCACAATACGCCTTTCCATAAAGTAGGAACACCAGGGCTAAAATAGATAAATTGAATAAAATTACTTTCATTACATCATCATGGGTTAAAATATAAAATCTATTTACGTCTTATCGAGTACTGTTATAACTTCTCCAATGTTATACTGGAGCATGTCTCTTTTTTTGTCTTCAAAGTTAACCACAGTTTGAACTTGCTCTGGTTTACACTAATTTAATGAAAATTGTATAAAACTGTATTATGAATATTAAGTTTAACTTACATCAAGTAAAATAAGTACTAAATCAGCAAATCGTGGTCTTTTTGTAGGATCATGTTGCCAACATTTGGCCATGACATTGAAATATTCTTTTGGACAACAATCGGGTTGTTCTAATCTCTACAAAATAAATATTTATAATAACATTAAAATTTAAATAAATATAAAAAAAATTATATATTAAATTACTTGAAAATTAGGTTCATCGATAGCCTCGAGTATTTGCTGTCCAGTAAGTGCTGCCCAAGGTTGAAAGCCATAACTGAACATTTCCCATAAAGTGACTCCGTATGCCCAAACATCAGAAGATGAAGTAAAACGTAAATAACTAATACACTCGGGTGCACACCTATATTAAAAACATGATAAATTAATATAAATATTAAATGTTAATTGTAAAAATTATTACCAGGCAATTGGTAATTTTAGATTCACATTAAAGTTTGTTTGATAATAGTCTTTGCCAACACCAAGTGCTCGTGACAATCCAAAATCTGATATTTTCACCTTGTTTTTTGTAAACACTAAAATGTTTCTAGCAGCCAAGTCTCTATGAAAAAAAGAAAACAAAAAAAATATGACTGAATTACTAAATATTTATTAAAAATACCTATGTATAAGTCTTTTGGTCTCTAAATAATGCATTCCATTACAAATTTGTATTGCAAAATCACATAATGACATTACTGGAAAACTTGCACGGAGTGATGGTTCTTTTAAACATTCCAATAGAGATCTTAAAGGTGCTAACTCTGTAACCTGCAAATTAAATTAAACATCAATTAACTAGTTTTAAAATGCTAAAAATGAAATATTTGTATTCATTACAAGCATTAGCGCATCAGTGTCTAAAACTACTCCATACAACCGCACAATATGTTCATTGTCAATACTATGCATAATAGCAGCTTCCTTTAAAAACTCTATAGGATTATTTTGCATGCGTTCCCGACTAAGACATTTTATGGCAACTTGAATCTAAAACAAAAACATTGAAACTAGTACTCGTGTACCTAAATTTTTTATACACATTTCAAACCAACCCTATCACCTTCGTTGGTCCAAACTCCTTGTTGGACCACACCAAACTCCCCTACACCTAACTCCTTATTAATAGTTATGGAATCTGCTGGAATGATATGTTTGTTGGGAACACGAGCCGGTGGCCGTTTTTCATAAATTGGTTTCAGAGTATCTTGTGAACCAGAACTCTCATTCCATTGATCTTTATGGTCTTTCGATGAGATTAACTGAAAATAGAAATAAACACAGACAATAATAAATATAATTTACCTACAAAACCAATTAATTCAGCAAACCCTTACTTTTTTGAACTTTGAAAAATAATTTTGGGGGTAATATTTTTGGAAGTACTTTTTCAAACGTCTAATCTCTGGCTTGGTCATGCCTATCTGATACAGGTCATCTTCAGTAACAAACTTGACTTGAGGTACAGTCATCACCTAAATCCAACAATATTGACTTATTATAGATACTTATATATTAGGGGATTTGTGGAATGTTAACATTAAAATATCCAACAGGATTCGACTTACTTTCAAGTCGTTCTTGAGCTCAGAATAATACTGATGGAGTTCAGCTTCCAACAAAAACTCATACAGGTCGATTACCTTAGACATTGCGTTGGCTTTCGGTGAATCCTTCGCCAGCGACAGATCACGAGACACCTGTAACGTGACAAGTCAGATTAAACGATAAAAAGTTCACCTTCTCGCAGTCGACCGAAATCTCTCAACTTTTTAGTCTTTCTAGACGGAGATGTACATATAAACAGACACATACACTATAATATACCCATACCTATTGTTTTTTTCAAAATATCAACTCACTATGGTATTATGTGATTGTGATTGATCATTCGCGGCGGACAGCCGACCGGCTGTTCTACGCAAGATACAAACAGGTCATTTTAAGCGACGACCGACAATTTTTCGTTACAATAATGATATCTTCGAAATTGTTGAAAATTGTAATTTTAAATGTATTTCAAATGATGTCGACGCATATTACGTCTGTTCATCGTTGTTATTGTACCTACAATAACACGCCACGATTCCTAATTCACTACTCACTACACCAACGTCTATAGTCTAGACTACTGGTTACAATTACAAAAATAAATAGTCGTAGAGGAATAATAAAAAAAAAAAAACAAATAAAAGGAAATGAACTTATCAATAGTAATACCAACACAGCAGACTGAATTATACTGATATGACATCCCCTACCTATACATGACTGACACAACTGACTACAGTTCACTTGTTCACTCCTAAGTAAGTACTGAGTTCACTCCCACTATTGCCTGTCTACATAAAAAAATCATATAGGTATTAGGTACTAAAACCACTGACCAGTATTTAGTAATCTGTAACCACTGTCTAGAGTCCATCACTCGTCACTGCAGCTATTATGCCGTCTCATGTAGCATACTACTGAGTACAGCATTGAATTTGTCTGCCAAAAGTTCAACTAATATAATATTATTATTAATACTATTGATACCGACATTTTATTACCAACTTAATCAACATAACACGGCACTTATAAGTATATTTTATAATTGTGTATGTAGGGTACAAGAATGTTATACACTTGTAAAGATCAGGGTGTATTCTAATTATAAAGCTGTTGAGCTCTGGTTGCGATGTAGAGAACAATTTTGCACTGTTGAAAATTATTTTTGTGTCCTTGAAAAATTATGTATTAGGTGCTGTAGATTGTGATAGCGATATAGGCAATTTGCTAATAAAAATATATTATACATATATTTCATTTCTACGGCCTGTAAACTAGTGATGGGAATAGTAGTTAATTTTGATGAATTGATTTAGTGGTTCATCGTTCATGAAATTCGTTCAAATGATTCACCGATCATACGTTTATATTGATCACTCGTTCAAGCGAACTACCACCTACTGCACTGAAATACTAAATCATGATCCATCCAGAACAGTGTTATCCCTTTTATGATAAAATGGTTCATTTAATTAAAAAGTAAACAACATTCAATTTTTTAGTGAGTAAACTAAATCACAAGGCTGGGCAAGTTAACAATTTGTTTAAAATCTTGTAAGGTTAAGTTAGCACTAAAATAATTAAGTTTAACTTAATTATTAACGTTTAACTTAGTTAAAAGTTAACTAATAAATTTTTCATAACTTTATTAAGTAAAAAATTAACCAAGTTAAAACAATACAAGTATCGAATGTTTGAGTGAAAAGGTTCGAATGTGTGGTTGAAAAATATGGACTACATGAAGTTGGCCAGCCTTTCTTTATTTTTTTCCGTACATGAAAATAATGACTTACAAATTTCAAAACCTAACTTGCTAATTATTTACTTATCCGCTTTAAAAAAACGTTCAGTGGAGATCGGTCGCTAATAAGTATTTATTGCATTAAAATAATATTTGTTACCTAATTCAGATATTTTTAAGTGGTTAGATGGTGACATCAATGGTTAGATGCAAATATCAATTCTAACTGAGAACTTAATATGTCTTATAAAAATCCATTTGCCATATATGTACGTAATAAATAAACAATTATATAATTAACAATAAACCTATTTCATACAAATATTTATTGCAACATTTTGAAGTTTTTAAAAATTGCATTGTTGACAAAAATTCTTAGATTATATCCTGGTACAGATGATACACATTTCTGGACGGAGGGAGTAAATCTATTTATATATTTAATTACCTATATATAAATAGGTATAATATAATATTTTATAATGACCGAGTTTAACATGGTGGGATTGAATGGGGTTGAGTTAGGTCAATAACCGGTGTAAAATTCTGTCAAACAGTATGAGCAGTGCTAAGTAAGACTTTGGTGAATTGTTTCACCTCGGATGTGTGTGGGGACAACAGGTGAATGTAGCATGATAATTGCAGATTTTAAAGCTTTGATATAAAAAAAAATGAGGAATTTAACAATAAGCTTAAGGAATGAAAATTAGCGTCTTAAGGAAAGAGACTAGGTAAGGATAAGTAGAAGTAAAACAGAGTATGAGTTTGAAGGAACATGATAGACAACTAACGACATTAAGCAGTTATAGGCTAGGTTAAGTTTTAAGTACCTACCTACCTAGGGATCCTGTGTACAAAAAAGAACGGTGATTTTTATGAGTATGAGAAGTAAATTAAGTAAGGTTGGATATAGTGGAGAGAAGCGTCAGGTGTTTTATGTGACAAAAGAATTCCAATTAGACTTAAAGTTAAATTTTATAAAAGTGTGATGAGACTAACTATGTTATATGGTTAGAAGTGTTGGGTGGTAGACAGAAAGAAAAAATAGAAAATAACTGTAGCAAAGATAAGAGTACTTAGTTATAGTTGGATAAGTCGAACAACGATAGAAGATAGAATGAGGGATGAATACATAAGTGGTAGTTTTGACCGAACCCAAATAGTTGAGGTGAAAACGAAAAAGAAGACTAAATAACATGACGCCAAGAAAATATCCGAAATTACGCCACTACTTATTAAATAATAGGTATTATATAACCAGTGATGGATGTATCTTAGTTCTGAATGGAAGAGGGGGGATAATATCAAATCCATAGGGGTAATTGGGTTAATTATGAAGTTTTAATTAATAATATATAATTATGATAAAAACCCCAAGGGACAGAGAAAATTCAGAAATCCCCTTCTCCGCATATTTTCGTCTCTGCGTGTATAAGGTACCTATCTAGATATATAATATCGGTGGTTGTATGGGTATGAGGCATAAAAATAGTCACGTACAATTATACTTTTTTGTAAACGTAGACATTTTTCACACAGTATTCAGTAGGTATGCGAAATAAAAAAAAAATATTAAAATTGTATATAGATAGTAGGCACCTACTAGGTATTTAAGGTAGTATATTTTATGCTGAAAATGTAAACATTTTTTGTTGCACATAGAACTGGTCGGTTTTATACAAATATTACAACCAACCGATGTGACTATGTAGTCTTATACATTTTCGACAAAAACGCCATATCAAATAAAATAAACCGAATAATTTTTTCACGCATTTGGTAGGAGGACATATCTGTAAAAATACCTATACTTACCTACTAAAATGTAGGTAGGTATGTGTTTTAAAATCAATTTTTAAAATTTACCAAGATATAAGTCAATATAAATACAGAGTACACAATGTTCAAATTAGATGGGTCTCTGTACCTCAACTAATTTTTCAAAAATGATAGCATACCTCGATCTACTATTTGTTTTAAGTGGCACGCATGGCACAATATATATTTTTATATTTTTATCAAAGTATATTTTCATTAAATTTGAACTATCAGCATTTAAAAAAAAAACTTTTTTTTTCTAACAGCAAATAGTAACTTATGACCATTGTGTTAAATTATCGAGGATTTTATTTCGGTTAAAGCGGTCGTAGGAAGGCCATAAAAATTAGGCAGCAAATTGGGACCTCTAAAATACCAATTTATATAAAAAGTACAACTTCTATGGAATATGAAATGTTATTTAATATCATCAAATAAATATTATGTTTGTATAATATAATGTACAAAATGTTTAAAATTGTTTTAATAATAAAATGTTGACCTTAAAATTCTAACAAATTAATACTCATCGCATGCTAAATAGTGGCGCAAAAAAATTTAAAATTTTTTAATGGTGTGGGGGGGGGTTGAAATGTACGTGATTTTTTTCCCTAAATTATAACAAATCGAATATAAGAAAAACCGTTATTGTGTAAATATTATAGTTTCCCTGAAGTTTTTTTGGTAATACTACAAGGAAAATTAAAGAAATAACATTTTCAATCAGAAATCATCACACTTAAGTTGATAATCGGTGCATGTTTTCTGGTAAAAATGACAGTATTTAGACAGAAAAAAAACATAATTATAAGAAGCGCTATTTATTTTATTTTTTTTGTTATTTTTACTGTTTCCCTCTTATTTTATTTTTTTTCCAATTCGAACATAGTAAATATGGTAGTAGTGAATGTGTAATTAATATTCCATTATGTTAAGTACCTATGTATTAAAAATTGTTTGTATTTCATTTATTGGCCTATTATTGTGATTTACTTATTTGGATTATTGCAAAATGCAGCTGGGTGACGTGACATTTTTGAAAATGTTACAATTGATTAATACGATTATCGTAAGTTACACTATAGATATAAGTTACAAGTATAAGCGTAGGTAAGGCTGTTAGATTATTTATTTTCATGATCGGTTATTTTTATAAATAATTAATCGGAATATCAATTAGTTGAAAAAGCGATTAATCGATTAATCATGAATCGTATTGTTCGACTGATATTTTGCCGCTAAAAAAAAAAATTTATAATAAACAAACGAAACCCACAGAAAGAAACTGTCTTTGATACATAAAAAATGATAAGCTTTTGTAATGTGCGATGTGCGTTGTGCCGATTATCACTGCCAATGATACTGATGACCACGGTCTTAGAAGATCTTCTAAAGGCCCTCATACACTACGATAAAAGCGACAGTTTACATAGTCTGTTTAATCCGTCGTGTTTAAAATCAAGACTTGACAGAAATAAAAACTGTCAGGTTTTGCCCGTACACTTCGATTTTAACGAACGTGTTTTATCGTAGTGTATGGGGGCCTTGAGGCCGTGTTCATGACACTGGTGATAGTATCCGTACTTTTTTATTATTTAATATTTCAGATTACTTGTGCAGTATACTGATAATAAAAGTTATTAAAATGTTCATGTTTTAAAATAAACGAGATTGTTTCATTTTTTTTTTTCAGAAAAAATTTTGTTCTAAACATTATAAAACATAATTAGTTACATCATCACAATAAATAATACATCTATACTGATTATTTTAACTGAATGTTCATCCCACATAGTCCGATGACATTTATAGGTCATCTCACTCACATTTTGTATAGTATACTGTATATTATATTATACATAAGTATAACCTTATTAATTAATCAAATATTGTATTTATGTATTCATAATGTTGTATTCAGAAACCTAAAAATATTGTGCATATGTTAGATACTTAGATATAATGTCCATATGTGCAGAATCTAAAATTAGAGATTCTAAGCAGAGCGAGAAATATATTGGTTTAACAAAGATGTTTATTTTTTTTTCCGTGAACAACTTTTCTACCAGAAATCTTGTTCCGATTTACAAGTGTATCACTTTTTCTGAGAGTGAATCTGATCTGGAGTGGTACTTACTTTAGGGAGGTCATTTTTTGATTTCCCCACCTGTTTTCGTAACAAATGAGAAAATTCGGGAAAGAACATGGGAAAAAATGTAGAAAAAATGAGAAAATGAATACAATATTAAACAAATATTATTCAAGAAAATATTTAATGGATATGTAATTTTTTTACTATAATATGACATGTAGGTAAATTATTGAAAAAGCAACAATATTAAGTAGTATTAATCGAACTCTGCTCAGAATAGTTTTTTTGTCAGCAATAGTTAATTATTGCGTACAGATATACATATATACATACACGGGGTGATTTTTTTTATCATAATAAAAAAAATCAAATTGTTGTTTCATGAACCAACAATTATCTCAGGGAATTTTAAGTGAATTTGATTTGTGTTTTTTCTAATCATTATGGAATTATTTAAGCTTTATTTTAAAGCCATTTTTAATTTTGTACCCTACTCCATGTACCTTAAATAAGTACACACTTTTGATTTTTAAGAAGGAATCCTCCCACTTTTGAACACAGATTTAAATAGAGAATATTTTTCTAGAAATTTTGATATGCATCACACTAATATCAGGCTTACTCTGAGATTTAATCCTCTGAGAGAATTGCTGGTTCATGATAAAAAATCATCCTGTATATATATATATATTAAATTTCCTCTCTACCTCCATAACTTCTCACTTGTAATAGTGACCTACCCACATGTGAAGTATGTCCGTATTTTATTATATTGCTGTATATTTTATTATAGATGGATTTTAATTTTTAATTATAATATAATGTACAATATTATATTAAATATAGGATTTCCGGTCAACCAATTTAATATTTGATCTATTGTGACCATCAAAATAATTTAACGAAATTATAAAAATGAAAATCAACAGTCTTAATTTTTGTTCTGTAATTTAATTTAATCTAAATTTTATTATAAATTTCAATATGATTGTAATTTATAATATAATGAGAGATAATGAGTGACATATTCCCTTGCTAATTAAACAAAATCAAAATGAAACCTGAGAAAAGATAACTAAACGCAATACTAAAACTCCTAAAATAAGATAAAGTGTATTGTGTATTATATAATAGTGATTATACTATTGTATAATATATATTATACTATAATGCACAATAACTTTTATTCATCGTTGATTTATAAAATTATTCAATTTATTGGTGTAATATGCAGAGAATTAATTTCAGTACATTTTTTTTTGGGCACCGGGGTTTGGGTTGAAGCTTAAATTACAATGCTTGACTGAAACATTTCAAGATTAAATAACTTAAGAAATACTTATTTACAGTTATACAGGTATAACTTAAAAAATACTTATACCTGTATAACTGTATTTTTAAGCCAATAGAGAGGAACTTAATACTACCCATATGGATAATATGAGGGTTCTCTGTCGGGTCTCAGCCCTACAGGTGAAAACTAAAAAAGTAAAATTATTCTTCTGTTATAATAATAATATCCATTAGCCAAGGTTCGGGACTCTAGCATTTGCTTATTTTTTTGGTTTGCCATTAAATCTAGCGGAGTGCTATGAAAATTTATGTCATGTTACAACGAGTTCAAGTATAAAATTTGAAAGCGATTTTTTTGCTTATTCAATTATTAAAAAAAAAGTTTTTTTACTTGCATTTCTTCTTTTTTGGGAGTTTTCTTCTTGGTGATTTCATAAGACAGCGATGAAAAGCTAGATTTTTTAAATAATTTTGCGATTATATTCTATTGTCCAACGCTGTATTATTATCAATACCTAATCTATATATCATTACTTGTCACATCGGTCATCATTGGGCATGGGTCAATAAAAATCCACCAGTTTAGTTACAAACAAATTCGAGAGTTCTAATTATAAAGGACTTTATTTTACATATTTCGCTAGTTTTTTCAATAAAAAACCTTTGCTTTATTTTTTTTGGCTTTTAAAATATTTTTTTAAGTGTTTATTTCGGTACCTGATAATTTTAGAATTATAATGAAGTTTTTTAAGCACTATACATATAGGTACGTCTCGAATCTTGGTTATAACTTATATATAGATAACTTCAAGTTAAATAATGAACTTATAATAAATGTATACATTATTATATAGCATATTTTTATATTTATCAAACAACGAATGCGAAACGATGACGTCAAACTCATGTGTTTTACGGTGACATTAAACGCAGGCAAAATTGCAGATAACAACGTGTCTGTTTTCACAACATAAATATTTCGTTACTATAAAAATTATTGTTATGTTAAGGTATATAGTTTATTATCCTACACAATAAATCGCATATCATGATAATATTCAATATTATGGTACCATTAAAATGATAAATCAGAGGTGTATATATCGGCCGGGTTAAACAATAACAAACGCGAAATAATAATAAAAATGGTATACGCAATACGCGCCATATATGTTTAGCTGATGCATTGGAAAATTGTGATTGTGCTTATACTATATGCATTTGTCAGCGTTGGCCGAATAAATAAAAAAAGTAAAAAATAATATTATGATTTACACAGGGATTTTCTATTATACAGACTTGCAGAGTACTAGAACTGGTTAAATAAGTATAGATACATAGGTACCTAGATATCCAATAATTTATATTATTTTTTATAATACTATAGGTCAGGGGTGGTGAACCTGTGATACGCGTGCCCGTGGTAACACGTTGCCCGAATTTTAATGGACACAAAAAAATAGAATTTATTAATAAATGTATTACAATTATTTTAGTTATAAGAAATTCATACATCATTTTCCGAATTTCATATCAAGAAAACTTAAGAATATTTCTAAACTACACGATTGCAACGCAGCAAACGAATTGCGTCTTGAGATCCATTTGTCATACAAATTGCGTCCCGATAATATTTAACAACTACACGAAATGTATTCCAACGTAAACATATTTGTTTCCTTCCCATTTTGTACAAACTTATTATTAGGAATGTCAACAGCAACTTTACTATTGGCAGGTTAAACATATCGATTTTGGTCGTTGTTACGCAATTAACAGTTTAAATCATTTCTTTTTAAATTAGGTATTGCTCAGTTTTTGTCCATTTAATAATTCAGCAGAATCATTAATATGATTGTAATCATTTTTGTACGTTATTTTTATCATTTTGTTTAATGTATATACGACAAGAGGTTTTTCTACAGCGATTGTTCCATCGTTAAATATCAAAATATATAATTATGTTTTATGGTAGGTAATGAAATTTGTATCCATCTACACGAAATAAAGTTTTATTTTTTTCACTTAAAATCACCGATGTCATTTTATTAATATGATTTAAAATTACGCCAACGTTTATGCAAATGCGATCGAATACAATATGAATTATACAAGTATAATTTTATAATACGAACGAACTACGACTAAACAGACGACACTAAGGATCCCACACGATCCATTTTAAAAGGGATTGTTTGTATTTGAATTAAGTGATCAAAAATTCTAAACGCTTTTGTTTTGTATTTCAAATCATCTATCCCGTATGTCCCTTATTTTAAATTTTTTTTCCTCAATTTTTAATGAGAATAATATCTAGGTCAAATAATTTTGCCTGCAAAATATAATTAAGATAATATAAATTGAGATTAATTATCATATTTCACTTCATTAATCTATATACTTATAAAATAACTGTAGTCCTGACTGTGTCATCATTGCCTAGCCAGAACCGCTGAAGCTATGAGTATGAAATTTGGTCAGTACCTAGTTCAGTTTTATGATGTAGAGACCCACTTAGAAAGGATTTTATCAAAATTCAACCCCTAAGGATACACAAATGTAATACTTTATTTTGTAACATAATTATAATTAAATGATATGTGTATAGTGCACATCACAAATATAAACATAATTAAAATAGTTTACACTACAAAACTTGAGCGAAGCCAACTAATACAACTATAATCAATAAGATAAAAAATTTAATTTTTTTGTTGTAGGTACTGTTTTCACTGCATCAGCTTGTAGTTAACACGCCTATAAGCAGCAAATATAAACAAAATTAATAATTACATTTTTTAATTATGTTAATATATATCTGATTGGTTTCAATATATTTTAGATAAAAAAACTACCTAAAAAGTAAAAATAAATTGTTTAATTTGATTGGATAGATAACTTATAATTTATTATTTATAAACTAGTTTTGAGGGATTTACCCTTTACCTCCACCCCCCTCTCTTTTCTTATTGTCACCTACTTAGAAATTATTGGTACTTATAATTTAAAATGTCCTGTACCTATTTAAAAAAAATTAATCTGAGATCCCTAGACGATACACAAACTAAAAGTATAATCTTTACAAAATAATTGTTAGTATAAACTGGGATATAAACGCGAACTATAATACATGTAGTCATACAATTTTATTTGCAAGTAGAACGGACGCAATTCGTGTAGTAGTTCAGTAAAACTAGGAACGCAATTATTAATCGTGTAGAGTGTAAACGTCGTCACTCAACGGATTTTAGATTTTGAGTATAGCGAAGAATGTATTGATTTTACTAAGATGTATATTTTTTTTTATCCTGTATAAAAAAACTAGACCATAAATGTTGCTCAGATATATACGCGTGGCGGGAATGTTGTCCAAATGGTACTTTTGGGAAGTCTTTTTTTGATTTTCCAAACGGTTTTCATAATATCTGGGAAAAACAAGAATAAAATGTAAGAAAAACGGGAAATGTACTAAATTAATGCTTTTATTATTTTATAAATTTTGTTATTTGTTGTAATTCAGTTGAAAATATTCGTAGAGACTTGATATTTACACAAAAACTCATATTTATCATTTCTAAACGTGGTAAAATGTTCAAAAAATTTAAGCCATTTTTGAGGTATTTATAAACATTTTAATTTTGTATGTAATTTTTATTTGGTAGGTACTTTATGATAAAATTGTCAAACTTAACAAAAATGCTTGAAAATTTAACCGGGGGGTTCATTAAGTCTTATTTTGTGGTTTAAAAAGAAAATTTGAGTTTGATGTAGTATTTTTTTTTATAAAAGAATTTTAATATCAAGTTTTGATGAAAATCGTCGAGTAAAATTTATGTGGAACAAATCTAATTTTTTAATTTTTGAACATGTGTATTGACAATTTGAGAACGATGGTGAAGTCAGATTTGATCGAATTGACTAAGTTTCGAAATTATAGCTTTTTGAAGTTTTGATATTATATGTTATGTTAAATAACTAAATATTGTCATCATTATAGTATGTTTGTTGTAGCAAAATACCTATTAATTATCGTGAAAACTGAGAAAAAACGGAAAATGTATAACATACATTAGTAAAATATTACGTTTTTTTTTTTCTGAAGACTTTTCTTCCAGCAATTTTGCTCCAATTTAAAATGATAGCACTTTTTCTAAAAAGAAATCTGGTAAAATTTTCAAAATCATTAGATAACTTTTTTTTTTTTTAATAAATGTTTTGAAATTAAATGTAAACGAAAATCACAAAATAAAAAATACGGTACTTCAAATTATGTATTGCCGATTACTCTAGGAATAGTTTTTCGTCAGAAATGGTTTATCGTTGCTTAATGATATAAATGAAATAACCCTAGGAATCCTATCTTCTCAGCTTCTCACCTACAATAGTGGCTGCTCCCATCGGCAGTATCAGCTCTTTTTTTATTTTCGGTCGCAATTTGTATACAACCGATTGCATAGAGAATTCACAGACTTGGTGTATGGATAAATTCACTAAAAAACACAGATGGAAGACAAATTTAAAAAAAATTAAATGGTAAGCCCCTTCAAAAGTTAGTAGCCACTGTAATATAATTATATTTGGGTAGATGGGACAATTCTTAAATTAAAATCCTAATTTTATTAAATATATTATGATTTTTGATGTTTTACATAAGACATAGTAAATATAATAGGTAAGTAATAGCCATAGATTAAAATATGTGTATATTTAATTTAGGGTAGTAGAGACCAACTCATGTAATTAGCGATTAAGTTGCATAATTATTAAAATGTTTAAGATAATATTCAACACTTATAGGTAATAGATACCGTTATACTAAGATTGCAATTCAAGATTTTGACATAGACCATAAAAAAATGATGTTATGTGGATTGAAATTATAATTCAATTTTGCTAAAATTTCTTTTTTACAATGATAGTAGTAGATGTATTATCAAAATTTTTTTTTGTTTGTTTTTTTTAGGAACAGGGTGTAGGGAAATTTCAAATTCATTGTATTAAATTAAAAATTAAACATTTTCCTACTAAGTTATATAGATTACCTACCAATTATAATAACAATTTATAATATTTAACTATTTAGTGAATAATTGAATTCTTCAATATTTCAATTTAGCAAACTCATTAATAATTGTGTAGAATCTTGAATAAACTTCTAACTTTACTCCTTTTTAATTAATACCATCGCTAAATTATGAAGACATGTAAATTATAGATAGATACCCATAGTTGAAAATAGATTTTGATTTTTTTCGAAGTAGATAAATTTTTGGAGTGATAAGAGGAACAAAGATAGTTAAATATTACTTACCTATGCTATGTTCATTATTTTTTGTTTTGTTATATTAATTAATGAATGACGTTTCTTTGAAAATTAAAATGATAAAAAAAAAATCAATTTAGTTAAGAGGAAACTCAATCAAATAGATCTACTTGCTGGTTATACCATTGTCACTAAGTGCAAAGTACAATGATCCCTTGTGTTAAATTTTCTAGCATTTATTTAATGCAACTAAATCATTTTTTTGTAGTTATTACCTTCTATATAAACAAATTCATGTACTTTTACAATAACATATTGAAGAACATTATTTTACACATTCAGTTTTCTCCTAATATTTGTTTAATGTAATTCATGATGGATTTTAGTGCAACATAATATAAATAACAAATAGAAACATTAATGGAAATAGGAAATATATGAAAAAAAAATCAACAAATTAAACCCACATTAATTGTATTGTGAAAAAAAATATATAATTTATTTCAATGGAATAAACCTAGAGCTGTGAGTTGCACCAATACCAGGTCTTCCGTGCTTAACTGGTTTGTATGTAACACTGAACTCACCCAAGTAATGACCAATCATTTCAGGCTGAAAATAAAATATACAAATAATAAAAATCGTAAAAGTAAACAATTATTTACAAATAATTTTGATAAGCAAATAATAGAAATTTTGACAATATGATAAAAAATATCAAATTTAAAATGTATTCAACTTGTTTATTTTACAAACCTTAATTTCAATTTGATTGAATACTTTTCCGTTGTAAACACCAATGATACTGCCAACCATTTCAGGAACAATGATCATGTTGCGAAGATGAGTTTTTACAGCTTCAGGTTTTTCCATTGGAGGAGCATCTTTCTTTGCACGTCGTAACTTCTTTACCAATGCAGATTCTTTGCGTTTAAGACCACCACGCGAGAAACGCCTTCGAGCGCGTGAGTGCAATAGCTCGATCAATTGTTCTCTAAAATATTTATTGAATAGATTAATACTTACATATATTTTTTACTTTTAATAAAGAATATAGGTTTAATTTACCCCTGGATGTCTAAAAGCTGGTCTAAATCAACACCACGGTATGTGAATTTACGAAAAGGCCTTTTTGCTTTATGCTCAACTTCAGTCTGGAAAATAACAAATATTTATTATTTATATATATAAAAACACATTACCTTATCTTAATAATATATGCCACAATGGCAATTCAATATTACTTCTATATGGAATCAGTAAACAATAATAATAATACATTGATTACAATAAAAACATAAAATGCTATTGCTATTATTATAGAATTAATAATATAACTAATTATAATATAATAAATAAATTGTTTTTTCCCCCCTTGAATATACTTTTTTCCTGTTGTTTTTTTCATTAAGTAATATAGAGATGCCGTTCGATTTTGAATTAAGGTAAAAGAGGTCTACTTCCAGTATAACCAGAAAACAAGGAACAAAAGTATTGTTTAATTTTGTCTTTAACAAAATAACATATTAAGGTACAAGGTATTTCATGAATATATTTTGTAAATTTATGATTTAATAATAATAAAACATTTGTTTATATATATATACCTACCTATGAAACGTAATATTTTTTTCATTAGATTACTATTACGCATTACCTCACAAACACAATAGATGAGAGCTGGTGAGGAAATCACAGTCCGTTTATTAATGTCTATGGTTTTTCCACAAACAATACAACTAGGCATTACAATTTTAATTTATTTCATTAATAATTACAGATGTTCCATTAGAAATATTTAGTTATTTAGCTTATTAAGTTGATAATTTATTTATTGTTCAGTTTTACATTAGTACATTTTCTGAGAGTAAATTTGATCGGAATGGTACTTAGAGGTAATTTTTTTATTTTTACAAGGGTAATAAATTAGAAAAAACAGCGAAATTTATAATTTATAAATCGTAAATATTATAACCTTTCAAAACATGTATTATTAAACTCATTTCAAAATCGTTTTTCATTAGTAATGATTAATTTTTGGGTACAGAAGATATACTTTAAATCTTCCCTTTACCTTTCCAACTTTTCACCTACAAAAAATTGCCCACCAATCATGCGAAATATGTTCGTTTGTTTTTCATTATAAGGGTAATGTATAGAACGCAAACGATGTGCAATAATTCCGTAAACATATTTCCATGAGAGTACCGATTACCGGCAATGACATTCAACACCAGAAATACATTAAACCTAAAGAAAAACTTGCAGAACTACCCAAATAGATTTAGAAGAATTATGTTGAGATATCTAACGCAAAGGTATAACAATAATCTACAATTGTTAGCCATGTATTATAGGTTAAATATACGCCGGATTTTGTTAGACGAACACATGTAAATGTTCGTTGCCTGTAATAATTAAATTATAACTAAAATAATATAAACTTACTGCAGTATCGGCCATTTTATTATAGATAATTTAGTAGAATTTCACAAAACAACTTTTTAGAAAAATGTGACTTCTTGTCGAAGAATATTAAAATTGTAAAGGACAGGAAACATACAGTCTACACAGAAGACAATTACAAATATTTGGAAAACGTAACACACGAGTTTATTTTACAGTGCAGCCAACAGCGTAAAATAAGTGAACTAGCATTTATTTTATTATCTTTGAAATACTTTATTGATATAATTGATATATAATAACATGAACTTGTGAAATATAATTGTCAATTTAAACATTTTTTATTTTTTTTATTCAAAATTCTATTCTATTGGTTTGATGGATCTTCATGTTTATATTCTATCTAATAATAATACAATAAATTAATAAATAAATGTATGTAATTAAATATATAGTATTTAACTATATTTATTTTTAATTTTTTGCAAATTCTAAATTTTGAATCTTTATTCCAATTTAAAATTTACATTTAATCTAATCACTCTAATCATGTTTAAGTTTCCTCAGTTAGAAGTAGAAAGCTGGAAAGGCGATTGGGGTTTGCCGTCTATTGATTATAAATGCATTGAAGTCTTGGTACATTATTTTCCTTTATTTCCTTAAAAATGTATAATTAAATAAACATTTTTATAGTGTTAAAATATTTTTCTGTTTAGGCTTTTGCCAGATTTACAAATGCGCCTATTAATATAAATCTCTCTAACAATCCATTCAAATCCACAACTGGCCATTTACCCATAGTGAGCTACAATAAACGATTACTATTAAATCGTGATAGTTTAATTGAGTGTCTTGATAAACAGGTATATTTATTTATTATTACTATATATAAAACTACACCAAGTTTTATCTAACAATTTAATACTTTTTTATTTTAAGAATCTTACACCAAATTTTGGCCTTAGTGGTCTTCAATTAGCTGAAGAACATGCAGTCATTAGCATGATAGATGCTCAACTTGAGCCTGCATTATTGTTTGCTTGGTAATTTAACTCAATTAATTAAATATTTGTATTTTCAATACTTAGGCACTTATACAAATTATACTTATTTTATTATACAGGTGGATGGACGAAACTAATTGTCTCAATTTTACTAGACCATTATATAGAAATGCTTTAAAATTTCCATTTAATTGGTATTATCCAAGTGCTTATGAGAGGGCAGCTAAGCAAAAAATATATACATTGTATAATCATCTAGATTCAGACAATGATATTATGACTGAAGTAAAATAATTAAAATACTTCTAATTATATTTTATTGCTAATAAAATGTATTATTTAGATATATGCTGAAGCCATTAAATGTATGAATGGCTTAGAGAATCGTTTGGGCAACAATTTTTATTTCTTCGGTTCACATCCTACATTATTAGATGCTGTTGCTTATAGTTATTTGGGGCCTTTATTAAAAGCACCTCTAATTGACAATAAATTACAATCACATTTGACAACTTGTAAAAATTTGTGTATGTGGATAGACAGAATTACAAGAGAATATTTTAAAATTGACTGGCAAGCACATAAATGTAATGAGAGAAAAAAAATAGAAGAATCTAAACAAATGAATATTATACCTTGGTATAAAAAAGATGAGACAAAAAATGTTTTTATTGGATTATTCACAATCATTACAATGGTCATATATTCATTTAAAATCGGCCTAATTAGTGTAAGTTTTATATTAATTTTTAGTATGTATGATACATATCAGATTTTGTAATTTTATAATTCATATTTTTATTCTAGGTAAGTGAAATTAGTGATGAAGAAGATGAAGATTGATCATCAGAATGAACTATTTAAAATTTTAGTTAGTCATCATTTTTTATAATTTTAATATTATTTTGTTGCTATATTATGTTCCTAGATTAATTAAGTAGTTAATAAATAAATGGATTAAATTACTTTAAGTTTATGTTTATATTACATATTATTTCAAAGTTACATTTAAATTAAAAATGTCAGCTTTCATTTAGTAACTACAAACTGATGCTGAACTTCATAAATTCCGACAGGCTGATTTTGTTTTTCATCATAATCCACCCATTCTCTTTCCTCTAAATTAACATCTTCAAATAAAGTATTACTTTCAACTCCACGACATTTAAATCCATTTCTGGGTGAAAAATCAGTGATTGATACACCCCGGCAATCAAATGCAACAATACTTTTAAATATATTTGAATCTTCTACCATGTATTTAGAAATAGTGTTAGGTAAAATGTCTGAAAATAAAAATATACTTAGAACTTGATTTATAAATATAAATATTTATCTTTGTTAAACTTGCCTATTGAACAGTCTCTAGAACACAATTTACATTTTATAACTAAATTTGCTTCACCTCTACTTCCTTTCATTGAAACTTTTTCCTGAAAAATAAAAATATTAAATAAGGGATCTGAATGAACTATATAATACATTAATAAACTTTTAAAAATACCAACACTTTCAGATAAGTATGTCCATTTGTCAGATCCTTCACCACAATTTGTGCACTGAAACTGTGAATAAATATTTAATTAAATATAGTAAATAAATATATGAATAAAAAATGTATATATATTAAAAAAAAAAAAAAAAAATGAATAAATGCACCGTCTGGAGTATTATAACTGTACAAAATGATCGGTTTTGAATTAAAAATTCATCATCAGGTATAATGCAGTTAACATGTAAAACTTGACTGAATTTAAAAAATTAAATGAAGGAATACATAGAAAAAAAAATTTTTACAAATTGGTCATTTTACATAGAAATAATTTATTTTAATAGGAAAGACTATTTAAAATGGGTTATTATTAGACATGGATATGTTAAGAAATAAAAATTGATTTGTACATTTAAAATATTAAAATTATTTTTCTTTATTTCATTGTATATATGAAATTTTTCTATAACTGAATTAATGTAAATGTAATTTTGGGTATTTAATATCTCTAAGTCTGTATTAATATCAAAGCTTATATTATGGTTATTTTCTAAAACATTTTCAAAAAAAAGGGGATTTTTTGTGAAGTTTATAGTTCCATTGTTTATATGTTTAATTAAATTGTTATTAGTCTTAAAAGCAATTTTCACATTATTTATATTATTGTTCAGAATTTTAGCGAATTTGTTTGACATATTATTTTTATATTTTATACTACAATAGTCAACAACATTATTTGGTTAGTTGTGTATTATTTTTTCTTTAATAAGAAATTGAATTTTTTAATATTATTTAAATTGAAATTATTTCTATGAGATAAATTATAGATATATTATCATATTGAACTCGTGTTGATAATTATGTTAATTTAATGGAATATTTTCAAGTCTACAGAATATTGAATTAAAAAATTATATTTTTTTTGAATAATGATGATTAGAATCATGTAGTATTATAGCATCATTTATTTATTTATTTATTTATGAGTATAAACAATTTTAATAATTTTGTTTTAACTTTATTATTTTATTAAAATTGTATTCAAAAAAATTAATTGAATAATTATTATTATATTATTAATTATAATATTATAATATTAAATTATGTATATATATATAATAAATTATATAATATTAATTAAATAAAATAAATTGAGACGGAACTAGGTAACCAGATTACAACAGAAATGAAGTAATGAAGAAATCGGTATTGACTAGACACATTAATGGGTCAATTATTTTTTTGACTGTAATTAGTAGTGTTTAGGAATATAAAATAAATCAATATAGTTATAGAGCGGGTTGGATGTGGAGAAACAAAAAAGTTTATAAGGGGAAGGTGCGATTGGGCATCAGAAGAACTGCCAATAAGATTTTAAAAGAACCTTATGTTGCTGTTTATTCTTCTATCAGCTAGAGTTAACAAACTTAACTCATAGAGAATGAAAAATAATTATGTAAGGGTTGGGGTATATTTAGTATTTAACTTGTGTAGGATAAAAACGCCATTAGACTCGTACTATGGTAGCAAAGTCTAATAGTGTGTAAGGGTCCCACAGGATTGATCCATAATCAAGCAGGGGCCAAACTAATGAGCATTAAAAGGCCTTTATTGAAGAGGTGAGCTTGAAGTCAGACAATATCAGTTTTATGAATCCCAGGGCAACTTATTGGTATAATGTAAGAATGGTAACTAAGGTCTCAGTATAAGATAACACTCAGATCCTTTTTGTAGATGGTATAGTCATATTTTTTATCAAATAAGTATGATTAATTAGTGAACGACATTGGTCAAATGATATGGATTGGCATTTGTCCACATTCAAATACAAACCAATAAAGTCAAAATATTTGATAAGGGTATTAAGCTCATCTTAGAGTAGATGACTATTGAAGATGTTGCTTATTCGATGGTAGATTTTTAAGTGATGTAAAAATGTGAGGATATTGTACTTGGGATTATTTTTTTTATACTGTTAATAAAAAGAGCAAAAAGTAGAGGTAAAAGATGGCCACCTTTGGAAATCCCTGATGAGATAGGTGAGATGTAAAATTTACAACCATTAATTTTCACCCATTGATGTCTTTCGAATAGGTAAGATTCAAGGTAAAATAATAGCAGATCACCAAGCCTAAATTTACAGAGGACTTGAAGGATACTAAGGTTAATTCTATCAAAAGCTTTAGTGAACTTTGTAAATATAACCAGGGCCAGATTTAAACTTACAGATGCCCGGGAAATCTTTTTTTGAGGCCCATAGAGGTAAAAAAATTAAAAGTACCCAATATCTAAGTAGTTAAGGAAAAAATAAAAAATTTGCAAACTTGCATGTTATAACTATCTACTTAAAATGCGTTTATATCCAGTTAGAAATATTGTTCTTCATGTATCACAAATTTCAATATTCAATAAATAATAAAAGAAAATATAATAGGAAATTTATTAAATCATATTTTTACTTAAAAGATAGTTTACTTAAAATAACTAAAATTAAACATACTAAGATTTTAACACCAGTTAAAGATTTTTTTTATTGAAGGGGGAAATTTTGAACAGGTTTTTTCCCTGAGATCCAAACTAATTACTTATAAATATTAAATACGTTAAATTTGTATATATTATTAGGTATGTTTGAATATCATACTTTTAAATACCATCGGAAGTCTTCACCATCAGGTGTTAGTTCAGTCACATTCTCTAAATTTGCTTTAATCTGCAATGCGATTTTCTACAAATTAAAAATAAAAACAAAAATCAATTTTAATTTAAAAAGAAGAGGAATATTCACATACAACCATATTGATATAGATAATTCATTCAATTTAAATAACTTATATAATTGATGATGTTTTATTATTATGTCTTGTATTTTAATTTTAATAATTTATATTATTAAAATTAAGGAAAATTGTCAATGTTTTGTTTATATTATACAATACATAAATGATATCCACAAACTAAGATTATATATTATACAAAATGTATTATATGAGTGGTTTATATATAGTTTATCATTGAGTTCCATGTTGTTATCATTTAATACATTTATACGTTATCAAATTTAATTTTCTTTAATATTTTTACAATCATATTATGATATAACTAAAGAAAACAAAATAATTATGGGGCGTTCCCACGAAGCGTTAATCACGACAGTCAACCACGCTTTCGTGAAATACACTTCTGTGTGAACGCATAGTCGTTAAACTTGCTTTCGTGAGGAACGGCGCACGACTCAAGCGTGGATAGATCAAACGTGTTTGATTTTCAGTCGTGATATACCGTTCGTGAAGCCAAGATGTCGTCCCAACAACGTGGAATTAAGTTTAACGATAGTGAAACTACGCGTTTTTTGGAGTTATATTCTATGGAAAAGGTGTTATATGATCCAACTTTGGAGGAATACCGTGATAGAAATTTACGTGCCGCCGCAGCTAAGAGAATAAGTCATGAATTAAATGTTATATCAAAATTCAAAAATTTAAGAAGCTCTTTCTGTCAGGAGTTAAAAAAAATATTTCTTCGCTGTATCCATTCTCTAACCCAAAAACGTCTTTTTTTTCGTTTTCTTGTGTCCTGTAAGCGCTCAATTTTTTTTTCTATGATAGTAGCAAAAAACGAACTTAAAACAGCACAACTTTCAACAACCAGATCATTCATGATCGATGTTTCGATAATGACTAAGTCGAAACATGAGGCGTGAACGGCACGAAATCCCCCAACCATGTGAACGTTTAATCAATTCACACTTTCGTGAGTGTCACGAACGAAAGTTGACTAGCGTGGTTGACTGTCGTGATTAACGCTTCGTGGGAACGCCCCATAACCGTGGAATTAAAACTATTAAACTCATAAGTAAATAAATAAACTAATAAATGTTGATAGTTAACGGATTCATTAAAGTGGTAATGAAAATGATAGTATTGAAACAATTTCTTTGGATTTCAATTGTTTATTTCTTATTTGACAGCTTATTGTAGATCTTTTAATACTTCACCATGTTTACTGTTCGTCATAACAATTTTTCATTTATTAGTTCAAAAATGTATACAAATTGTATAATTAAATGTAAATAGATACTAAGGGCAAAAAATAATTTCAGTTTATTAGGTACATATTTATTAAGTTATTTATTTTTAATTCCCTGTTAACGGCTTTAACCCATAAATATAGTTGTTAGTTTGTTATCAATGATTATATCATAATATTTTAGTAAAAATCATGGTTTAAATATCATTTTGTATTACACAATATTTTACAAACATAATAAAATATTATTTTTAGATACTAAAGCTTTTAAAATAAATTTTTCTTAAACAAATTTAATAGCTATTGATTATGTGATTTATATGTAACATAATGTTATAATATATAATGTGGTAGTTAATTAGTCAGTCTATTTAGCCAAAGAATTAATTAAAGTTAATAATAATAAAAAATGATTTTCATTCTGAACAACCACCGGGATTCATATTTTATGGATTGGCCAATAGGGCAATATTGTGATACAGCAAAAAAGCTTTTGGATTTACAAAGATGTTTATTTTTTTTTTCTGTGGACTTTTCTACCAGAGATCTAAATCCAATTTTTAAGTGTAGCACCTTTTCTGAAAGGAAATTGGTGTGAGGAGGTATTTCTCAAAGGTTATTTTTTGATTTCCCCAAGGTTTTTCTCAACAAATGTGAAAAACTAAAAAAAAAACAGAAATATACTAAAAGTAGGTATTGATTAAAAATATTACGGCCTTTTTTCCTGTGAAGTTTTCTACCAAATTTGCTCAGATTTACAATCTGAGGAAGTTCTTTTTTTGATTTTCCCAATAAATGGAAAAACTAGGAAATACATAGGAAAAACAGGAAAATAGGTACAATATTAAACAAATATTATTAAAGAAAATATATAATGCCTACCTACCTATGTAATTAATAATTTTACCATAATATGAAATATCTATGTTGACAAAGCCACACTATAAACTGAACTTTGCTCAGAATAATTTTTTCATTAGCAATGGTTTATCATTGCTTACAGATACAAATTAAATTTCTCCTCTATTACCTTCCTAACTTTACATCTAAAACAGTGTCTCTGTGCGTTCAAAATATGTCCGTCTTCTCTTTATTTCATGGGGTGCTTAGCACCCCAGAATAGGATAATATGGATTGTTCTTTATATAGCTATAAGTAACTTTTAACAGTTTTCCTTATTATTTAAACAATTATAATAAACATATAAATATTCTATTTCCAAGAACCCCTCTAAAACTTTGACAACTACAGGTAGAAATAAAAAACAAAAATTGTAAAACTAATCAATTTTTTGTTTCACTCAAAATCTAAAATAAAAAATTGTTGCACATCGAAAGAGTTAGCGTAATAATTTTGAATACACCTAAAAATTAAATAATTGAAAAACAAATTTACATTCTAAATGAAGTGTTACATTTTTTAAATTTTATTATGGTAAAAAATAAAACAAATAACAACTTTTAAACATTTAATTATTAGGTAATTAATTTCTTCTTCACATAATATATAACTAACTTCAAAACTTACAACTATGTTATAACATATAGTCAATTCAATCACCATTCTCTTTGTTTCTTTTGCTGCACACCAGTGAGAATATAATAAGCCTTATCTGTGTGTCTGATACTCATTTGTTTGTGTTTTTGATGAGTTTTACATAAATTATATACTCTTTGATCTCTGGTGACTAAGTAACAATCCTTGCAACGCCTTCTCACTTTACCAAAAACTTTGAATCCTCTTGAAGGGATTAAAGATAGACTAGTAATTGAAGGTGACTGAATAACTGATAATATTTTAGGAGTATTGTTTATTGTAGATGGTCGAATTGCCTTAGTGAATAAACTACTTAGAAAATTCATTCTGAAAAAAACATTTAAATAAATACAAATCAGAATTTATAATTTATAAGCTTTATTGTACATATTACTCTACTAGGTACAAATATAATTTCATTAAAACATAATTGGGTTTAATGTTAATAAATTTTAATTATGTTTTTTTAATAATATTGTTATTGAATTTCATTATCTTGTGTGTATTAATATAATATACTCAAACAATATCTAAAGAAAGCTTACCCAATCTATCAGCAATTGTTTTACTACATTATTTACTTAGCCTCAGCATAGGTAACTGACAACCTGGTTTCATAGTATAACTATAGCAAGCTGTTCACAAGAATTAGTTGACCAACAAAAATTGTATTATGGTTATTAAGTTTTGGCTAACATTAATAAATATTATTATTTTAAATTACTCTGCATATCATTATTTATACAATGCAATAATTCAAAATTTCAATTCAGTTGGTGAATTAAAAAATATTGTAGTCAATAACTACATAAATTATTTAATCCTAATACATTTGTTATTTCATTTGAAGTATACAGTGATACAAAAACTATTATTTACATAGAGGAAAGGGAACCTTTAAAATGTAAGAAATCTCCTGGGACCTGTTATTATCCCCTCCCAAAAAAATATATATGTAGGAGAAGAATTTAACCCCTCTTTAATCTGTTTTATTATATTCATAACTTAACAGCACAATTTTATTAAATTACTATAGATACAAAATATAAAAACATTCAGCAGAACCAAGTCTATAATCAAAAAAACTACAGATTACTTTGTGTACGTAATAAAGTTTGTTGTCATAGAACTATATCTATGTTGACTGTTTTTTTTGGTAATTATGTCTTAAACAAAATATCATAATTTTTGTGATCTACAATTTAATAATATTGATAATACAATTCTGTTACAAGAATTTCACACAATGTAAAATATTAATGAGTTGTCACGCAAATAATGATTGACCAGCAACTTGCATTAATAACTATCAAATTGACCCCCACAGAAATATCCCAAATAATACTCTTGATTCTACTGTCAGTTATCTGTAGACTATTACTACATACTACGTACATGCCTTTGAGTGTTATGCAATATTTTTGAAACAAAACTTTTTTATTATATTTACTATTGTTTTACAGATCAACAACCAAATCATATAAAGAGTAAAACACCCAACATATCTAAGAACAATAATTAACAAGAACTGGGATATATCATAAGAAACCAAAACCTGAATAATAAAAGCCACAGCAGCTTTTAACAAAATTAGTAAACTCTTCAATAGTCATATCATTATTACAATAAAAATAAGACTCCTAAAATGTTATATATTCTCTATCCTGTTGTTTGGGGCCGAATATTGGACACTAAATGAGGCAATGTATAAAAAAAAAATAGAGGCTTTCAAAATGAAAATATATAGAAGAATACTTTGCATATCATAGGTACAACATATTATAACCAACCAGGAAGTACTCAGAAGAATGAATAAAAAGAAAGAGCTCTTCAATACTTTAAAGATCCGCAAACTAAAATATCTCAGTCATATTATGAGAAATAAAACAAAATACAGCTTGCTGTAGATCATTATTCAAGGAAGAATTAATGGAAGAAGAAGTCCAGGGCGTCCATGAACATCATAGAGGCAAGGTTTAACAAAACATTGATTGAACTCATTAGAGCAGCTGCAGACAAAACGGTGATAGTCATGCAGGTCACTAACATCCGAAACAGATAAGCACAAGAAGAAAAATACTTTTTTTTATTTTATAATACTCATGTAATTCAAATTATTTGTGTGTATTATTATGTTGATAATTCTATGAACCTATCAGTGAACTGCATGTATAGGTCACAAAAATTATTATAGATCGCTTTATACCGTTACCTGTGTTTTGGAAACCATAAAATCAGTATTACTATAAATTAATGAAAAAACTTAATTTATTTAAAATTCTAATAGTAAATATTTTCATGAGGTTAAATAATACAAAATATTAATAAAAAATGGATTTAAAGTTTGTTTTTGTTGTTCATAGTTATATTTATAATTAATTAGTGGTGGAATGATATGTTTACAGTCGCATTATGTTTTTCACGGGAAGAGGAATCTACCCTCCCCCTTACATTGTATTTATCTAAAAAAAGTTGGTTTAATAAGAAAAACATCTTTTACTGGTGGAAATAAATGGTTATATACATTTATATATATGTATACCATATAATTTAATACTAAAGAAAACTGAAATGAAAATGTTATACATACTTATTTATTTTGTGTATGTCCTGCCAAATAGTAATCAGTAAGCTAGTAGAAATAAAATATTATAATTGTCAACCAAACAGATTAAACAGATCAATCGTCTTAAAATTTTCAACTTGGTAACTAGTATGAAAATATGAACTAAGATATTTAAATATTTAAGTTCATGGTGTTAACTTGTTTTCTAATCACGAATTAAGATATATTAAGATAAGGTTGGACCGCTTCCCCCGCTAGCTCACTGGCATTGTTCGCATATTTGCCAGAAAACATTTAAAATTTTCACCACATTTTTACAGAGCGCTGTTGATTAGACATTTTTGAGGTTAGAAATTGTAGTAATCAGGGTAGTAGCACGATTAAAGATAAATCTATAGACTATAACTACTGAGCATACGTCCTATCTTTTTTGGTGGTATCTATAATCTATTATCTAGTATCTACTTATATTTTTGAATACCTTGGTATGTCTATTATAAATATAATATATATCTTAATTCGTTGGTAGTAGTAATCAATGGAGTAATATTACTCTGTGTAGTAATCTTAGATCATATACTATGGATAGAGTTACTGCATAATAAATGCGTACTACGAATTAAAGACATTGTTAACGAGTGCTAAGGGGACCGCTGTTCATTGTACACGTGTATCAGTACTCGTCGTATAATTATTATAATACTACCAGGAAGTGATGGTAGGTACGTCACTCGTGATAACGTAAATTTGACCAATTGCGAGCAATATAAATTTTGCGCATGCTCATTTGTCCCAATTCCCCTTAATTAGGTCTGCATCAGATATTTAGTTTGTAGTTCTATCCATAGTATCTGATCTAAGGTAGTAATTAAGATGTATTTTTTTTATATTAATCACGGCTTTATTATCTATTATCTATAACTGTGGTATCAAAGTGGATTAATTCACTTTGTCGGTAGTGGTATATCGAATTACCGCCAATTTTATAAGGATTTGAATAGTGGTAACACATGTGAATAATGTAATATCATATTTATAACTGTTATACACTATTTATGACTATAATATTTTACCTAGCCATGATTTTTTCAAAAATATATATATTTATAAAATGAAAATGCTAAATAAAATGGCTATCTTGGATTTAAAAAAAAAAATATGAAATGTTGAAATCATAGCACAAGGCTTTAGAATTAAGAAGAAAAAAATATTTAAAATATTTAAAAGTTTAACAGAACAAATTATAAAAACATATTTTTTATTGTAAACTCGTAATATATATATGAGAATAAAATAATGTAATAAACTCTTATGCAAGTTATTTGATAAAAATATTATATTATAATTGATAAGGAATTTGCTCGTGGGCATTGTCTCTAGACCACGAATTAAGATATACAGTTATATCTAAATTCGTGCTCTAGACACTAGTTTTGTATAATAATATTTTATCAGAAAAACTCAACTGTTGAAAAAATATTTACGTCGAATCATATTTTAGAAGAAAAATGTTATCCGAACTGTATTTATACAGACAAATATTCCGATCGAAAATAATATATTATGAAAAAATATATCATCAGAATAATATTTTGTTAGAATCATGAAATAAATTATTTGGTCACGGTTAGAATTTGTGGCCTGTGGGACAACTTACTAACAACTACTTCCCATAAACCTATAAATCCATATTAAGACGGATATTCATAAGAACGATGGCGATAACAGTTATCACTTATCAGACATACCCAATTGTACAATTGAATATGGCATATTGGCATGGGCCACAAATATACATTTCTGTGGACATGGGCCAAAGGTTTTAATCAGATAGAACTTTAGTTCTATACTTATAACTTCTATAATCTATATATCCATGGGACATGGTCATTATATAAACCACTCAACGAGGTGTTAAACTCTTAACTATTTTTATTTATTAATTTTATATTTAATATTTTTATAAAAAAGAAATTTTCAAATTCAACTTTTCTGAGAATATGATTGATTTTACTACTCCTTTTTTCACTATTTATAATTCGTATCAAATTTTCATTAACAAGTTTAAAGTTAATTATTTTAAAATACAAAATCAAAATGAAAAATCTGTTGATAATAGTAATGCTCAATTGATTGAACAATCCCAAATTGAACCTTGTCGTTCATGTACAGATTTTCAAACATTTAATCGTATGCGACGACAAGAATACAGTCAAACTCAGGTGAAAATTTATTTATTTTTCTTGTATTGAAATAAAGTAATTTATTGTTTTTAACTTTTAAAACTAACTAGGTATCTTCAAAAAAATGGTCAAATTATTTACCTATACAGTTTACAATTTCATCCTACTAATAATTTTATTCAGTTAAATTCATCCCAACTCATAAAACATAGTGATATTTTTTTTACAATTACCTACAATAATATGTTAAAATATGATGTTTATTATAGAAATGTGTTCAATTATGGTTATACCTAGGTAATCGGTTCCTACTATACAAATAAATGTGAAACTTAGGTGTATCATTATCTTCTGTTTTATTTAGTACATTTATAATTTTAAATACCATGATTTAAACTATAAACTCATGAAAAATATTTTTTATACTTATAAAACAGGTTCCACTAGTACCACTTGAAAGTAATAAAAAAGAAACAAAAAGGATTGAAAAACAAAGAGATGATTGTCCTTTAGATAAAGATGAATTGGGTTTGTAAATATTATTTTAAACTATTTCACAGTTATTCTACAATTATTGCTTTAAATTGTATTGAAAAGGTCGCAGTACTTGGAAATTACTTCATACAATAGCTGCTACTTATTCAGATAAACCATCTGCAGAGGAGCAGTGCAATACTGAACAATTTATTAAATTACTACCAAAAGTCTATCCTTGTGAAACTTGTGCTAATGATTTTTCAGAAATGTTAGTATAGTTATTTTGTTTTGGATGTATCAAACAAAATTATTAAGTTTTAAATACCTGTATTATTTATTTTTTCAAGTTTAAACTATAATATTTTATTTAAATCATTTTGTGATACATATTAAATTATTATTAGAACTAAAATAAACTATTAAAATCAAATTAAATAATATGTTTATTATTTTCAGACTAAAATATCATCAACCAGATGTCAGCTCTCAAAAAGCATTTGCACATTGGATGTGTGAAGTACACAATATGGTAAATAAGAAGTTAAAAAAACCATTATTTGATTGTTCTAAAGTAAATGAAAGATGGCGAGATGGTTGGATTGATGGGCATTGTGATTAATATAATAATTAAATAAAATTAGATAAATATTTTTAGGGAATAACTACTATTAATTTTTAAATTATTTTATATTCAACTCAATTTTATATTGAACTCTGAATTTGTAAAGTTTAGCTTTTAATGTTTGTTTGAGCAAAAATAATAACATTGTGTTGCATTTGTACAATATAACAAATTTTCTAGTATTATTCATTAAATACTAGACAATTTGTAAAAATTATAATATTCAATAAAATAAAATTTAATTTTGAATAATTATTTATTTTTTTGGGGATAATATAAATTTGTATAAAATGATTTTATGACTATAATATTATATTTATAAATAATAAGACCTAAGTTGTAATTAGTGGTAAAAATAAAAAGTTGAACATAATAATGTTAATTTGTTTATAATCATTTTGATGAAAATTGTAAAAAAAAGATGGGATTTTATTATATTGACTTCACTCAGAATCATATTTTATCATTATTGATTTATAGTTGTGTACAGATATAAATGAAATAATTGTGTGTATCCTACCTTCCCAACTTCTCACCTACAACAGTAGCCACTCCCATCCCCAGTATCAGCTCTTTTTTTTAAAAAAATGTTTATTAAACTTTTTTGTTGAATGTATAGAATTCTTCGAAAATATTACTAGTTACCACAGATTATTTTTGGTTTTCAATGGTTTCATTTAATCTGTGATATTACCATAGACCATTTTATGTCCTTATATCATATATAATACAAATATAATATAAGTTGAACTTATATGATTTAAGGTCTATGGATATTACAGTCGATTGTTGTAAAAAGGCCATACAAATAATATATAACGCGGTTCGGCTATCGTTCAGAAAACTTTTAAGTAAATATTATATAAATATTTTCGTCCAAAATTTGTTTCATCTTAAAATAGTGTAGAAAAAATAATTTTCTTCCAATATATTTTTACCATAAGGTAAATCAAATGGAAACGATACACATATCGAACTGTTTCATAGAACGAATTAAATTTCAAATATATATAAATATATTTATCTTTAAAATCTATGAATTATTTAAAAACAAAGATTTCATTTGAGCTTTGAGTAGTATTCCATTATCAATGTTTTCGTTATTCAGTTTTGTATGTATTAGTTACCTACACTGGACATTATTTGAAAGTGCCTAGATTTTAAGGTTATTGTTCATTTCTATAGAAAACTTGATAATTGATAATATGATAATATGGTACAATTTAATAATTTATACCTTTCTGTTATACCTATTTTTTTTTCTTTATTTGCATGCAGATTTAATTTTCTTCTATATGAATGTGTTGTATTAAATTAAAAAATTTACTTTACCTAATAATTTCTAGTTAGTTGATTGTGAAAAAATAAAAAGAGTAAAATGCCTCCTAAGCCAAAGGCACAAGGAACTAGCAAGAAAGCTGACCAAAAGAAAAAGGAAAGAGTTATTGAAGTAAGTTAAAGAAATTGCATTTATTTAACTAATTTTTAGTACAGAGACTACCCTATGTTAAAATAATAACTGTATACAATTTTTATGCATATTATAGGATAAAACGTTTGGTTTAAAGAATAAAAAAGGAGCCAAACAACAAAGATTCATTCAACAAGTTGAAAAACAAGTTAAATCTGGTGGTATACCAGCACGCAAAGTAGATGACAAGAAAAAAGATGATAAAACTAAAGATGATTTAGGATTAATATTTAAACCTGTTCAAAAAGTTGAAAAAGGTAAAAATCAATATTTTGTTTATTTGATCTGGATCCTTGGAAATACCTGTGATATGATATATTTATAACATTCTGAAATTAATTAATGTAATATGGTAATCAGTATTAAATTTGATTATTTTAAAATTATTTACTTCTTATATTGTGTAATTAAATTATAGGTGCTGATCCAAAATCCATCCTATGTGCATTTTATAAACAAGGTCAGTGCACAAAAGGTTCAAAATGCAAATTTTCACATGATTTAGCTACTGAAAAAAAAGCTGAGAAAAGAAGTATGTATGTGGATATGCGCGATGGTGATGAAAATGATACTATGGAAAACTGGGACGATGAAAAGCTCAAAGAAGTAGTAGATAAAAAACATGGTGAAAATGATAAAAAACACCCGACAACTGACATTGTAAATATATATATATATTTTTTTAATGTATTATTAAATATATTAATCATGTTTTAGATTTGCAAATTTTTCTTGGAAGCTGTTGAAAAAAGTAAATACGGATGGTTCTGGTCTTGTCCAAATGGAACTTCTTGTATTTATAGACATGCCTTACCATCTGGATTTGTTCTTAAAAAGGTTAGGTTTTACTTTTTATTTATAGATACACCATGTAAAATAAAATTTAAAACATTCAAAATTAGAATAGCTTACATTACTTTGTATATGCTTAAATATTGGCATTATTTGTATTTTAAGGATAAGAAATCAGTTGACAAAAAAGATGAAATTCAATTAGAAGATTTAATAGAAAGAGAACGAGCTGCATTGAATTCTGTAAAATTTACAAGAGTAACCTTAGAGAGCTTTTTAGCTTGGAAAAAACGTAAAGTTAAGGAAAAGAAAGAAGCTATTATTAAAGATGAAGAGAAAAAACGAACTGATTATAAAGCTGGGAGACAAATTGGGGTTTGTATTGTTTCCAATTTTTTTTTCCGTTATGATTCTAATTCAGTATTTATGTAATTGTTTAGCTTTCCGGTCGTGAAATGTTCTCCTTTAATCCTGAGATGGCTGTTGGCGATTCAATGGACGATGGAGAAGAAGCCTTTGATTCTTATTTAAGAGATGAAGAAGAAGATAATGAAAATATTAAAGTAAGTTGTTTTGAATAACATATACTAATCCTAGTCATAAAAATAAATCACTCGAGTTGTAATTGAAGATCTTAGAAGTAATTAGAAAATAATTTTTAAGTTTATACACTTTATTAATTTGTATAAAATTGCTCAATTTTTCAGATGTTAAGTAATATTGATATATAAACATTTTTGTACAACTATAATAAATATTTAATTTAAATATTAATACAATATTTAAATTTGTATTATTTATTTTAAATGTATTGCATGTTCTATAGGTTAGAGAAATTCAATTAGAAGCATTAGAATTGGAAGCCAGTGAAGTAGATGATACTGGTACTCGGTTACCTCAAGATCGATTTAACGGTTCTGATGTTGCTACTATGCCAATTAATGAAAACCTCTTTTTAGATGAAGATCTAGATGATCTGGATGATGAATTAGAAGAATTGAATTTAGAAGATGATTCAACAAATTAAGATATTTTACAAATAAATACAGCTTTAACAAATAAACATTTTTATTGATAATAATTCATAAATAATTGCTTCCTTTGTTTATTATTAAATTAAAATACAAAAGAAAATGTATCCAAGTCTATATTTTTAAATTTTCTATAGTTTCACAAATTGTATATGCCGATTCTAAACAACCATTAAAATTTGACTGTGTAAAACAATCTCCACCAGCTATAATTGGAATGGATTCATTTAGTATAACACAACCTGGACTGTTGCTATAAGAATTAACTACTTGCGAGTATAACCATTTATGCACATTACATAATTCAGGTGAAGGCCAGTCTGGAAACAATTCATTTACTTTGTCAAATAACATTTGATATGCACTTTCTCTTGTTTCTGTTACATGTGTTTCTCCAAATTCTTTAGTTGTGTGGAAAATAACACTGTCTGGTGCATCGTATTGACCTCGTTTTCGATTATCTATAGAAACATACCTGAATGTTTTATCGTCAAGGAATTTTACATCCCATTCTTCTTTTATTATAGGTTTCTCATAGAACATATTAAATGTGAAGCGAGTGCTGTAAGTAACTTTTTCCAGTTCATTGCGGACTAGTTGAGACATTGGACACTCCATTTGAAGAATTTGAGGTGCTGGTACTGTTATTATAATTAAATCAAAAAATTCTTCACTTCCACATATACTTATCACTTTACCTGATGAAGTAATTGCACTAACTCTTCTTTCAAATTCAATACAATCTACATTAGCGTTATTCAAAAAATATTTAACTAGAGAGTTGGTACCATTAGGTGCTATAAAGTGATTGTTTTGATTATTTGATTTGGACAACCCTTCAATTTTACAATCCATAGGAGTCAATGTTTTGGTAGAAATTAATTGTTCATATATCACCGAGTATTTTGATAATGCAGATGAATCGGTGGTTATGAATTGAACACCAAGATCAACAGATATACCTTTAGGGCCACGGCGGACTGAAGCACGACCACCTGGACCTCTGGCTTTCTCCCACACAGTTAAATGAATATTTGGAATACGAGCACGTAACAAGTATGCAGTAGCTGTAGAAGTTAATCCACAACCAATTAAAAGTACTTTCATTGTATATAATAATGTAATTATTTAAATTACAGAGAAGATAATTAAATAATATAAATATTAAATTAACAAGAAGTTATTTAATATAGCTATATAGGTAATGCAAATACAAATTCAATAAATAATATGATAAGAAACAAGGTTACAAATGTTACAATCTAGAGTAAGTTATGAATGAACTACTTGTACATGTAATTTAACCTATTGATCTGCGGTAATACTTTTAACATATTTTTACATAACTTTTTATGAAATTTTAATAATTTTTTTTAGTCTTAAATGTTTCAGATGAGACCAGTTGTCCGAAAATGATAAGGGCCGAACATGAAAAGTAGAGTGCGTTCGTTTATCAGCTTATCAGCGCCACCGCACAGTCACAGTAACTTGCAAGGTCTACGTGATTCTGGACAAATATGGTCTTACTTGCGCCGCTTATCATAATATAAAATTCATTATTAACATAATTTGTGTTTATCAACTTATAGACATCGATGATGATTATTTAAAATTGTCAAAATTTGTATTTCTTCTCTTCCAATTATAATTTTAATTATTATTCATGCCAGTTTGGGTTTATGAGGGGTGTTTCGTTGGAAGTTAGAGAAAACATAAAGTCAGGGATCCGACTATCTATCTGCATATATTTTCAAAAGACCCTGAACATAGACAAATATGGGTTAAACAAATTGTAATACACAGTTATAAAAACGATGGTAACAATATAAACTGTTAAACAATAATAATATTCTTGAAATTGCATTATTCATTAAATTTGATAAATTGTATGTTTATTTTATCATGACTATAATTAGTTATTAGGTCTATGGTTTAGCCAAGGTGGATTAATCTATCTTGAGTATGGTGTTTAATACAAAGATAATAAATAATGGATAGGCCATCTATGCCTATCATATGGGAATCAACCTTAGATCATATACAATGGAGTACATGTTAGTGATGAGTCACTAGGTGAGTTGCCTTTAGTGCGCATACGTGTCAGTGACTAATCGCATATTTATCTCAAATTACCGATATATATATTTTGTTTTTATCTGTTTTGTATTATAGGTACTTTATACAGATTTCAGTTTATTATAAATTCTACGACAAAATATTTTGTCATGACCAATAAATTCAAGTTTTAAATTCATTAAAATGTATATTATTATTATCACTTATTTTAATAATTATCATATGATATGGATAAATACGCGACTAGTCGCTGGTACACATGTGCACTAAATGCAATTCACCTGGTGACTCGTTGTTAACATGTATATCAAAATATTGAGTTATGACAACATTCATTTCATGATCTGGAATGGGGTCCATGTTTCTATAATGATATCTTTCTAGGTTTATAGTTGTTACTGCTAACTGCAGCTATCATTAATTAGGTATACTTAATCAATACTGCTACTACTGTGATTGGCGACTACTATCAATTTGAGAAAATGTTGAAATATAATCTATTATAATATTATGTCCAAATTAAATCATTTTTCCATAGGGTGGCTGCTTTTATCATGTATCTTTGTCAAGCTATTTTGTATATATCCGCATGCATACTTATTGTAATAATTAATTTACAGATTGTACGCCTTAAAATAAAAGTTATAAAAAAAAAAAAAAAAAAAAACATTAAACCATTAAAACCTTGGTACATATTTTAAAATAGTCATTTCTAATAATAATTAGGTAACTGGGTCGTTTATTCCAGTTAGGCAAGTACTGATAAGAACTATTCTTTTTACTGTTTGGTTTGCAATAATAATAATCACAGAATATATCTTGTAATAATTCCTCTGTCAGAGTTAGAGGCATTTATAAAAAAAAGTCTCTCTTCCTCATTCTGGCACAATTTTTATAGAAAATGTATAGAATTAAAGTAAAGACTTGATTATGTTCAGCGATGACGGAAAATTGTCTGAACAGTGAATTAAAATAGTTTTTTCATAAAACGTAAAAAAAAACGGGAAATTTACGAAATTAATGCTTTCATTACTTTATCAATTTTGATATTTGTTGTAATTCAGTCAAAAATATTAGTAAATACTTGAAATTTGGACAGAATCTTATATTTGCCTTTTCTAGACGTGGTAATAAAATTTAAGCCAATTTTGAGCTATTTATAGACATTTTAATTTTGCGAGTTTTTACGTAATTTTTATTCAGTAGATACTCTGTGGTAAAATTATTAGACCTGATAGAAATGTTTGAAAATTTAACAGGAGGTTCATTAAATTTTACTTTATAGTAAAAAAAGTAATAATAAGTTTGATGTAGTATTTGTTTTTATAAAGGGATTCTGATACTACCTTTTGACGAAATTTGTTTGAGTAAAAAATTATGTAGAACAAATCCATTTTTTCAATTTTTATTTTTTGAACATACATTTATTGCTGATTTAAGAAGAATAGTAAAGTCAGAATAGAGCGGACTGACTAAGTTTCGGCTATAGCCTTTTTAAGTACAGATATTATGCAGATATTACACGTTTATGTTAAATAACTATATTACCTTCTATACGTTACCATACTATACGTTTGTTGTAGTTAAATGTTCATGAATACGTATTTTCATACTAAGGATCGCGGGTTCGGGGTTGATAAGAAATTCTTTGCACTTTTTTCCCCCCTTTTACCTAAATAGGGGAAAAAAAATGAATTTTAAGTGTACCTAGAGATCTAGCTATCGCTCGCTCAGACGATTATAATCGAAAAATACTCTTTGGTTTGTTGTGCAAACTTTTCTACCAGAAATCTTGTTCTCATGTATCAAGTGTAGCTAATTTTCTGAAAGGAAATTTTATCTCCATGGTTTAGGGAGGTCATTTTTGTAATTTTTGTCATTTTTTTGTAATCGGTTTTCATAATAACTGAGAAAAACCAGGATAAAATGTCGAAAAAAAGGAAAATTAACGAAATGTAGGTATTAGTAAAAAAATATTATGGCTTTTTTTTTCTGTATACAACTTTTCTACCAACAATTTTGCTCCAATTTATAATGATAGTACTTTTTCTGAAAATAAATCTGACTGAGAAGGAACTTTAGAGTGGTCAATTTTGATTTTCCCAGAAGTTTTCTCAATAAATGTGATAATATAGGAAAATCGATACAATATTAAACAAATATTATTAAAGAAAATATATAATGCCTACTTAATTATTTTACAATAATATGTCATATATATTGTTGACAAAGCATCACTATCAACTGAACTCCGCTCAGAATCGTTTTTTCGTTATCAATGGTTTATTGTTGCTTACAGATATTAAATTACCTATAACAGTGGCTGCACCCGTCTCCATTATTCTAGGACGTATTTTTGTTTTATTTATATGGACAGGCTATTGGAGCTATAGATATATACAATCATAAAGCATATTTGTTTAGTCAAACAATTATATCTACTTACACATAGTAGGTACCTACCATGGAAAATTACGTAAAATTTATAATTTTAAATAGCTTAAAAATCGCCAATGTTGTAAAAATTTATCACGTCTAGAAAAGGTTTAAATTATTTTTATGTCATAATTTGAAATCTACGAATATGGTTAATTGAATTACAATAAAAACAAAATTGAAAATAATGAAACCATTATTTTCGTAAACTATAATCGCTAGATTATATTTTAAAAATTTAAATTGGTTGATATATAGTATGTAAAATTTAAAAGATACTTCCATTATAAATAGGTACATTGAGAAATATTATTAAAATGTAAAGCTATCAAGCTTCAGTAAGCTGCAGGGTCATCTCCAGACCTTGACTATAGGGGGGGGGCGGAATAATAATATTTTATATTAATGATTGATGAGGGAAAAGACGTACATACTTTGTACGATGAGTGGACCACTGTTATAGATAAGAATTTGGGAAGGTAAGGTATTGCAAATTCAATAAAACAGTACAATTTAAAAGTTAAATTACTTTTTTTCACATTAAATAAAATATATGGATAATAATTAAAATAATATTTATATGAATAACAAAAATAGAACAAATTTAGTTTAGCGCCCACCCGATTTTTTGAGTTTTTTTTTCAAAATGTGTGATTTAACTTTTATATTAAGAATATAAAAAAAAAAATCAAAGCGGACAAACTTCGTTTTGAAGTTATAAGGGAAAACTTCATAAAGTTCGGGTTTTCAGTTTACGTATTATACCTTTGTTAGAATTTAAAATATTCAATTTTTTTTTCTTAATAAAAACTTAACTATTATACTTTTATAGTTTTTGTACATAAACCTTAAAAAATAGTATTTTTGGAATTCATCCAAAATGTGGTCAAAAATTGACATTTTTTTATTATTATTATTTGTAATTGTTGAGATTTTGATTACAAAGTTGTTTTTATTGAAGTCAGAATAAGGCTATTTAGCTTAGTTTTAGAGTTGCAAACGTAAGATATATAATTCCAGGTTATTCCATTTATACAGGCCCAGATTTGACCCATTTGGATATCGTAATATGCCCCTGGATATCGTAATATTTTGGGCTCCTGGCCGTGGCTGGTAGTACTGTATAAACACCAATATTTTGAATATGTTTATGGACCTCTATAATTGTTTGGCTCAGGCCCAAAATCACCTTAATCCGGGCTTACATTTATATCTATAAGCAACGATAATCCATTACTTGACAAAAGATGATTCGGGGGGCAGTTCGATAATAAATAATTTGCCGTAATTTTTTTTAGTGATTTTCATCCGATGATTTTGGAAATTTTACCACGTCCAGGTAAGTCCAATAATAAGTATTATTACCAAGTTTGAAGTCGTCTCTACGTGTATTTATAACCGGATTACAGCAAAAAACTCCAAAAATAAAAATTATTTAAAAGATCAAATGTTTTGACGATGATAATGTAAGAAAGTAAACCAAAAAGGCAACATAAAAGGTATCTTGTTGTTTTTGGATTAAATTATATTTTCTGTTAGAAAACGTCGTCCGTGTTTATATATAATAATGAAATCGTGAAATTGTATGTTTTTCTACGTTTTTTTCCACTTAAAGACTTTTATTTAAAAAATTACGTCGAAAATCATAAAAAGACCTGTCTTAATTACAATCTAAACAACTTGAGTTAGTAGTTCGTAAAGATTAGAGCAAGTTTACTAAGAAAAAACGTGTCCACAGATTAGAACAAAGAAAAAAGAAATAAACATCTTCATAAAACCAATAGTCCCCTTACTACGCTTGGAATCTAAAATGTCAATTTTTGACTACATTTTGGATGAATTCTAAAAATGCTATTTTTCAAGGTTTGTGTAAAAAAACTATAAAAGTAAGTATGATAAGTAAGTTTTGATTATATTAATGAATTAAGCAGTAAAATACACAAATTTAAAAAAGAAAAAATTGAAAATGTTAAATTCTAACCAAAAAATAAGCGAAGTGGAAAACCCGAACTTTATGAAGTTTTCCCTCATAACTTCATAACGAAGTTCGTACGCCTTGACTTTTTTACATTCTTAATGTACACGTACAAATATAATTTTTGAAAAAAAAATCGCGTGGACAATGAACTAGATATATGCCACAAAAATAATAATAATAATAATATTAATAAAAATTAGATGACCAAGTCCAAAATACTTTTATTGTAAGCAGTGTTTTGCAAGCGGTTTGATTAACGATATTTTCTATATTAATGTTTTAATTTCGAAGAATATTCAAAAGTGATAAGCAAACTTAACCCAACCAAAAAAAAATTACATACAAAACTCGTAAAATTAAAATGTCTATAAATTGTTCAACAATTTTTTCACGTCAATAAAATGCAAATATAAGTTTTTTGTCCAAATTTTAGGTCTACGAATATTTTTAACTGAATTACAACAAATAACTTAATTGATTATAATAAAAGCATTACTTTCGTAAATTTTCCTTTTTTTCTTACGTTTTTTCTTGGGTTTCCTTGATATTATTAAAACTGCTTGGAAATTAAAAAAAATGACCTTCCTAAAGTACCAACCAGTCAATATGACAACATTTTCTTTCAAAAAACGTGTTACATTTACATACTAAGCAAGTTTTTGTAGACATTTTTGTTATAGTTTAGAAAAAAAAAACAAAAAATTGTAAATCCAATAAATACATTCTTTATTACACTCAGAATCTAAAATTTAAATTAAATTAATCATTTTCAATTTTGATTCTAAAAATATATTATTTTATTATATCTTTGCAAATTAATTGTTGTTCCCACTTAGTTTTCCATAGTTCTATCTCACCCTTGTGAGAATATTTATTGAAATTTATAAATGAGAAGTGTTTCATTTTTGTTTGAAGTATTTCTAAGATCCAATATCATCTTTATGACATTTAGAACCAGTTGCATTTGTATTTAAGAATTATGGATATTTTGTATAGCAAAATAGAATATCACATGGTTTATTGGAGGGGTCGATCGCCCCCCCCTTAGGAACACGCCTGGTAAGCTGGAGGAGTAAAATATATTAAATAGATATCTATTTAATTTTAGATCGTTGGTGTCATGCCCACGCCAACCCACTCACGCTTATTAATATATTCATAATTGTAAATATTATAACATAGGTATGCAATGTTTCAAGTTAAATGAACACAGAGATCTTTTCTGTAGTAAATTATTTGTGAAACTACAGTTTTTAGGTGCAATAATAATTTGATCTAGTTTTTTATTTACACATTTTTCATGGAACAATATGAAACATTACAGACACCAATTGGTGCCCAACCATTGAGTGTTGCACTGGAAGAAGTTGAAAGGTAAACTACTTTATACATACACAATATATTTACACAGGTAATAAAAATCAATTTGAATAAATATACTAACATTTGAATTTAATTGTGTGATGTAGTCAGTTGTTAACCAATGCAAAGGTGTCAATGTCAAATGTAAATTATTGTCAGAAGAATCAAAAATTAAATGTAACATCGGGAACAATGAAACATGGTCGTAGGATGAAATTGAATTGTAGGCATGGGTACAATATTTTAATTTTTTCCAATGGAACTGTATCCACTTCTGATGATGACATTGATAATCATTGTATATTGGAGATTACATCTATTTCTCCTGGACTTGTACGTATTAAAGGCGTTGAAGCTGATTTGTTTTTAGCTATGGATAACAAAGGACTGCTTTATGGAGAGGTAAACACTAGATGATTATATATATTTTTAACTAATGAATCAAATTATTTTTAGCCTGATCCTACCAATATGTCAACAATCTTCATCGAACAACCAGAAGGCCCTTATAGTGCATATTTATCTTTGAAATATCGACGAAAAAAGTGGTACATAGCTATAAAAAAAAATGGTATAATCAAAAGGGGCCCAGAAACTAAAAGAAGACAGCATGCTACGCATTTTTTATCAATTTTCGTATAATATACATTATAATTTTGAAATAAATAAATACATTTCAATATATTTTGATAAATATACATTATAGTTTTTAAATGTAATTTAATTTTTTTATTAAATTATTTAGTTGAATATTAATAAGACATGTCCCGATAAGATATTTAAAAATACAATGTAATAGATTTAAATCAAGAACACTATTTTAAAATCATAATAGTTATTTATTAAGTATGATCACTAATATAATGCAAATGCACTATATAAATCTAAAGCAATTAAAGCTAAGATAATAATAAAATGTTTTACAAACAATAATATAAAACATATCAATATCAACTGCACAAATCTATGCACAGTTATGTTTTACAATATTATGATAAATTTTAATACATATTTTGTTAATGGGAGTAGACATTAATTTGCATAAGCAAGTATAAGACATTTGGCTTTAGATCTAGAATAACATAGTTTAATATAATATAAATAAAATAAATGAAAATCGGAATATTTTTAAATTAAAAAAACATAGAACAATCACCTAATATTTTTAACAAAAAAAAAATTTAATACTGATATGAGATACATATTTTTACATGTTATTAAAATGTTTTATTTTTTGTCTAATTAATATAATAATGTTCTAATGGAATGCATTATTGATTATAAATAGTAGTATATTATCTATTAAATATGTAACATGAAATTAAGTAAAAAAAATTGAAGAAAAAAATATGTATTGATACAACTATAAAATGGTATAATAAGAATTACACTTTATTATTTCTTTTGTTATAATTATATTTGCTAAGATAATAAAAAAAAGAAATATAAGAAATCAAATTAATAAATATTTTTAATCAAAAGTTTAATATTGGAATTTAAACTTAATTTTCTAATTAGAAATATTAACTAGCGCATAAATAGTAAATTTTAAAATTATTATGGTTATAAATGATAATTTGGTTTGTGGTAAAACGCAATCAAGCTTTGTGTAGATTGTAACCATTTAAGTTTATCTAATTTTCGATGTTTATGGCAACAAATAAACAAAAAAATCCTTGTTGTACAAAATCATGAATGTACTCATTTCTTTTTTACTCTTGGAGACGTTGTTTGGAATACACTGGATGCAGACATTAGATTTTCAATGTATTGCCCTAGAACTTGGTTTTCAGATCTTAATTTCAGGTTTTCTTCTTTTACACTATCCACGCGCTGAGATAAATCTATATAATGCATATAGTATTAAATTTACACTTATTATGCAATTATTTTTGATTTTAGAAATTTACCATCCAATGTATTTTGTAATTCTAAAACTTGTGTGATAAGCCTTGCTTTTTCTTCCAATTCATCAGGACTCATATCAGGATCTAGACCTATGAATAAATAAAATAACGATATACTATATCCTTGTGTATTCTTTAATGTATGGGTTAAATGTATGATAAAAGTCCTGGGAATATATGAAGACTAACTGTTTCTGCTTGGACTACTACTGCCGTTTGTGAATGATGATTGTAATGAATCCATACTTTGATTGCGCACAATAACATCAGAACACTGAGATACATCGTGGTCATCGTGAATAATAGCTGCAAATATAATTCAAAAGTAAACAATCAATAGTACATGTTAGGTCGAAACATTATAATCATTTACCTTGAGGATCGTCGTCTGCTAGAGGGATATTATCCTCTGGAGACTTATTTCTGTCTTCATCCATAGTACGTTTATACATGTGGTATCTATATTATTACTCTACAATGTAAACCTTAATACACCTATACATCTATCTATACAAAGATATTTTGATTTTGACAGCACAGTATAATAAATAATATAATTACAACTGATTATAGATCAAAATATACAACTACTGTATACATAATAATATTTACATTTTCAATATTTTCATAATTTGTATTAATTTTATTACTGTCAACATTGTATTGTGATAGCGATAAAATAAGGGTAATAGATAATGCGCGCGAGTTGCCAACACAACGAAACGCGAGGAACAAAAACATCATGTTATTGCGCTTAAAATCCGTAGGACCACGGAGTCGAAACGACAATGAAAATCTGTTCGCATTGTTGTTGAATTACATCCTTAGTCCGTCGGGACTCATACTCATCCGAGTTTGATTCTTTGTGCTTTTGTTTTTATCTAGTAGCCCTTTTTTCCATATCCATATTACTACTCTACTGTGGACTGGACAGTGGACACCGGTGTACGAGGTAAGTACCTATGTAAAATTGTGCTGTAATTGTTTTACAATCGACGAGACACGTTGATACCACTGGCAGACAGTACTCGTATCTAGGCCAAGATTTCTGTATCGGAAAAATTGAATAAGAAAACTCTTTTGTTGCTGTACAATCCGTGCGACCGCGCACGTCGTTGTGTGTTGTAGTGACAACAAACTAGTTTTCCATATCTGATAGGTTCCCCTCTGTATTTTACTCGTGTCACGTTCTGCAGTTGGTTGCTGATAGAAATTACTTTTAATCAGAAACAGTTGTTGTTGTTAAATTAGTTTGAAAACTCCACTGACGAATTATATTTTGTGTATCACTATCACAAATGTCATGGCCGTGTTTGACGATATACAGCGGTATGATGAAGAGATTGCTTGCTCATCTATGGATGAAGCATACTTAACACACGTCCAGGATCCGATACTCATAAGAGGCATTGGGAACCTTACTGTGTAAGTAATCTGCATTCTTACTATAATATACCTTATACATTTAATGTAATTATTTATATTATTAATTTGAACATAATATTTTGTTGCACAATCATGGTCATTGTGCTTATATTATATAAAGATATCAAATTATTTGTTTAAAAATGTATACATATCATTGTGTTCTGTGCTCAAAAACACTATTTTATAAAGTAAAAAGTATTTAAAATCTATAATAAAAAATAGTTATATTAGTTACTATCAAATTTAATTTATGTAACATTTTAGTTGTAAAAGTTCTGTGAAATCAACATCCCTAGGTTTATTTAATGGTTTGAATTTAATAGGAATATTATTGATTTATATGATATGCTTAACTATGTATTTGATATGTAATGTATTATAAGAGTTAAAGATAATTATTATTATATAAGATAAAACTTTAATACGTGTAGGTTGGGTGAGGATAATAAAAATATTTGAAATTTATTGAACAATAAATTATTAATTGTGTTTCATAATATGTAATTCAAATTTAATTTGTTTAGGTTATTTTTTTATTTAACTAGATGACTTTACCGTGCTTACTTAACTTAATTCCCTGCTTGCTTTACTCATTTCCTTGATTTGTATGCAATGCTCTGTGTATTGTAATGAGTAACAATGTAAATTGTGATCCATATGTTATTAAATTTGTATTGAAAAGAAGTATGTTGCCAGGCAATATTACAGAAAAATAGTATTTACACAAATAACTTTTTTATTCACTTATATACCTAAAAAATTGTTGTATACATCATGTTATAAATTCAAGAAAATGGTAACCTTAATCCAGATTAGTGACTGGTGTAAACTAAGTAATTTTCTGTTACAAGATTAAAACTTCAAAATTTCTAATTTTCAAAAGTAATTTCAGATGCCTTAAACTTTTTCACTGATTGCTTATATTAGCATTTTCTAAATGTGGCATAATTTTCAACAAATTCTATTTATTTTCTTGTCTTTTGTAAACAAACAATTAGTAATTTATTATTATCGGAGTCTCAGGTTTTGAAGTGCCACATTATTTACGATTTTTGTCAAAATTTAATCTTAAAACGTCCATAAAAAAAAAAAAAAACTACAATATCAACTTTAACTAAGTATTTATTTTAATTTTTATAAAAATGTATAGCTTGTTTATTACAATAAACTCTTTTATTATTTTCTCTATTTATCTAATTTTGTACATCATATAAGTTATCAGTTATATATTATACAATTTGTGATATTTCAAACCTGGGCATAATTATTTATTTATTATAGATATAAATGGTCTACTGTCTATCTGGCTGTGAGATAAAATTATATATTAATCTATGTTTGTTCTACAACAGATATTGAAAATAGCACATTTCTAACATTGCCAATATATTTTACTCACATTTGACAAAAAAACATTGTTATAATAATTATTTAAGTTATAAAATAGTTGATATATTTTATTTTTTATCCAAATTATACTTGTTAACTACACAAAATTAACATTTTCAGTAAATGTTTAACTTATTAGATGTAATACTATACTAATAACTTCTACAAACACTAAACATCAGAAATAAATATATTACAACATAATATGGCAAATACATTTTTAATTATATAATAATATATATTAGGTATATTTTTATTTGTAAATAATATAGTTTGGACAAAAATCAGTTTGAAAATTACTTTAATGAGCAATGTATTGAGATTAATTTGAATTTTACTTAAAACCGGCTTAAAAAGTAGTTCAGAATGGTTTAGATTAAAATTATAGTAAATAGATCATCTCTTTTTTTCAATTGTAAATTTGATTAATTTTTTTATCTACTGAATATCTAAACATTTTTTAAGTGGACTCTCTGAAATAATCTTAAGCAATTTTAACAATGATGACATATTTTAGAAATAAATGTATAAAATATAATAAAAACAATGGGAATATTTTTCAATATGTACATATTTATTTAACTATAAGTGTTTTAATATCACTATTATTTTTGATCTGATACAATCACAAATATGAGAAATATATGTTTACATGATGCTACTCCATCAAGTGCAGCTTTATAAATTTATATTTTTTTTTGTAAAAGGAAAAAACTTAACTAATATATTCTTTTATAACTGATATTATTTATCTTTGAAAAATATAAATTATCTAAAATATTTTCAATAAAAATATGTGTACCTAAGGTAAAATAATATTGAAAAAGCATAGATAAAATTACATATTTCTCTAGAAAATCAATAAGTCACAAGTTGTAATGAAATATAGGAACCTATTTATTATTTGCAGATTTTGTTACTGTTGCAGTTTTCCAATAACAAAAGTAAAGTGGTATTAAACACCAATCATAACATTAGATAACATATTAATTTTATCTTAGTAATGTAAAATACTCAATTTATGATTAATGTGGTTATTGATATTAGGAAAAAAAAATATGTGTGTATTCCTACCCAGGTATATTTCATAAGTAACTAAAATTAAAAATAGAGTTTTTATAAATATTTTTGGTTTAATAAAAGATTATAAATTTGAAAATGTGACAGATTTACTCTGTTCAATGTGAAGACCTTGATTAAAGTAATCTAAAAATCAATAAAAATAATTTAAAATTGTACAAAATTTAAGTGTAAGCATTTAAAAAAAAAAAAAAGTACTAAGCAAATAATTGGAATCCAGGGGTTAAAGATATTCTTAAATATATAAGTATCTGAGTCAGTTAAATAAAAAAAAAATATTTCACTCAATTAATTTACTTATGATATTTAATATTTTGTTGTAGAATATACTTACTCAAAATAATTTGTTTCAATATTAAAAAAAAAAATGTATACATTATACTTTTTAAATTTATTTACATAACTAGAAAGTACAAATATTAAATAATTTAACCTAGTAATTAAATTGTTAAATAATTATTTATATAGATATGTAAATTTAAATAAAGTACCAAACAGAAAGTTTTCTTTTTTTAAAAATTTTTTACTAACTGATAAAACACATAATGCTATGATTTTCTCATTCTAAAACTAATTTTTTAGTCATAAGTACTTAGTTAAGCTGGTGTTAGTTTTAAATTTACATTTTTTTAAAAGAACATGAATCTAGTATTATACATCTAAACAATTTGTATGTCATAAGTTGAGAAAGCATTATTAAAATATATCAAGTATACTAAAATATAAGATCTGTACTCTTATTATTTGTATTTATTTATTGTTTAGTTTTGGGTTAAGTAGCAGATTTCAATCAGAGTTCCCTAGTGCACTTGTATCACGAGTAGCACCTGAAGAATTTGAAGAGACGATGGGACGGATCAATTCTGTATTAAAGAAAAGCCTACCAATGAATGCTAAATGGTTGTTTTGTGGATGCATGTGCTGTTGTTGTACTCTTGGTTGTTCACTTTGGCCTGTTATTTGTCTTAGCAAAAGGGTAATTAATTTTGGCTGATGTAATTGTAACAATTAATTTATATAATTACTTATTGTGAAAATTATGTTTTAGACTCAGCATAGTTTGAATAAATTACTTGATTGGGAAAATAATCATCTTTATCATAAAATTGGTTTGCATTGGAGATTAAACAAACAAAGAGTAGATACTTCTTCTATTACAGAATATGTAAGTTTTAAGGCATTAATTATTTAACAATTTAATTGCTAGGTTAAATTATTTAATATTTATACTTTATAGTTATGTAAATAATTTTAAAAAAGTATAATGTATATATATTTTTTTTTAGTATTGAAACAAATTATTTTGTGTAAGTATTTTCTACAACAAAATATTAAATATCATAAGCAAATAAATTGAGTTAAATCATTTTTTTTATTTTCTGACTCTGATACTTATATATTTAAGAATATCTTTAAACTCTGGATTTAAATTATTTGTTTGGTTTTTTTTTTTTTAACTGTTTGTTATTGGACATCTAGTTTGATATACATAATGTATGACTCTCAAGACAATTTTACAATTTTGGTGCTCGGGTCCAATTCATTCAAATATCAAGTTAAGAAATTCCACAATGGTTGTGATTAATAGTTTATCTATACACAATGTTCTTTTTTTTTTTAAATGAATTTACTAAAGAAATACTTTAAAATGTGTACTTAATAATTTCATCAAATTCTATTTAAATCATTTCTATAACATTTTAAAAATATTTATTCTGTAATCCACAAATTTGAGATATTTTTAAACATATTCAGATTTAAAATTTTTAGATTAATTAAATTCTTATATTATTGATTTTTTTAAATGAATACTGTGCAAGCTAATTTGTATTTATTATAGTTTAAAATTTAAATCTAATAGTACTGAGTAATGTTAGGTGTAAAATACTTTTTTTACCATTCTCTTCTATATCTTATTGTTATTAATTATACTAAATTATGTAACATATGTAAATATATATATGTATTTTTTTTTTTTACAGGTTCTTTTGGTGGAGTTTATTCCAAAAATACCAATTTATAAACCAGATTAAATAAATTTCATGAATACGTACAAATTGTTTGTCTCCAACTGTTCTAAGATATTTGTTGATATATTTATTTAAATTTATCTATTTTACCAGAAAGTATAGGACATTTAATTTGTATTCTTAACTACTATGGAGCGTTACTTCAGTCATTCACTTGCTCAATATAATAAAATAAATAATCTAATTTGTATATGCCCATGTGAAATTAATGATTAATGAGAATTAATTTTATAATTTTGAAATTTACGAATAAATATTAATTTTCATACAATTAAAATTTGATGAAGGGAGATTTAGGTTAAGGCTTATTTTTTTTTACTTAATTTACAAGTAATGTGTTATGTGATATTTATCTGTGAGATACCTGAGCGGTACTTAATAATGAAAGTTTTATGTCTTTCTCATCCTTAGAAGAATCTGACCTGTTTATTTTAATTAATGTTATTATTTTTAATAACTCATAGATTTAAAATTAGATTTGTAAGTCAATTAACCGAACAAAAATGTATTATCAAATATCTGTATATGTCGAGTTATGAACTTAAATTTAGTACTTAAGTTAACAATATTAAGTAAGGAAAATTTCATGACATCACATATATTTAATTTTTCTTTATTGAAAATGACATTTCATAATTTGAATAAAAATTAATTTTTGTTTGGTATAAATTGTATAAGACATTATTTTTTTATATTATCTGTTTTTTGTTTAAGTACTGTTAAACATACGTGCTTCCAAAGGATCAAGTATGTTAGGTCCACGTGATTATTTTGTGCATAAATAAATATAATGTTAATATGTATAATCAAATTGTTTATATTTGTGGTGTAAATATTTTTTCAATAAATGTTGTTTGCAAATAAGCTTATATTTTTTTTAGTTATTTGTATTATTTGTGTATGTTATTTTTAAACTGATAATCTTTACTAAAGGACGATTATTTATTTAAAAACACATCTTTCATTAGGTTGTATAGCTAAATATTTTTTACTTGATAATAAGATTGAATTAATAAACCGGAAGTTTGCAATATATTTATTATTAAGTTATTCTAAATTAATTTTTTGACCTCTATTTTTGCTATAAATCCAAATTTGTAGTTTACAAAATAACATTGTATGGAATAAATATTCATCAATTATAAAAATAATATTTCGATGAAATTTCTAAAATATTGGAATAATATGTCAATTTGTAAAACAATAGATTTATTTGAATTTGATTTGAATAAGTAAAAAAAAAAAAAAAAATTACACAACAAAAATTAAAAGAATAATATAATATAATGTTTATAAAAATAATATTTTAGATAAATAATGGCATTTAGATAAATTAAAAATAAGTAATCAAAATATTAATTATTATACATAAACTTAAATAATATTGGTATAAACAATAAAGAAAAGTTAAACAAATATTTATTTTTATTGAACAATTTTACCCTGTTTAATAAATTGAGCATTAAGGATTGTTCGTTTAAATGTATCTTAAGTTTTTTTTTTTTTTGATTTAATACAAACTCGATATTTAATTCATACAGTTTCAATAATCACATGTTATTACATAATAATACATAAAATATAAGTTATTTTGGTTAACTTTTAATTTTTTTTATTTTAATATCACAATTTACTTTATAAATCATCAGGAAGTTCAGTAACAAAATTTGATGGAAATTGACCTTTACATCCATTACTTTCTCCATATAACCAATGTTCATTAATTCTTCTTAATACTTGAATTTCATCACCTTCCTAAATTGTTGGAAATTAATATTGATTATCGTAATTAATTATATATAATCATAAAATAAATATTATTATTGAAAATAGGGTATTAATAGGTTATTACTAATTACTTGTATACTTAGATCTTCCCAGCATTCTGGTTTAAATGGAAATACACAAATTACTTTGCAGATATAATCTAATTGTAATTCTTCGGGTAATGGATTAGTAACTTCAACGTAACTAATGGGAAACATTCCAGTATGTCCATTAAGTGTACCTTCTAACCATTCATCATTTACACGCTTTGTAATAAAAATTTGATCTCCTTTCTGGGATAAATACAAATTTTATTTATATAAGTAAAGAGTATATTTTAGTAGATAAGATATGATTATAATGGTACCTTAAAAACTAAATCGTCAACATGATCTGACATAAAATCAAACTGAGCAACACACTTTGATTGTGGTTTTGATAATTGATTTTCCTATAATAATAATGATAACAAAATTAAATTAAATAATAATAATTTTTTTTTTCAAAAAACAAATTGAAGCCATTATATTAATTAATTATGATAGTATAGTACAGGGGTTAGTAACCTGTGGCTCTTCAGTTCCACACGCAAAAATTAATTATTTTATGATCAAAAACAATATTTTATAATATTAAAAAAATGGATATTATTTTTGTTGCTTTTGGAAACATGAAATAATACATAACAATAACTTGATAGTAACCGCGCGGCGTACAGTCTATAGTAGTTATCGGAAGAAGTTAAAGAAAAAAATTACTTATTTTTGGTGAAGACATGGAGAGCGGTAAATTACTATATTTTAAAAATCTGAAGCAATATCGCGATGAAACCAATGCAACTATTGACATAAATTTCTTTTGCATAACTATAAAAAATGAAGGATAAATTCACCAAACAATTCGAGTAATTCAAAACAAACAAAAGTACTCTAGTACTTCACTAGTTCATAGTAAACCCACTCAACACAAACACACATGAGGTCAACATTGAACCATTTGGAATTGATGCTAGATCATTTCAAATGTAATGCTACATTTAAAAAGACTCGTGGAGTGGCAAGTTCACAGAACTCAAGAGCAAGTTGGAAGATCTGGAGGTCCCGAAATGCATGCAAGTTGCGCAAAACAAGTGGACAGCTCTAAAAGAAACGCTGTGATAATAGAAATTTATATTCAACGCATGGAATAGTCTTCCAGAATGCTACAGTGAGGTGAAGAAGTTAACATTTGGATTGCTGGCAATTTTTGGGTCAACATATTCGTGCAAGCAAGCGTTCTTTTGCATGAATACAATAAAAAATAAAGTAAGAAGCCAACTAACTAATACAAATCTAGAGCCGTGCTTGAACTTAAAACAGCAAGGTATGATCCAGATTTCACAAAACTTTCAAAAGACATGCAAAGCCGATGCTTCCATTGATATAACTATCTATTTATTAATAACTGCAGTATTTTATTATTATAGCTATTAAAATTTGAAAATAAAATTATATTAAAAAAATTACGAAAATTTTTAGTGGCTCTTTAAAATCGGAAAAATTTTGTGTATTGTAACTTTTGGCTCTTCCGTCGCAAAAGGTTGCCGACCACTGGTATAATACAACTAAAATTTATACTCAAGCAAATAGATAGAAATTTAAATTAACCAGTTAATTAATAGACAAATAAATACAGTGTTTCTAGTATTAGGTCTTCTAGTGCGGAATTATACAGAGTGATTTTTTCATTGTGAACCAGCAATTATATCAGATGATTTTAAATGAATTTGATTTCTGTTTTTTCTAATAACTATGGAATCATTTAAGGTTTATTTTAAAACAATTTTTAATTTTTTACCCCTACTATATATACCATAAATAAGTGCATATATTTGATTTCCAAATAGGAACCCCCTTTTTGAACACAGATTTGAATAGAAAATATTTTTTTAGATATTGTGATTTGCATATTACTTATATCAGATTTAGTCTTTATGAGTTATAACAGGTTAAAGTTTAGATTGGGTGAGTAGAGAGGGTATTAAATTACATATTTATAAATTAAATAGATTTTTAAGTACCTAACCATGAGTGCCGAGTTATTATCACAAGTGTTAATTGTTTAATCATGAAGATGTGCACACAAATCATGAAAAAGTAACTTTCAAAATAATAATTTTAGACATTACAACAGATTAGAGATATTTTTATATTTTTTGGATATAATAATAAAAAAGTTGTCCTCCTAGGATAATGGGGACGGGTAAAGCCACTGTTATAGGTATTTTAATGTATATCTGTTAGCAATGACTAACCATTGCTAATGAAAAAACGATTCTGAGCAGAGTTCAGTTGATAGTGATGTTTTGTCAACAATAAATAATATGTCATATTCTGGTAAAATAATTAAATAGGCATTATATATTTTGTTTAATAATATTTGTTTAATGTACCAATTTTCTCGTAATTCCTGGTTTTCCACTTTTTTTTTCATAGTTTTTCACATTTGCTGGGAAAACTCTTGAAAAAATCAAAAATTGACCTTCTTAAAGTAAGTATCTCCACACACAGATTTTCTTTCAGAAAAGGTGCTACATGTAAAAATTGGAGCAAGTTCTTTGGTAGAAAATTTGTCTACAGGAAAAAAAAATAAACATCTTTGTAAAACCACAAGCTTCTTCGCTCCACTCAGAATCTAAAATAAATAGAAGGCAATATTTTCTCATTTGCCTTTTACAGTACCTACCTACAATACGAAAATCTATTATATTATCATAAATGTTGTAGCGATACATTTTATTTTATTTATTTATTTATTTACCTACCTTATTTTCTAATTGATGTTTGAATAACGCAAAAGTTCAAAATATATTATGGTTATCTATGTTTATTTATACCTAGTCGTAGCATTGATTAATTAGAGTCCAATTAATGATAGTAAATACTTTAGATCACTTAAGGTGGCACTTAAAATCAGCACTTAAAGTCTATTTAAACATGTCTGTTTTGTAGTCAACCCGTATCCATACCGTACATTTAGTGTCAGTGTTACTCGAATCACACATGTCCGATCAGTGGTGGATGTAGAGAGGTAGCCCAGGGGTCTTGGTCCGCCCTCAGACTATACAGAATATACAAAAGTTTTTACTTCCACAAATGATTCATTGTTTAACGCATATACAGGATGATTTTTTTTTATGCCTATCTATAACCCTTCTCTACTGCTCTCGCTGATCTAAATTTTAAACTGTTATAATTCATAAACGTAAATTTGGTAAATCTGATATTAGTGTTATGCATATCAAAATTTCTAGACAAATATTTTCTATTCAAATCTATATTCAAAAAGGGGGGAGGGTCCTATTTGAAAATCAAAAGTATATATTTAAGGTATATGGAGTAGGGGTAAAAACTTTAAAAAGATTTGAAATAAAGCTTAAATGATTCTATTATAATTAGAAAAAAAAACAGAAATCAAAGTCAGTTATATCCATTTTAAGTTTCATATCCTAAAATATAGTAATTATCTGAAAATGTCAGTGTCAAAAATCCTTATCAACTTGTCATAAATAAATATTTTATTGCTGGTTCAATACCTATTTAATAAAGAATATATTTATAAAAAATATATACATGTACATATATTTTATTTCTTGATATAAAAATTATATTAAAAGTTCAAATAGAATCTGAATTTCAAATAATATATAATTAAGAAAACAAACTTCAACATCAATGAAATTAATTAGTTAATATGTAATTTATTTATTTTATAAAATTACATAATTGATGACTACATGTATCGTATATATATATATATATATATATAATATAGATAAATATATAGTATAAGTATTTTAAGAAACACACAAAATAAAAAAATTGATACTTTGGACATTATGTTATTGTTGTAGGTGGGAATTGGGAGTCACATAGGTTATTTAATTTATATCTGTAAGCAATAATAAACTATCGCTAATAATAAATGATTTTGAATGAAGTTTGGTTATACATGTCATAATATTTACAATTTTTCGACAAAATAAAATCTTAAAAATGCAAATAAAAAAAAACTATATTATAATCAACTTTTTTTTTTTTTATAGCAAAGTACAACTTTAAGTGAAATTTTTGTTTGATTGAACAGTTTTTCCACATAGTAACTACCGAAAATAAAACTAGAAAATGTAAAATGCTTATAAATAACTCCAACATATTTTAAAGATTTTACCATATCTAGAAAACTGTAAACTTTCCCTGTTCTTTCTAAATATTTTCCAGGTTTTTATCAATTATTAAGAAACCTATATGAAAAATACACAACTTTTTTAATAACCAACAAGATCTAAATGCAATTAAAAGACCTCTTGTAGTTTTTCAAATGGGAAAATATTTCTGGTAGAAAGCATAATGAATAAAACTTTAAAATAATAAAATCTGTAATGACAAAGCGAGCTGTAAATAATTAACTGTTTTCCCAATTGTTTTGAAAACCTCTTGGAAAATTAAAAAATTACTTCTCTAATTCATTAATTAGATACAAAATGTAACAAAGACCTCTTGCCATTTAACGATTAGAGCAAGATTTCTGGCTGAAAAGTTGTTTACAGACAGAAAAAAATAAAAATCACTTCACTTAGTTTAGAATCCAAAACATTCATAGAAATGAATGTGTTTAAAAACAAAACATCTTAAATTTGTACAATTTTTAGTTGTCTCATTTCTTTTCTATACAGTTATTAAATGTATAATTTAAATTTAAATTCCTTGATACTAAACTGACATTGGTGTAACGTGATTTAAAAACAAATTATTAATTCAATAGTTTTATGTCATATGTTATTCAACCTATAGTTATGCAAAACAATAGAAATAAAATATTTACTAACTAAACAAGAATCTATTGGATACGTTTATGCACTGTATTATTTATAACAGCTCAAGCTCATACACAAATTTTGATATAATATTAGTTTAACTTACCATATCATTAGGTCTTGGTGGCAATTTGGGACCATTTAATAATACATTTAAGGCATCTGGTGGTAACATTGGAGGAGGTAATGATGGTGGTGGTAATGAATTTTCAAGTTGCAATTGAGAAAATGTTGTTTTTAAATAATCCATATCTTTATTTGAACATAGTAAATCAAAATCATCTTCAAAACCACTGCTTTCAGCTTGAGATTCTTTCCACGGACTAAAATCACTGTTGAAGCTATCTACGCTATTTCCGTCACTACTGGATCTAAACAAATAATAATTTATATTTTTTACAACAAATAACAAATTTGTTTTATTTCACAAAATACTAACTTATGAGTAGATGTTGGTGATGTTTGAGGTGAACTGAGGTCTATAAGACAGCCCACCTGAGAAGTACTGGCAGATTTATGAATTTCATTTGTTTTTCCTATCCAAGAAGGTGTTGGAATTGTGTGCTTTGTTTTAAGTCCAATTAAAGATGACAAACCACACTTTCCCTAAAATAATTATACAAGCATTTATATTACCAAAAAAAAATGATTGTTTAAACAAAATAAAATAAAAAAATCTATTATAAAAAAAAAACCTTTAAAAATTGGTTATTTTTTAATTATTAAGAAAATTGTTAATTTACTAATTTATTGTGATGAGAAATTCAACGCATTTTTTTAAAAAAAATGTATTTATTAAATTTTGGGTTGAGGACATTTTCCAATAAAATAATAAATAATTCAATGATACAATTATATAATTTCTAATATTATATTGTACATTCATTTTTTAAAGCATTAATATTTTTTAAATTTATAATATCTGAATATCTGTATTTAAAATATAGCCTTTTATTATTGTTACATGGCAAGCTGCAATTACTAATTAACAATAGATACTACTTTATATTTTAAATTTAAATAATAAAAAAGATATAAGTATTTCTGAACAATTTGATTATAAGGGAAAATGTCCTAGTTCCAAATATTTTACTAACTACTGAATTACCTGAAACCTTCTTTTTGATGATAATTTATACTTAAAGGTTAGACCTAATAAAAAATTACTACAATAGTACAAAATTACACATACAAAAAAAATCAAAATAAAAAGTTTTATGTATATTACTTGACTTTGACTTTTTGGCATTTGCACAAATTTAGGAGGTGGTGGTCGAGGTGGAGGTTTCTTTTTGACTGGTTGTTGAAAACCATTCAGAGATTTTGATTGTTTTAATGAAAGTACTTTTGCTAATCTTGATTTAGCTCTAAAAAAAAAAATTGTATATTATAAATAGTATAATTTGTACCAATAAAACTCACAACTTACCCAGGTTTGATCACTTTGGGCGGTGGAGGAGCAGGGCGGTTTGGTACACTTGGTGCTAAGAAATACATATTTTAATAAAAAAATATAAAATTATCAAATAACATACATACAATTTTCAGAAGTGAAAGCAGTCCAATTAGCCATCTTGAAATGATATTTAATTCATTATTCAAAAACTAAACTGACATATTTCGCTTCGTTGAAACACATATGTACGTGATGGTTAACGTCACGACCTTCGGAAGTGATTTTTTTTCTCAATTATTATCTGCCAACACATAACGAATGTTTTGGTTAATGATATATTTAGTAGAAACGTAAAAACTTGTATAAAATTATTAATAAAGCTCTTATCTTAAATACTGAATAACAATAATATTGTTAAAACATGTTTCACAAGAATACGCAGTGTAGCCTTTTAAAATATATACAAATAAAAATAAAATGTATGCCAACATGGGATAAGTTGTCTTTATTATTCCATGAGTGAATATAATACGGATTAAAAAGTATTGGAAAATGATTGAGGTTATGTTTAGTAATCTTTCATTTCTTAAAATTTCCTGAAGTTAATTTTTTCGTTTAGCGTAAAATAATTTTTTTGATTTCAAAATGAAAGCCAAGGGAGATGTAAGTATATTTGAGCTTTGAAGTATCTAATTTAATTTAATTTTATATAATTTAATAAGAGTATTGAACTTAATGGTTTAAATGGATTTTAAGTTTTAAAAATATAAAATTCATTTGACATGTGGCACTAGGGAAATCAAAACTCACAGTTAACTATTTTAATGTTACCAATTTTATTTATTAAATTATAGTTGAAAGAATATGAAGTCATTGGTCGCAAATTGCCGACTGAAAAAGAAAAGACTACTCCCTTATACAAAATGAGGATTTTCGCTCCTGATCGCATAGTTGCAAAGTCTCGCTTTTGGTATTTCTTAAGGCAACTAAAGAAGTTCAAGAAGAGTACTGGAGAAATTGTTTCGTTAAAACAAGTATGTACCAATTAGAATGCTTTTCTCATAAAATATAAATATATAAATATAATGTTTTTGTTTTTATAGATTTTGGATAAATCGCCAACAAAAATAAAGAATTTTGGAGTATGGCTTCGTTATGACTCGCGGTCTGGTACACATAACATGTACCGTGAATACAGAGACACAACTGTAGCTAGTGCTGTCACTAAATGCTACAGAGACATGGGTGCTAGACATAGAGCCAGAGCTCACGCTATTCAAGTATGATTGTTTATTGAGTATTTAATTTATTTCATGAGTTTAAAATAATTATCAAATTTATATCAATAAGTGTTTAGTTCAATTGTACTATTACTTAACATCTGTAATCTGAGAAATGATTAAAATCGTTCCGTTTTTGAAATTACATTTTGCTATGGAATATATAATTACTCCGTGATTTATCTTTGATATATATCTTATAGTATCACCTAAGTCAGTGCTTCTCAAACTTTTTATAATGTAATATATCTTAACTGAAATTTTTACTTAACATTTTTAGAAAATTATTGTATTACAATTGGATTGATAATGATGATGAGTTACTATTAAAATCACTAAAATAAAAAAAAAATAGTACTTTTTAAATTTTATTTTCTAAAAAATGTATTATTATATTCATCATCTTAAGGCTATATCTTGTCATGATCGACATATGTATCTGTTGTTTGCCGCGTTTCTCAGCCGTAAATAGGATGTGACATCCATGGGATGTTGGAGGTTTTGGAAGTATAATGTTTTTGGACATCCTCTAGGTCTTTTCCCTAAGATCTTTCCTTCAAAGATGTTTCTTACAAATGTGTTATGTCTGAATAATTATCCTAATAATTTTGTTTCCTTTATAATTTATGTATCATTATATCCCGTTTTTCTCTTACATCATTTAATACTTGCTCATTTGTTTTCTTTTCAACCAATGATATTTTATTCATTTTTCTCCAGATACACATTTCCATTGCTTCTAAACTGTCCCTTTCTCTTTTCCTGATAGTCCAGGTTTCACATTCATATAATAGCACACTCAATACAAATCTTTTAATGAATTTTTTTCATAGTTTCGATGTTGAATTGTTTGCTAGTTATTAGACTAATTCTTCATGAATGTTTGGCTAGAATTATTCTTTTTTTAATATCAATGGTGGATTCGTTATTATATGTAATTGTGCTTCCCAAATAGTAGACATGATAAAATTCTTGAATTACAGTATTGTTTATTTTTATAAATGGTTGGGTATATATTTGATCTTATTGAGCTGTCATTGTTTTTTTTTTTTATTTTTTGGTAGTGTTTATTTTCATAATCCTGGACAAGGTGTTAAGCATCGGGTTCATGTTGTCTTTGCTTTGTGCCACCCAGAGCACTGTTGTCCGCAAATCTTATACTTTGTACTTCTGTTTCATTTATTCTAACTTCTTCATTTCTTCAATTGCTTCTTCTATGAATAGATAAAACAAATAAGGGACAGCCTTGTCTTATACCTTTTATCTTAGTTTCTTTAATGGTTCCATTTATATATATCAGTGTTGCTTGTTCTTTGTATTTTGAGATTCAAAATGATCCTTCTGTCCTTCCAGTTGATTCCTTTTTTTTTTTATGTACTAAACAACCAGAATCAATCTACTTTGTCAAAAGCTTTTTCTTAATCTATACATGTTATATATGTTGGGAGATTGACATCCCGTCTTCTTTCTAGAATTAGTCTTGGAGCCAAGATCGCTTTTCGAGTTCCTCTCTCTCCTGAATCCGAATTGGTCTTCTCAAAACTGTTTTTCTATTTTCCTTTTTAGCCTGTTTTAATGACTTAGAAGTATTTTCAAGTTTTATGATAAAAGTTAATTGTCCTATAATTAGTGCAATTTGTTGCATTTCCTTCAGTATTGTTATTGACTTTTTATAAAATTGTTACGCAGCTTTCCTGTTTCGTAGCATTCACCGATTAGATTAAATAACAGTGATTCGGTATGCTCTTCCATGTTCTGTAGTGTTTTCGCAGGCATATCGTCTGTACCAGTTGCCTTTTTGTCTGTTAGTGTATTCAGTGCAAAATCAATTTCAGTTCATACTAAGGAAGGTCCTTTGAAATCAGGGTCAACCTCCTCCTCATGATCTAAATAGTTCCATTCATCATTAATCTCTTCTCCTTGGTACAGCTCTTCTATGTATTCTTTCCACTGTCTAGCTACCTTCTCATTTTCAAATAATAAGTTTACATATTTGTCACTGACAAATTACTTTTTGTTCTGGGTTTATATTCTAGACTTTTTATTCTATTATATACTGTCTGTATTGTTTTTGATCAAAAAGTACTCGATTTCTTTGCAATTCTCCTGTAACCATAAATCCTTTGCTTTCCAGCATTGGTTTGTGATTTCATTTTTAATCTTTGTATTTAACATGATCTATGGTCCTTAGTTTATTCCTCTGCCAAATTCCAGTATCTATTGATTCATTCATGGTTTTCTGGGCCAATGATTTTTTCGCGTTATGTCGTTTTTCATTTTCTCCCAGGTTTACTATTTATTTTTCCTAAAGTTGATTGGAAATCTGTTACTACTCTTTAGCTTTTGAATTTCTCTAAACAGAAATTCTTCTTTCTAATTAGTATTCTTTTCTAAAATCTATTGTACACCGCTTTGACTAGAATGTGGTCACTATCTATTTGGTTTACAGAGTATGAATGACTAGATCGTATTTGGTTCCTATACTTTTATTTGACTAGAATGAAATTGATTTGATGTCTGCTCTTACCTCCAGGAGCCTTTCATGTATACTTAAAGTTGTTAATACATTATATCAATTTCATCCTCATTACAGTTGGAAAATACACTTGTATAATGTACATATCTATGGGTTGAGCTTGTAGTTTGATAATAATCATTCTTTTATTCATATGGAAAGTGTTGAGGACATTGTTTTTCCATTTACCTCTCAGGATAACTTCTATACCTTTACTGCGTCTTTTCTCGCACCCACTATGAATTATTCTCAAGTCATTTTTAATGTAATCACTGTTTCCTGGCCATTTTGTTTCAGATGAACCTAAAATATTTAACTCAATGTATCATTTGTTGTGAAATTTCTTTAATTATACTGGGTTTGAGCATTGCCCTTACATTACATGTACCAATTTTAAATTAGCAATTGTTGTTCTCCCAGGGATTTGGTTGGCTGATGACTTAGGGAGACTATGGGTCCTCCCCTGCTGAGTATTAATTGAGATTAGGGAATCAATTGGATCTTTAATGCAGTGGTATCCCTCTTGTCTTCTGCATCCTCTGGCCGTTGACCATACTTTTTGGTACTTCCATCCTTTCAAGGCAGTTTCCCATCTTAAGGACAAGATATTGCCTTACCTTACTCAGCTCATCCGCTCTGAGGACCGTTGGCTTCATAGGTTTGTCTCCTTATCCTGGAAGATTTTTCACTATTCCTATTAGTTGCTTTTTATGACTGGGGGAACAACCCGTGGTCTTATTTTTAACCAAGACCACTCAGGTTATCATTACATTACGTTTAGTTAAAAAGAAATTGATTTTATTAAGATCATTACATATTTTGATGACACTCTTTATAGATGTTTATTTATTTATTTTTTTCATTGACATAACTTAATATTATTTTAATAACAATTAATAGGTACAATAAATTTACTACAATCATAAATCATTTATTCATTAAAAATAAATTTTGCAAATCTCAAATTGTTATATTTTAGTACTGAAGCAACTGACTACAATCAACTATTTTACTAACTGAATTTTAAAGGGGCTCATACACGATCAGTCATGAATGTCATTTGTTATTAACCGTTTTGTCTTTTCGTGACTGATGAATTTCAAACATGATTTTAATCCATAAGAGTGACTATCACATAAACTGATATTCATGACTGATCGTGGATAGGTTCTTTAAAAATAAGAGAAAGTTAATTATAATTAGGTACTTGGGTAAATACATATTAAAATTATAATTTTTTTCTTACCATTACATGTGTTATATTGATCAATTAAAATATAATATACAATATTTTCAAACAAAATTGATGGGCGATTGTCAGATATAGGTTTAAAATAAGGAATGTAATCTATTACATCTTCCTGCAACCCAATTTTGGACATCGCTTGCTCCTCTGTTTTTTTTTTATTTCCAGTATTTTGTACCAAAATAGTTGAAAATCTATTTTTAACTTAAGCTCAGAAAAAAAAATAACCTTTCATTAAATCTGTGTTACACTAGTCAAATTTCTATGAAGGTAAGCCTTGAATATTAATGTTAGATACAGTTGCTTCAAATTTGGGGTCCTACTAATAAGTAATAACCAATAAATTCTACCTTCTGTTCTAATACATTTAAATCAAAAATGTATTTACATTTTCTCTAGTTTCAATCAGCAGATTATTCTCTATTATCTGCTTTCCTTTTAATTTGTACATACGAGTTAGATCATTGTTCCTTTATATACTAATACTAATACTAAAATGAATACTGTGTTAATAGTTGAATTGAATTTTAGTTTTGGCTTTCCTCTATGATAATTCCTTTCTTTGCTTCCTAGTTTTAATAGTTCTTCATGTTGTAACCTATCCATTCATTCTGTCTTAATATATTTTTTCTTATTTGCTTCTCTTTTGATATTTTTAATTATTTCTTTATTGGTTATTCTGTTCATCCAGATTATTTTCAACATTATTCCTTCTAATTTCTAGGTTGATGTTTTATTATTATTTATTTAAATATGTAAATATATTAACTATGTTCTTTGAAGTAAGAAAGGTTTACTCATTGTTAAAAGGCTGGGGAAAGAATTCTGGATTTTTTGTTAGTATAACTTTGCAGTTATTAACACGTGGTGATGAGACTGGTTATGTTGTATAGTTTATAGTGTTAGGTAGTAGACAGATAAATAGAACATAGAATGAGTGTACCTGAGATAATAATTTTTAGGTGGTTTAGTGGAATGGTGAAAGAAGATAGAATAAGTATGGCTTTGGTGGTGAGCAAAATGAAAGAAATGGGATCTGAAGTAGTAAGTATTGTAGTTTAAATAAACAGTATGAAAGACGTGGAAAGGAAAACTGAAATGAGGTGGTTAAATGCAATTGAGAATGGTGAGTGTATGTGGGAACAATGTGGGGAATCGAATCAAGTGAAAGTTAAGGACAAGAGTGACCAACCCCAAATAGTTGGAGGTGAAGGAGAAGACCTATTATTTTTTGTAAAATGCATAACATGTCGATTTGCCTTAAACTAAACCATAGTATCTCAATCATAAAAATGTAGAAGGTATTTGATGCTATTCTATGCAAAACAGCTACAGAAAACAAATTATGTGTAGGGCTTTTTAAGTAAATTATTTACAATGCATATTTTTTATAAAAACTTTAAACTTGTTTATTACATTAGTATGTTAATTGTAAATTGTTCTTGAAAATTTATATTGAATTATTTTATTAATAAATTTGTTTTATTTCATATTTACAGATCATTAAAGTTGAAGTTGTGAAGGCTAAGAATACCAGAAGACCACATGTGAAACAATTCCACGACAGTGACATCCGTTTCCCACTTCCTCACCGTGTTGAGGGTAAACGTCGCCGTTATAACACCTTCTCTGTCCGTCGGCCCACAACAAGTTTCTTGTAAAATGGAAATTATTTTTGATTTTTCTGAATAAACACAAAAACTATTTTATTTCAATAAGTTTTCATTCTATTTTTATCTGAATAGTGTCTTAATATAACTAATATGACAAAAACAGAGATATTACTGCTTTTATATAATATTTCATTTTTCAGGAAAAGGTATTACTTAAAGCCTTGGTATAGGGAGTTATTGCCATTACCGTGCAAATATTACCCAGGGCTTTTTTTCTTTAAGGTTTTATTTATTGCCTTGATTGTATATTTCTTAATGAGATTTTTTTTTTGTTAATAATTCTAATATTTTTTTGTTTTCATTTCCGTCCATTTTATTTTTCAATTTTCCTCCTGTGTCATTTCTAAAGCCTCTAAAATGTTTTCATATTTCTTGTTAAGTGTCACAAGTTTTGCTGCCATATTATAATGCTATAGGTACTAGTCCTCTGCTGGATAGGGTATATATTGACCCATCGAGTTTTAGGAATTTCACTATTTCAAAATTATACAAAATGTACCAAATTGACATAAATTCAATTAAAAACATTTATAATTTTATGTGGCCCAAGATTTTTCAGTAGCTTGGCAATACAATCTGGGCCTGCCAAACATATCTATATTTTAATTAAACAACTTGTTCCTAAATCTACATTTTTCGATGTAAATACTTTATTTTTAAGTAGGAATGTCTCATTTGCTTGTCCAGTTCTGGTTTTTATTCCTTTTACTTATTAATCTTCCATCAATGCTTATCATGCTTCCTAAATATTTAAATTTTTCCATTTGCTCTATTCTGTTTCCTTTAAAAGGAGGTTATATCCACATCTACTGTCTCAGTCCAATTACCTGGTCACATACAAAAACAATGCTTACGCAGAATAAGTAAAACCAATATGATTTTTTGATTTTAGAATAAAATTACCTATTATGAAATGTATAGAGAACAATATTTCCAAAAGAATATTATTGGTTTTTTATATTCAAAATATACAGCTCGATATAAAAGATACAAGAACCTTTTATTTTTTTTATTCAAACATCTTTATTACTTACAAACTAGACCAAATTTTTTAAAAGAAAATTTGGACAAAGATTTTTGGTAGAAAAATATAATCTTACAAATTTTAAAATAATAAAATCGTTATCATAAATTATTAGAAAAAATTGTATATTTTCTTTTTTCCCATTTATGAAAACTACTTTGGATATCAAACAATGGTTATATATTAAAAGGAACAAAATCAATCTCTTATCATTTTTCGATTAGAACAATATGTCTGGTAGAAAACTTAAAACACAAAAATTAAAAACAATAAAATAGGTAACGCCACGGTATGCCGTAAATATTTGTTTTTTTTTCTGGTTTTTCCAAATTATTTTGAAAATTCCTTGGAAAATCAAAAGATGACCTCTTTAATGCACTAACTAGATAGAATTACCTACCTTTCAGAAAAGATGCTACACTCAATAGATCAGAGCAAGATTTCTGGTAGAAAAGTTGTTTACAGATAGAAAATAAACACACATCACAGTAAAACTAAAATAAATACGGTCAATGGGGGGAAGAAGGCTAAACTTCATGCCCTCTCTATGAGTACGCCCACAAGTAGATTTTTAGGCACTTTTTAATATGAAATGCCCCTAACAGACCAATATATACTCATGGTGAAAATCTCACCCACGTGCCTTCTAAAACAACCAAATGAGGCGTAAGGTCATGAAAAAAAAAAAAAAAAATGTTTGGTGGTGAAAATAAATAAGTACCTATAACAGCAAGTCGGTGTAGTGTGGTCACCTTTGTCTCATCCCTATCTTTATATTAGCTGATCTAGATTTATTGTAAAGTTAATTTTAATTTCGGCTTTCTGATTTCTGTATATTACATATTATATTATTATTATTGATTTACTAAAAACCTTATTATTCTGGAATCCAAAAATATAAAAGCCGGACAAATATATCCAGAATGTATAAATTATAATTCAGAATTTGATGCCGACTGTTACAGTTGACATAGATAACACATTGATAAATCACATAATTATTTATTCAAAAAACTCAAAAATTTTCTAACAGACCAAACATCCAAAATTTCGTAGTACCTATCCAAAAGTATTGAATGGGCTGTGCATGCATGGTGACTGAGCAAAGCATGACTTGATAATATTTTAATCAATAAATTAGATGAGAAGAAATCTCGAAGAAGACCGTGATAGCGTTGGATGAACCGTGTAAAGAAAGATTTAGTAAGAATTGATGAGACAACAGTAATGGAGGATGTAGAGGACATAAATCTCCAGGAGAAACCTGATTGGAGCTGCAAAATGCCTTCAGTGTGTAAAACAAGGGAAACAATAAATAAATTACACGAATTTCCACAGAAATACATGGGCAATCATATACATTACGAGTGACAAAGGACGATTTATAATGGTTAAAATCAGGTAAGTATCTTAATAATGGATTTAAGACAAGTAACTAATAATAAGACCAATTATTTTTAAATTTAATACATATACAAACAAAACAATTCTTTTATTTTTTTTAGATAATGTTGTGTGCATCTTCAAAATTAGACGAATGCAAATCACATTTTTTAAAACCAATTACAATTCAAAAATATAAACCGGTAGCATAAAATATATCACAAACCACAATCAATGGGTGTAAACAATTTTTATCTTTTTATCGATATATTTTTGGTTCGTCGTCGAAACGCTCACGTATGAAAATTTAAATTTTTATACAAAATGTGTAATACTGTATATTCGTGGTATACACGCTGTGTAGAATTATTTTATACAATGGTGTTAAATTTATATACAATTTTTTTTCTCGTTTAATGGTTAATTTGTTGGTTTTGAACTTTGTTAAAAACTTTAAATTTGATGTCAATATGAGAATATTCAAATGGATAATGATAGTCTAAGTTTTGTATGTAATTTCAAATTTGCATATTATCTTTTAATACAGGATTTTGATATTTATACCGTATAAAATGACGTGTACAATAAAATATAATCTAAAAATTGATTATAATAAACTTTAATACACATAGTTTTATATAAAATTGAATAATAATACAGAAAAAAATAAAATACCGTATTTTTACATCACTACAAACTACAAATATTCATTCGCTTTGAAAGTTGGAACTCTAATGCAATGCGATTATAGCTCGTAAACGCAAAGCAAACAGTTTGACAGCGCATGTCGCGAGCGTGAACGTGGTGCTGTTAGTGTAAATTGCCAGAGCGTCCAGAGCGAACGCACCCATAGCTCCGAATTTCACGTAATAATATATCATAATAGTTTTTGTCAATCTGTCATTACTTATTATTTTTCTTTATGTTTATTGTATAATTGTGTTAATCTTTAAGTGTCGAGCTGTCATAGTTTTTACTAGAAGCTAATAAAAAAAATATGTCATAATATTATCTAACTTGCTTAAAATTAAAAATATGTTTTTGAGGAGTTAAATAATTAAATAATAGCGCAGTGCAGCCTTCTCTACATTCAAATGTTGTATTTTATATAGTACAAATTTAATGTACCTGGGTTTTATTACGATTCACGATTATAACACAGATTTCAGATAATCTGTGGTTATGGATAGATTCTATCTCACATACACACTACATCAATCTGTGTTCTATCTATAACCGTGATTGTGTTATATGATATTAATAAAAGTGATAAACAATTTTTTTCGATAATAGTTTAAAGTTTTAAAACTTGATTTATTGTAGATTTTTAGCTCAACTTTAAATGTTGTGTTTACCTATATTAATTTATAACAAACAAGTTATAAAATGAAATTGTGAAATTCGATTGATTTATTGATATTATAATAATGAATGGGATGAATGATTATGGCAAAAAACACCAGGAAACTTTTCGTTATACATTTTCTACACTAAATATTCCTGAGACTTATAAAATTGAAGTACCTATAGATATACCATTTGAAGGTTGTATAAATGAATTAAGTCATAGAATTATAAATGGACTTAACTTACCGTTATACGTCATTGAAGGTAATATTATAATTATTTGATTTCATTTAATTGCAAAAATATATATTACCTATATTTTGTTTCTAGAACTTCATGATGAATTGGAAAAGTTTATAGACAAATGTTCAGTTGATTTTTATGATCGACAAACTGTTGATGCAATAGACTGTATAAAAAACGAAACTATAGAAATAGAAGATATTGTTAAGTATTGGGAAAAAGCTTTTAAAGATGTAAGTGTTAAGGTTAATATTTTATTTCATTGTTTTTAGATAAATTTCATTACAATACACATTAATAAATGTTTTCTAGGAAACATTTTCGTTTGCTGATAATAAAGGACCGAGTAATAATCAATTATTTGCCACTACATTTCATAAGTTAGCTCATTCTGGACCTTCTTTGGATGCAATTCTCCATATAGAATATGGCTATGCCCAAGCAGTTCAAGATATTATGAATAGAAAATCTAGACAAGTCTTAACTGTGACAACAGCGTATGTTTGTAATTTAGATAGAAAAATAAAAATAATAATTTTTTTGATCTATTTTCTTTAGTCAAACAAAAGAAATGAACTATGCTATGGATGGATTAAACAATTATAGTACAGAAGATGATATTAATGCTCTAGCACTTAAGCATTTTGATGATCAAACATTAATTCAAGTAAAAACTAAAATTATTTCTAAGATATTTACTAATGGATATTGATAAATGACACTTTATAATTGGTGATGATTAAAGCTCAGTTGTTAATGACCACAATTTCTTTAAAATATGCAGTTGTTTTCCTTATAATTTGTTTTATTTTATTTATTACCTAAAGAATAATATGTATCAAATATACCTATTTTTCAACAGATATATGCAAAACAAAGGTGTTAATATTAATTTAAAATAAATTATATACTCTTTTAATCATGCATACATTAAAAATATACATTTTTTAAACAGTTTAACAAAGTTTTACAAAAAACTGGGTTAATATTAATTTAAAATATAAATGATTCAAAATAAAAAAATAAAATAATTTAAAAATATAAATGTTACATATGTTAAATACTTTATTTGGTTAATAGTTACCGTACAAATTTGTAATACTATATTTAAAATGGTTTAAGATGTGCTACTAAATCTAGAAATAATCAATACATGCATTTATATGCTCGAAAATATCAAATACAGTAAAATCTCGATTAACCATCAGTCTCGGGACCAGAGCTTTGACGGATAATTAAAAAGACGGTTAAGCAAGCAACAAAAATTTAAACATACATACATATTATTTATTATTATTTTTTTAGTAATTATGACATACACATTGATATAATTAGGTACTATTACTTATCGGTACATTATTATTATTATTTTTTAATTTATTATTTACAATTACGTACATACTTAACAATTAATTTAACGGTTAATTTTTGTGTTTTTAACATATTACGTGCTTTTTTGGCTGCCATATCTCTAATTCTTCGAAGTAGTAATAGCTGAGTCGCATCAGCTTCAGTTTGTTGTTCAAACCACTCAAAGCACTTGGAAAGCATGGATTCTGCTTCAGCATGGGTGATAGTTTTTGTAGGTTCTTCAAATTTCTGTTCACTTTCGTAATTTTCTTCTGGACCATTTTCCTTTAATACTTGTTGAATAAGTTCGTAGTCATTTAAGAACTCAAAACCTGCGTCAAGTTTATCTATATCCATCCACTTGATAATTCGCTTAATAATATCCAATTTTTAAAATAAATCAAGTACAACACGCTTTCGTTTTTCACTCATTGTTTTTAAACTTAAAATATTTGCACACTCAAAGAGACTAAAAAGGCGAACGAACACACATGCAATATATAACTGACTGAATTTTTAAAAACAAAATGCGATCACTATCGCAATTAACTGTTTTTATCTCACCCATTAAATATATATGTATGTATTTACATATATACCTATCGCTTATCTAGTAGATATTGCCGGAAAGTTTCAGATTATATATATGTATTATTATCTATAACCTACTCATACACAAGTGGCCAGACGGTTAATCAGGGGACGGATAATCGAGGTTCTGCTTTATGCAAATATATGCAAAATAAGTTTGCATATTTGAAATCTAGACTTCATGAATCAAATTTATGTCATATTCAAGGATAATTCTGATTTCACAAAAGAAAAAAATTCTCAAAGTCATAAACATCTGAGCTCTAGTGATGATAGTTTATATTAAATACTTAGTTGAAGAATTCAACATAAGCATTAAATAATATTTCTCAATTTTGTAAAGTTACAATTATAAATTATAAAATATATTTATATACATGTAATAATCCACTTTAAATCGACCGACGTCTGTAAATAAATAAATATAGTCAGTATCACCACAATTTTGTAGAACTTAACTTAAGTGTCGTTGGAATTTTCTTATCACATAAAATACCTGATGTTTCTCTCTACTTTATCCAACTACATTTAATCATACGTTTCACATCTTCATGAAAGACCCAGTTTTTCTATATAAAAGATCTTAGGTATTTAAAACTTTCAACCTTGCTTATAACTGCCAATTGTTACCTGTCTTTTATTGTTCTTCCAAACTCATTTTGTTCTACTTCTACTTATTTTAGTCCCTTTTCTTCAAGTATTACTTTCCATTTCTTAAGTCCACTGTTAATTTTCTCCTATCAAATCTATATCACTTGCAGACATCATACACCATGGCACCTCTCACCATTGTTCCTACGCTCATCCAAGATGAGACCATCTGCCAAAGTCTTATTTAGATCTCCTCGTACTGTGTGACAGAATTTTACACCAGCTGTCAACCTGACTTAGTCCTTATTATCACCTCTAATGACAGTTAAATATATCGTTGGGGTATTCTGATGCCTTTCCACAGGAAGAATAGAATTTTTAACTATAAAATGAATTACAATACCTTAGAGAAACAGTACTATATGCCTACTGGAATCACCCACTTGGGCTTTCCACCAGTTGAAACTTAGGGCTTCAGGTTCACTAAATCCATAGCATCATAGGCCTTCTTAAGGTTCTATTTATAAGTAATATTAGCTATAAGGAATGATAACGTTTATAATAATATGTTTAGTTACTAATTAATAGTTATTTATTGTGGCTAATTTTTTTTTTTTTTTTAGGGTAAATGGAATAGTAGACTTGATACTTTAAAACAGGAACAACGTGCAGGATATAGAGAATGGGTCATGAAAACTGTAGAAGAAATGCAGGGAGTTGATGGATTGTATTCTCCGATAGGGTATAAATTACCAAAATATATATTTTTATTTTATAATACTATTTATAATATTTATAATCAACAGCAATTCTCCTATTGGTACTGTAAAAAATGGATTTATTATTTCAAATATGTCATTATATGATATGGAAGAAAGTTTCACCATACATCTTGGATCACAAATGAAATCTACACATAATATTCGTATTATGTCAGCTGATACCTTAAATCTTTTAAAATTAACATTAGATGAAAACGGGTATTTAATTTTATATTTTATGTAGTGTGTAAAAAAAAAAAAAAAAAATCCAATTATTTGGTTGTTTTAGAACAGTTGTGCATCATCCTCAAAGATTACAAACAGTACTCGAATTATATTCTCAAGATCTTAAAGGTCTTGTTTTATTTATTGATACAAATAATTTAGACTTTTATTCTGGACTTGGAAAAGGTAATTTTTTGGTGAGATCATACTTAAGTTATTTTGTATAAACTATTAAAATTAATTATTTTTGTTATAGAGTTTTTTGATATCTGTGAAGGTAGCACAGAATTTCATTTTAATTCTCTACAGGATCAGTTAGAAATTATTAAATTGGATCTTAAAGTAGCCGTAGAGAACCGCAAGTCTAAAGGGCCAGTTAGTAATTTTTTATCCCCAGAACTACAGGTAAGTAAAATAAAATAAAATATATTATTAAAATGTATGACATATAAATTATTTTATTAATAAAATCACAGGCTCGTAGAAACAAGTCAAAACTTTTACAATGTGGTGATGTTTACATTACAAAGCATTCAAATCTCGCTTCAGTTCATCTAGTATTTCACATGGTTATTGATGATTCATTAAAATCAGGTTAGCACTATTGATTGATAATAAAACAAAAAGTATTATAATATTTATAATTAATATTTTAGGTGATATCAACTCAAGACATCCTGTAATCTTAGGATTACGGAATATTTTGAAAGCAGCTTGTTCTTATGATATTACAATGATAACTATTCCATTATTTTTAACTCATGAAATGACTGAAGTAATAACAAAATTTTTAATTTTATATTTGAAATGACCATAATATTATTAGTATTTAAATAATACTGATAAAAAATAATTAAATATTTAGAGAATATATAACTTTGTATAAAATGTATTGATTTTTTAAAATTTATATTATTTAAAAAAAAAGAAGTTACAATAGTTAACTACAAATAGTTGTATTTTCTCAGGATATGACTGTTCCTTGGTGTCAGAAAAGAGCAGAATTGGTTTTAAAGTGTGTAAAAGGATTTATGATAGAGTCTGTATCACTGGGTGGATCGGAGCTGAAGACTATTCAGTTCTTAGTACCACAAGTGAGTTAGGATTTTATATTTTATTTATATAAATTAATTGAATGTATTAATAAGCTGAATAAAATAAACAATCCTATGTTTAGGGAATATCTGAAGAGGTATTTGGAATATTAGCAACAATGGTTCCTACCATATTCAGAGTATCGACTCCACTTGTGTTTAATTCATCAGAGCCAGAGATTAAGTCAAAAGTTAAGAACAAAAAAAGTACAAAAAATAAACGAAACTCTACATCCAAGTAATTTATTTTTCTAATAATTGATCAAATTAAAAATTACAAGCCTATTCTTAATTTTTTTTTATTTGTTAAAATATAATATGTATTTTTAAGAATGTTTTATTCAAATAAAATATAATACAGACCTTATTATGAACTATCATAAACCATTTTATTATTGTTATTAAAATAATTTTAATTTACTATAAAATTATTTATTACTATTACATTTGTTAAAATATATCTTATTTTTTATCCATGGATTTTTAAATAAAAATTAAAGAACACTAAGTTTTTAGTTTTAATTATAATTATTAAAATAATTTCAGAAGTTGGTATTAAATATTATATTCATTTATTCAAGATTTGGTTAAAAATATAATACACATTAATTCTATTGAACTGGATTGACCGAGTTCTTAGGTTAAAATAGAAGATTACAGTACCCAAAAATTGGTTTTGTGTATATTATACTTTTGTGTAGGTGTTCTTTTATTAAAATACATTTTTGTCTATTTTACAGCAAATATTACTAAACAGTAGTTGTATGAGTTAAACATTTAATTTCAGCAATATTAATTCTAAGTGACTGGTGATCAAGTTAATTTATAGATAATATAATATTAACTATTATATTCGATATTTGGATTATCAATTGGAAAATAATAAAATATTGTATATAAAGTTTTGTATAAAAACAGTTTTTTCTTCTCTTTTGCCTTCATCCCAACTATTTAGGATCGGCCACCTTTGCCTTACACTTCCACTTGATCCGATCCTCCACATAGTCCTTGCATATACCTTCCATCCTTATATCATTCTTAAATTGCCTCCAACCACCTCTTTTTCGGCTTTCCTTTCTCTTTCTTTCCTATTATGTTTATTTTCATTACAATATTCACTGCTTTACATTCTTCTTTCCCTGTAATATATCCAAATCATTGTAATCTATTTTCTATCTATTTTCTCTTTTCGAAGCCACACTAAGCTACCTCTTATGTACTCATTCCTTATCCTATCTTTTCTGGTTAGTACTTGTCCACCTAAGCATTTTCTTATCTCTACTACATTCATTCTCTGTTCTGCACAAATATAAGAGATATATATGTAAGTTATACTTACATTACTCACATTACCTACATTATTATACTTTATACAATTCAATGAAATCATTGATTACAATTTATAATACATTTTGGTAAAATATAAATGATAATTTTTTTTTATTACATACTGAATGTTTAGTTAGAATAATACAATTTTTTTTATATAAAATGTAATATTTGACTATTTTTTTTTCTTTTCTACTGATTATTCACTGCACAACTCTACTTGGAGTATCTTAATTACTTTAAATTTAGTTTTTTTTATATTTTTGAGGTTTAAAATTAAAATATTTTTTGATAGCATTAATTTATTATTTTATAATACCTATTTGATTTAAAATTTAAATTGAATAGTAAAAGTATTAATTTCTGTATAAAAAAGATGTATGAGTAATACCTAATTATTTCATATAACAATTGTTTCCATTTTTTATTTTAGTTTTAAAACTGGAACTAGGAATCTAATTTTATTATAATTATAATACAAATGTTGAAAAGATAACAAAATAGGCAATCTGAAAAAAATCTGTAAATAAAATTCCTGGAAAAAAAATCCCTGCAAATAAATCCCCAAAACAACTATACTGTCAATAAAAATAATATTTAAAAATATTTACGGACATACTTTAGTTTGTATAGTTTGTATTAGTTATATGTATAAATTATCATCTAATCATTGTCATCCTTTTTGTTACGTAAAACATTGCCATACAAAAATAAAAATAATTATTTTTGTACTAATAATACCTAGAAACTGGTTTTGGGAGGGTGTTAGTGTGATAGCTTTAAACCTTCTTCTAACAACACAGACCATAGTAGTCCAGTAGTTTTAAGTCTATAGATTACAAACGAAACAACAAACATTAAAAAAAAATAACATTTTGAATATATCTGTGCTACCTACTCTTTCGATGGAAGCCCCCATAACTATAATTTTAGTTGCTAAATATCCCTATACCATGGGCTATATCCATATATTTAATTGTTTAGATCGATAAATTGTGGAATTGGGAAAATACTTAAGAAAAAAATTATTCAGATATGTTTGGTATCTACGCGTTATTAGATTATTACATAGGTATTACGGAAAGTAATAACCTAACCATAGACTGATTATACTATTTTCAATTAATTTTATTTATGCATATTATTTTTGACAGTATAATTGCTATGAGATTTTTTTTTTCAGAATTCGACAAAATTACATTTTTTTTAAAAATAATTGTAGTCAATGATAATGAGAAATGAAGATTCACCAGATCTAAACCCAATTCCAAAATTCCAAGGGTTTACTATGGACTAGGGTACCTATTACTTCAATAATTTTAGAATATTTAAATACTAATACAATGTCTATGGTTTTTATTTAAAGGTTTAGGTATATTACTCATTTTGTTATTGTGTGTCCTTGAATTCAATTGTGATCAATTAAGTATGCTATTGAATTTGATATTTTGATATATTCAATTTATGATATATTTATGAAGTACCTATTATTATGTAGGTACTACCACAAATTAAGATAGTATCTTAATTCATGGGAAGTACAACCAATGTAAGCTGTAAACTTTGTGATGACTAAACACCAATGGAGTAAAAGCGCAAATAGTCTCAATATTTTGGGAGCGCCTTAAGTTCTCCATAATATTGATTGTGTATACTTAGTATTTACTTGATGAGCATTTGATGTTGGGAGAGCTTGGCTGAATTTAGTGTTTTAATCCCTATAATTTCAGACTAGTAACCTGTAGGAATAACTTTAAATTGGAAAATCAGTTTACAATTAAATAGTTATGCACGGACGCTTATGGATCGAAGTGTAAGATTAATAATTTTCTCCTTAGAGATAAATATTAGTTATTACATTTGTATGTACTATATTGAAAACTTGGAAAGCATACATTTTAAAAATTATTTCTATTTTGACCTCACCTAAAAAATCAACTACAGGCGCCCATGTAAGTATGTTTACCAATCGAAATAAATTGTATATTTTTTTTTTAGTAACAATATGATAGGCGGACAGTAGTGTTCGTCTATGGTATGCAGTTTGTCAAGTGGTGAAAATAATTGGGCAAGCAGAAGAAACAATAATATACTTTCCCATTTCTGATTTTGGTTGATCGCCTATTTCCTCGATACAAATTTTAAATGAACATATCTACCATATTTTTTCAAATTCATATTATCGGTGCCTATTGACTATTAGCCGATTATTAGGGTGGTAGAGATAACTTGCAATAACTGATAACTACAGGCAACAAGTGCTTAGATAGCGTGCCAAGTAGTCGCGAAGACGATGGTAGCGGGAGCATACAGGACCGCGGTATGCACGTAATTGCCATGGTAACCGTTGCCGATCTTCATTGTAGTTGTTGGCGGCCAATTGCAAGTTTTTTTGGCATAGGTTCATAGCTTTAACGATCCATCGAAGTGCCGTGTAGTGGCAGTGTCTGCATCGTCTGCGATGTCGTCAGACGTTGTTCCGGCTCTTCCGAAACTCGTCCAGATGGGTAGGTACTCTTTAGCAACATTTTTGTCATCTTTGTAGGCTACCTTTCCTAATCATTATAATATAACAACAATAAATACAATAATATTATTATTGCTATTTGTCACTCGATTATACCACTTACTCGTTGAACGTTAATATTAATTTATTATGCGAGTTCATCACAAATTCATTGTGGATTTCACCAAATTTCCGACAATTTTTTTATAAACCGTTTAAACTCTTTTCAATTGATGAAGTATATTTGTAATTTCGTTTACCTACCAGTTTTATTTGTTAATACATAATTTGGAAGTAATAGGACTTGACTAATAATATCTATTATTATTATTATTATTATTGACTTATTGTTATTATAAATTATAATATCACTTAAACAGGAAATTAATTAATTTTAGTATTGTTTAAAAGTTGAAAGGTTACTTATAGGTACCTACTTATTACTATTAGTATTCCTTGCCCTCGCCTGTTTTATATACAATTCTACAAAGGCTAACTTTAGGTTACTATATTTTAATTTTTAAATCATCTATTTGTGTATATTTGATATCTGTTTAAGTAGGTTTAATTGTTTAGATACATTAAATATTGATAGATGAATATTATTAAGCATTTGTATATCACATTAAAGTAAATTTGTAAATTTTGTCAAAAAGTTCCTTTTTCATTAAAAATAAATATATATCTTCTGATTTGTCTCTAAGAGTTATTGTTGCTATCACTACATCTCTTCCTTTGTTCCTATATTCAACTATCTCTCTCCAGTAAAGACTGGAGACTTGAGGATTTCAACTCCTTGGATTGTTGGATCTATCACATCCAATTGTTTTTTCCTTGATGTTCCTTGTGGACTACATTTCAATGCTATTCTAGTTATATTAGTAATTTTATCTTTTGGCCCTTAACAAAGCTTATTACTGGTGCAAGTTCTATTATATTGTACAGCTCTTTGTTGTACTTCTTATATCAGTTTCCATTATTTCATAGTTGAGTCCTCCAACTCATCATTTGTGTCTTCTTCACTCTAAATAAGTTCCATTATCTTTTTTTTTCAGTATTGAATTCGAAACCTATTTTCTTTGTTGTTCTTCTAAAACCTTAGTCAATAAACAGCCAATGCGGCTGTGTACAAGCAATTTGCTTATTATATTTAAATAGTTATCACACCCGAGAAGCTGTATCTTATTCTGATTAATTGACAAACCACCTGTTTTTGTGGTATCCTTGCTACCTTCTCCGATATTTTTAAATTTTGGTATACAATCTTACAAATTTCAATTGAGGTTTATGTTAAATGTCTGAGCAATATTAGGTTATAACATATGGATGCTAGGTTTAGCTTTAGGTAATTTAAAAAAAAATTAATACCTATTAATTTATTTATTTTCAGAATACACAATTTGATGTTTGGGTGACATGAGGTAGTGCAACATAGTATATACCTAATAAATTATCTTAAATATTTAAACTAAGTGAATTTTAAATTTGTATTAAAATGTTTGACTGGTAAGTAGTCTATTTTTCTTCATTTTTACACTACAATATAAATACTACCTGTTACTTAAATAATAACTTAATGGTGCTAAAATTAGTAGGTTGTAACCTATTGCAAATTAATTTATGTGAAACAAAATTTTAATTAGATTTATCTAAGTAGTTGCTAGGTATTTGAATATATTAATACCTTAATTAATAAAATAAAAAGGGTTTAGTTTAATATTTCGGAGTTTAAAAAGTTTTGATTTATATTAATAAATGGTTTTTTTTTTTTTTTGATGATTGAACACTTGTGGGCTATAAGTATACCAAAAAAATGTCATGTTATACATTTGAAGGTGCTAGACATTTGAAAATTGAAAGGATTTTAAGAATAAATACATTTTTAAATTTTCTAGTTCACTACCCTGGAGTTGTGCAAAACTGAATATATATAAGAATATGTTAAAAGAAATTTTAATTTCATAGGTTAAGGTAAATTAAATGAAAAGATATTATAAGATATTTCAATAAAATTATTGAATTTATATTTTATTATATTTTGTATTCAGCGAATTACTATGATTATAAATAATTGTATATAATTGCCTAAACAACTAAAATATTTCATTTTTGATATGCATTACAACTGTAACTATATTAGATATTATCTACTTATAATTTAAAATGAGTTATTATTTAAGTTTGGTATTTTTATCAATATTAATTTTATACTAATTTTTTGCGGTTGTTTTATTTACAATTTCAAATAATTTAGGTATGTGAAAGTATTAGTAAATCATCCACGTAGAGTAATAACAATTGTAGTGTTGTTATGTACCAGTACTATTTTAATACCATATTTGATGGGGCGTTTACCACAGTTTTCACATCCTGAACTTGTAAGTTTTATTATGATTATTTGTTTTTATTTTTAAATTTAAATAATTTACATATTAACTTCTCAACTTTAAAGACCTTGGCGTTTTTTCGACAGTAAATTAATTTTTGATATGCATGTGAACAATATAAAAAACAAATCCTTAAAATAACTTTGTTTTATCAGATTTTTCTGTGAAAACTTCAATAACATAAATGGTCTTCGTCTTATTTATATTTCCTTTGTCATCCACTCTTGATTACTGTTCTATTATATGGCCTCCATTCTCTTTCAAACATAAATTATCATTGGAAGCTGTACAAAACAAATTTTTAAGTTTTCTTTGGTTATCATTGTAATATCCCCTGTGTTCCCCACTCTTTTTATGCTCCTATTTTGGATATTCTTTTTTTTTTGATTCTCTTGAATTACGTAGAATAAAATTTGATTTGTATTTTTTGTATAATGTTGTCCATAATAATATTGATTGTCCTGAGTTACTTAGCCATTTGTCCTTTATAGTCCCGCAATTTTTCACCAGATCTCATGTTATATTTTATGTCTCCAACCAACAAACTAATTATGCAATGAATAGTTTGATTTACCATATTATGCAACTAACTAATAAATATAATATAGACCTATTTTCTTTTCACTCATTATATAGCTCTAAGTAAAATTTAAATTACCATATTTTAGGTAATAATTTATTTTAATATTAGACTTTACAATTTTAAATAAAGTTTAATCCTTGTATTTTATTACAATTTAGCACTCTTATATAGTTTAATTTTTATATTTTGTTTAATATTATGTTTGTTTTTATATTTGATTGTGAATTATGTAATACCTACAACCTTTCAAATAATGTATAATCAAACTCTGCTTAGAATAGTTTTTTTTTTGATTTACCATTGTGTGCAGATATACATTAAATTCCCTTTTTATTTTACCCTTCCAACTTCTCTCCTACAACAGTAGCTCATCCATCTTGTGAAGTATGTCCGTGTTTTTTAATATAAAGATAATAATGTGGTTATTGTTTTTCATTTGATATTATCATAATATTTTTTAGTTTCTAAGTTAATATAAAATTATATTATTTTTTTACTACAAAAATATATAATCTTGGTTATTATAACCAAAAATAGTTAAATAATAACAATACTATCAGTGTTGGCACTAGGGGAGGATAAATGGAACTTAAGTCCAGGGCCCTGCGCTCATTTTGGTTTTAATAAGCCCTGCAGTTTATTATTAAATAGGTATACAATCATTTGTTTTACTTAAGCAGAAGTGACCAACTACGACCAGAGATTATTTTTTTATCAGCCCACCAAAATATTATTAAATCAAAATTGAAAATAAAAATTCTAAATTTTAAAAACGTTAGTTAACACTCATATTAAAAAAAAGACATGTTTATGTAGGCCATTTTTTTCTCATTTATAATAACCAAACATAATAAATATTTAAATATACCACTGTAAGCTGTATTTACAATTAAATATAATATTCTATTTTAAATTTAATTTTTTTTTATTTTATATTAATTTTGGCCCATTAAGAATTATTATTTTTTATAGTCCTTTGTAAAAAAAATGTTTCTCATTGCTATACTGAAGCATTATCTTGGGCCCCACAAAACCTAGCGCCGCCACTGACTATCATGTACATGTTTTCACTTTATATAGCTGTAGCCGCTGTTGTAGATTTAGAAGTTTATTAGGTACTATTGATTATTTATCATAAAATTATTAATCAAATAGTTATAAAGGCAGTAAAATAGTTATCTACTTTTACTAATGTAATAACAGTATAATACGCTACAGCAGTCTAGGAATAGATTATTTTGCGTTATTTGTAATGCTCCTTATATTAATTTTAAAATGTACAATGTTTTAAACTAAACCATCAATGCTAGGGGGTATCCTCACTCCTTAAATTAGGTGTAGCAGATACTACACCCAACATTTAGGGTAGGTTTATTTAATTCGGTTTACTTAATATCAAACAGAATAACAAGGATACATGTTGTTTGGATATTCTCATATCGATATAATAATAATATAAGCATTTATTTTAATTCTTACAATATTTTGCATGCACCATAAGGTATATTATTATATTAATAAGTTAAAACTAGAAGAAATTAAAATAATAATAACCACATATTATAGTTTTTGTGCTTTCACACGTGCTTACTCACTGAGGTCTATCATAATATATTAAATTACGTTATAATTATTTAATATTTTGTATCAAATAAACAAATTAATAATACGTTTTTTAAATTTAGTTAATAATGAATTAATTCCATTATAAATAGGGTTTTGAAACACGCGGTACTGAAATCGGTAATCGTCAGGTAGCTTGGGATAACTTAATAAAAGCATTAGAAAAAGGTACCGAGTTGATAGATGATATTACAAGAATACCATCTAATATGTTACCTCAACATTACTCAGATATGGTCTTACGGAAAATTGATGTTATTAATAAAATTGTAAGTACATAATACATAACCTTTCAGCATTCTATGATTTAATTTATTATATTTTAGATTTTGAGTGACGCAACGAAGCTTATAGTTTTATAAAGATGTTTATTTTTTTAAATATTTTTCTTTTTTCTGTGGACAACTATTCTATTAGCAACTTTGCTCCAATTTACAATGACGGAATTTTTATAAAAATAAATCTGATTGGGGAACTATCATAGAGAGGTAATTTTTTGATTTTTCCAGGAGTTTTCTCAATAAATGTAAAATATGAGAATAAACGGGAAAATAGATACAATATTAAACAAATATTATAATGAAAGTATATAATGCCTATGTAATTATTGTACCATAATATAACATTGTTGATTAAGCAATACTGAAGTCCGCTCAGAATCTTTTTTTCATTAGCAATAGTTTATTGTTGCTACAGATATACATTGAATTTTTCCTCTTCTACCTTCCCAACTTATCACTTACAACAGTGACACATTCACATGCAAAGTTGCCAGAATTTTTTTAATTTGTATTTAGGATATTCCACGTTTTAATTTAGAATTTTGACAAAGAATATTTTTCTAAAAATGTTAAATTTTAAACAATTACTTAAAATAATAATTATTTGTCTCATATAATTTCAAATATAATTGCACTTCAATTTTTAATAAAACATTTGTTGTACTTAATATTTAATTTTTATTTTGAATAATAATAATTGTGTTTATTAATATTTTTTTTCAAGACAAATTTGAATTCAGATATGAAGACCACAAATGAAAATAAAAAAATATTATTACCACATACTACCGAATTAGAAGATGAAACATTTGAAGAAACTGAAATGACTTTGAGAAATGATAAAAAAAGACGGAAGAATAGACTGGATTTCTTTTGTTCCAAGCCAAGTATAATAATTATATTATTTATAATTGATTTAATATAATTTCTGATTAAAATAATAATACAAAAAGCCCATTAGCAGCAGAGCTCCTTTACTTGAATTTTCACCAAGCTGACTTTTGTTGTTATAATATTTCATGTTTTAGATTCGGAGTGTAGCGAGGAATCTATTGGTTTTACTGTGATGTGTGTTTTTTATTTTTTGTGTCCGTGAGCAACTTTTCTGCCAGAAAACTTGCTCCGAAGTCTCAAGTGTAGCACTTTTTTTGAAAGGTAATTTTATCTAGTTGGTGAATTAGGGAGGTTACTTTTTGAATTTTTAAGGGGTTTTTAAAATAATTTGGAAAATTATGGAAGCAAATTATATAATTTCTTTTAATGTATAGAACGTCGTTTTTTGATATCTAAAGTATTTTTTTTAAATAATTGTAAAAAACCAAAAAAGACACAAATACAATTTTTTTCAATTTGTATGGCTTATTTTTCTACAAAAAATATTGCTCTAATAAAAAAATAATAAATTTTTAATAATGTATGAATAATAATGAATTTGTATTCTTGTTGGTGAACTATAAATTCGTTTTTTCATTTTTTTTGTAGTTTTTTTAATAATTGAGTAAAACCGAAAAAATACATGGGAAATACAATGGGAAAATTTACGAAAATAATTCTTTTATTTTAAATTTTGTTTTTGTTATGTAATTCAGTTGAAAATATTCGTAGACATGAAATTTTGACAGCATACTTTTTATATTTGCTTTTTTAGATTTCGTAAAATTTTTGAAAAAAAACGAGCTATTTATAGACATTTAAATTTTACCAGTTTTTACTTAATATTTATTTATTAGGTACTCTGTAGGTAAAATTCTTAGAATCAACAAAAATGCTTTGAAATTTTGATTAAAATCATTAATATTACAGTCTTTCAAAACACACATAACAGAACTTTGCTTCAAATTATTTTTTATAAGCAATGTTTTATTGTTACCCATTGGTAACAGGTATAAATTAAATAACTTTTTGTATCCTACCTCAGTTTCAGATTTTATATAACGATAAGACAAAAAGTTTATTAAAATAATTAAAATGGGTAGTTTTTGAGATTTTTATTAACATAGAAAAAGAAAATGGGATTGTGGGATGAAAATTCAAACCTGCTTAAGGCATAGCCTCAACAATAATTCCATTTATGTATACAAAGTTTAACTAAGTTACTTGCTTTTATGAGTCTTATATGAGACTAACCTGACTTAACCTATTTCATGAGTGTGTAAGAGTATAACAATTTCAGCTATTTCCTGTGAAAACATGATATCTGGGTATAACATTAATTTGGGAGAAGTTGAATTTTGAAACTTCCCAAAGGGATATCCTTGATACTCAATTATACCATGGATGTACACAATTTTATCATAATGGCTTTGGGGTTTTGAAGGGGTGTACAAAACCAAAAAACATCCTCCTTCTGTAACAACATGGTAAAGTTTATACTGACATTCAACCAAAATTTTATAACTTTAATCTGTCTATAAAAATAACTCTAATTCTTCAATTTGAGCCCTTTTAGTCCAGTGGGAGCTGCTGTGTCTAAGGTTACTGGAAAAAGATATATAATACACAAAGTGTAACAAAAACAATATGGTACCATAGTTTTTATTTTCAAGTAAAATTCTACAACAAATGATGAATTTTATTATAATATATATTATTTTTCATGGAAAATATATTTTTGTGCAATACAACTTAATGTTATTATTAGAAATATGAACAAATCACCTATTTAAGTAGAAATAGTTTATTTTCGAGTGCTCTAGTGATGAGTTTGAACAAATTAATTTAGGTTAATATATAAATATTAGACCTATATATTTACCTAACCTATGTATATATTTCTGTTATTATTTTCAATATAATTTGTATAGTATTTAATTAAATTTGTAGTTATGTGTAAGAAAGGCAAAAAATATATATATATATATATATAATTAAAAATTGGAAGTTGAGAAAAATTATTTTGTTTCCAAAAATCGAATACAGTCTATAATTATTGAAATGCAATTGTTCTTTTATTTTGATATTAGCTTTACTTGCACAAAATCATAAAAATAAATTTCAAAATAAAAACTATATTCATATTTGGTAACTAATAATACAATTATTATTATAGTTTATGAATTTAAAACAAATTTTCAAATTAATTGAATTTCTAAAAATTTCACTTCATTATTTCATTTATGCTTGAACTCAAAATATTACAATTTATTATTATCTTATATTATAGTGTATTATAATTTTACAGCATATGATCATGCAAGAGTGGTATTTACACTCAATCAAGGTGAAAACCTTTTTACATATCAAGCTGTCAAGGATATGTGTCTTATACAAGAGCATTTAGCAAACTTGATTGAGTATAAAGATGTTTGTGATACACAAGAACAGACCTGTTGCCCACCATGGTCTTTGGTTAATTATATTGCATTATTGAAAAAACATAAGTCCTGTTCTGAAATTATAGTAATTTGAATAACACTTTAATTTTTTCAAATATTCATATTATTAAATTATTACATGTAATTGTGTTTAGCCTAAAGATATAAATTCAACAGCAACAATACTCGAAGGGTGTGCTCATTTTTACCATGATAATGAATTGTTCGAATGGAAAATGGGTTATCGAAACATTCCCCGTCAATGTATTCAATTCAGTGCTGTTTATAACTTGATGCATTATCATTTAGATATGGATTTTATGCCACCGCATGTAATTACAAATTTAAATATTTTTAGTATTAATCAAAAATGCCTATAATTATATTTTCAAATACATTTCATAGGCACCTACTAAGTTTTTAACAAGTTCAATGATGTTTTTGCCATTTGGAAAAGGATCTATTGTTCACTTATATAAAGCAATGAAAGATGCTAATTTATCAACACCATTAGTTAAAATTTCAGCAATTGATTTTGGTAAGATATAAGTTTTGAAACAATCCTTATTTGAAAATATGTATGAATAAAAAAAAAAATTCAGTTTTTTATTATGATTTGTGTTTAATTTTTAGGTATTAAAGAAACATTGTTTGATCTTGAAATCGTCAGAGATATATATCTAATTTTTTTAAGTACTTTTTTCATTATGTTATGTGTATTATTCTATACATGGTCACTTATAATTACATTTGTAACCCTTTTAAACATAATATTTTCATTATCTGTTTCCTATTTTATGTATACTTTTATATTCCAAATACATTTTTTCCCATTTATGAATGTTCTTGCCATTATTGTCCTTATTGGAGTCAGTGCTGATTCTTCATTCATAATGTGCGATGTATGGAAAGCAATCAAGATGAATGATCAAGCTGATTCTTTGGTGGATGTCATTTCTAAAACATTAAAACATTCATTACTATCTATATCGTTATCAACAACAACTACGTTTTGTGCTTTTGCATCATCATTTCTCAGTGCCATTAATGGAATTAGTTGTTTTAGGTAATATTTTATTAAAATAAAAGTATTATTAAAGCAAATATATTGTTCTTATCATGTTTGTTATTAGTATTTTTTCAGCCATGGCAGTTTTAGTGAATTTGTTGATAACCTCAAGTCTTTTGCCATCATGTATTGTGCTCTTGAGTTCACAGCATAGTCAAAATATTGTAGTATTTGATTTTGGATTAGTTGATAAATTTCTCTCAATGGAACGAATGCTACATCAAGTTCAAACCAAATTTAATGCATGGTTATTAAAAATTGTGTTTCGCTTTCGCTGGGTCTGGATAATATTTTTTTTTACTCTGGGTCTTTTGAGTGCAACTGTCTTATGGATATGGCCTGGCATCAAATTACCAGAATCTGTGGAATTTCAGTTATTTAGAGAGTCTCATCCTTTTGAACAATATGACTTAATATATAAAAACCAATTTTGGTTTGAAAGAATTTTAAGAGTAAGGCAACCTTTAGAATTATTAAAATATTTTAGACAATACGAATATGTCTGTTGAATAATAAAATTTACATTTTCTAGATTGATAATAATCCAGAAAATCGTGTTCCATTGCGCTTTGTCTGGGGTTTACTTCCCAGCGATAATGGAAATCATTTAAATCCTGAAGATCATGGAAACCTAGTGTATGATCCAGAATTTGATATAGCACACCCCAAATCACAAGTGTGGTTGTTAGAATTTTGTGAGAACTTACGTCGACAACCCTTTTATCGAGCTGTTGGAGGGCCACAAATGACTAACTGTTTTATAGAAACTTTTATAAAATGGATGAGCCATAATTGTATTAATAATCTTGAACTTAATCGATGGCCATGCTGTAATTCCTATTCGTTTCCATATCCGAGAAATATATTTCATTTTTGTATTTTAAAAGCAATGTATATTGTATACAGCACACCGAGTACTATATTTATTCCATCTGTAGCTGGACCTAAGTTTTCTAATCCATTATTTCATCCACTAAATCAAACATTTGTGCCAATCATAAAAGCTGTTGTTGTGGAGTTTGAAAGTAACTTTGCTTTTACTACATCATATGTTTATATGGAAGCATTTTATAAACAGGTAATCTTTGTTTTACTAATAAAATATTTGTGAACTTAAATAAAAAATATATTATTTCTTGTTTTTTTAGGTTGAGGCGTGGTCATCTAAAATGATGGAAAAAGCTCCACCTGGCCTTAAAAAGGGCTGGTTTTATAGTCATCTTGGTTTTTATGATCTTCAAAAAATGTTGATTGAAGACACCATAATGTCAGCTTTTATTGCACTTTTTCTCGCCTTTATTATAATGTTTATTGTAACCACAAGTATTTCTTTAACAGTCATCACAGTGGTTACCATATTTTTTATAATTTCCACTACAATTGCTGTGTTAGTTTTGATGGGTTGGCGTCTCAATGTCCTAGAATCAATCGCTACTTCTGTAGCTATTGGTTTATCAGTAGATTTTAGTCTGCATTATACAATTGAATATCAGCTAGCTTGTGAAGATTCTCCAAGAGCAACAGCAATATCTAAGGCTTTATCTTTAATGGCCTGTCCATCACTGATGGGTGCAATAACAACAGGTGCAAGCGGTGCATTTATGTTGCCTTCAGACGTTTTACCTTACGCTCAGCTAGGCGTGTTTTTAATCATCATAATGTTTATCAGTTGGTTTTATTCAACATTTTTTTTGGTATCATTATTATCAGTATTCGGTTCAGATGATCATGGACCATACCCGTATCATTGTTGTAGAAAATTACGAGATGTCAATGTAAATGCAAAGCATAAACGTTGTTCAAGACATGCTTCTCCATTTTCTAATGTTGCATCAGAGTCAACTGTATCATGTATAAGTACTGCAATTGTAAATCAATCACCGGCCCATGAGTTGGACATTTTAACTGTTCATCCTGTGAAATTTCAACCTTCCAACTCCAAAGCTGCTACTTCATCTTTGTATTTAAATATTGACAATGACAATTTGGTTAAGAAAAGTGAAAATAATGTCGTACATATATAATAACCTCATTCTTAAACATTTAGGTTCTAATATTAATTTAATTGAAACAAAATATTAAATAATTATTAGAACTGCTTATGCTCAATTATAGTTTATTAATTGATACTAAAAATTGGTTCAATTATGTAAGTAATCAAAATTATGTATGTATTTAGATTGTAAGTATGTTTATGTATATTATTTTTTTCGATCTCTTTTATGGAAAATGTTTTTATTTTTGATTATTTTTTTGATGTACCTACTTTTGGAGTCTATGTGTGACTTTGATAGTATGTTATTCTTATTCTTATTATGTAATAAATATAATATTATTATACGTAGTACCTATTGTATTAATATTGTGGCTTCTATGACTATAATTTACTTATTGTTACCTGCCCTACTTTTCAGCTATACCCTATTTACATTTTATTGTCAAATTAAGAAGTAATTGATAAGTGAGATTTAGAATTGTAACATTAAACTGTATTATTGATTTTTAGTTTATTTTTAATGGTTGTAATTGCTTACATTGTTTAAATATTAGCTAAAAACAAACACTATAATACTGTTGCTCGTTGACATTAAGGTTCTGCAAGATAAATACTTTAAATGATATAATCAGGAATGATATAATTTTGTTTAGATATCATTTAATTTATATTTAATATTCTGTTATGGAACACCATTTAAACTTTTATTAAAATTAAAATTAACAATAAAGAAAACCTAGTTTATTCAATATGTTTATGTTATTGTAATTTTAATTTAATTGATTTTATTCAAAATACAGATATAAATTAATGTTTAAGGTTTAACTTTATATTCCAAAAATACATTTTTCATCCTATCTTAGTGTAATATATGAATGAATAAAAATTACCCATATTGGATATGATTGAATAGGTAGTTTTGAAATTATTTGAAGAAGGAAAATAAATATTAAATATTATTGATATATATAAATTAGTTTACATCAGTTTAATGGGAGTAAAATATAAGCATCTATTATTTTATTTCGAATAGTTATAACTGTGTGATTATAATTTGCCAATGAAAAATATAAATTTTTTTATTTTATATTTTTTGTATTAAAAGTATATATTATATAGGTCTAATTTTTGATTACTCATATTGGCCATGTCTTGTAGGTGTACCTACACCTAAATACATATTTTCAGTATTGTGGATGAATTAATTGAATTTTTCTTTAGCCTAAAAAAAAATTAATGAGTGCTAAAGAGCTCAATTATTAGAATAGCTGATTTAGGTATGATATATTATATATACACGATAACAACCTTCAGATCCCTTTTCTGCATGAATATTAATTTGTGTATAACATTTATCTGTTTTCATCTATTTTATAAATAATAGTACCTTATATCAAAATTATTGCCGAATTCAGCCTTGTAAGAAGTATTGGAAGTGAATAATTAGTTAGTGAAATAATCGATAAAAATTAATTTGTGCCATTTTTGGTACAATATGCGAAAAGGGTTGTGCTAATAAAAATACTAGTTTAGGTAGGTATGTAATTAAATATGTACTTTGAATTAAATATAATAGGTAAATAATTAAAAATCATACAAGTAGGTACTTAGGTATTTGAGACAGTTCATCATAAGTTGTATGTATAAGCGGTAAACAAAATATACATTTTTTACAAACATTTGAAGTTCCGATTTCGATGGAAATTATTACATTACTTATCTAGTTAGAACGTTAGTTACCTAGATGTATACAACTAGGAGATATTTTATTGATATTTTCGGTTGATTTCTGTATAAATATTAAATTAAAAAATACCACTGTTAAACATTTTTTTTTTTTATTCAAATTCTCCTAGTTAATTGCATCAAATTTTGATGTCTGGGGATTTCTTTTTAATTTTTACATTTTAATCTGATTCTTCCTGAAGATCTACCTATAATATAACATGGTGTTATTTATTTACCTATTGAAATAAACGCCAAAGTTGGTTCAACTACAAAAAAATATAAGTATACCAGTTAAATACATTAATTATATGATTATAATATACAGTACCTATATATAAGTAGTTACAACTTATATGGTGTTATTCAGGGATGGGCAGTAATCAGTTACATGTATCAAAGTTACGTAATTCGGTTAACTTTGTAATTTGTAACTTGTAACAATTAGATAACTTAAGTTACAAAAATTATTGAAAAAAAATAATTCAAAATTATTACAACACTAATACATTATTATCAATACTACAATAATTATGTCATTTTTGTATTCAATAAAAATGATATCACGTGAGTTAAACTTGAATATTTTCATTAAAGACTGAGAAAGCTAATTAAATATGATGCATTTTATAATTTTTGTTTATTTAGATAGGTACCTACTACCTATAAAATGCTAATATTATCATAAGTCGTAGAAAATACATTTTTTAAACATTCAATTACTCGTTCTGAAATCTTGATAATTAAATACTATAAGTATAATAATAATAGGTGATATTATGATCATCATGGAAATCAAATTGTATTGATGTAAATAATATTTAGAATTCCGTCATGAATATAGAAGCCTGGAAAAACCGTAGATATGATTTAGTATGAAATACGACGTATGTATTTTGAAATTTCCTAATCTAATCGTATAAAGATAATCACAACTCTAATAAATATTATAACAATAAAATTGCAAATTTGTAGGTACTTTGAACAATCATGGCATTACTGGTTTTAGTTTAACCGAACTTACTTGTGTGTCAGTTAAGGTTATACTTTATTAGTGTCTGTATTTTTTTGAGTTTTGATACGTTTTTTTGTTAAATATAGATAAAACACCCGCTATAATAGATGGAAAATTGTTTGAAGATGTAATTGTTAAGAACGAAATTGTGAAAGCAATATGTATGATATGTAAGGAACAGAAGAATGAAAAAAAAAACAATATTTGGTTCTTTTAAACTCAATTCGAATTTTTGTACTCATTTGAAGGCAAGTTTTAATTTTTGTAGTTTAATACAATATGCATTATTAATTAAAAAGGCGTGGAATTATGATTTAATTTTCTACTTTTCAGAGGTTTTACATTTGGACCATGCCAGGAGGAGGTAATAGATATCAGTTGGATTATATACTAGTAAAAAAAATATGTGGAAATCAGGTAAAGCAAAGTAAAAGCTACCCAGGGGCAGACATAAATTCAGATCATAATCTGGTAATCATGGAAACAAGATTATGTCTTAAAAAGTCTACAAGAAATAAAGAGATAAAGAAAAAATGGTGTATGGAAAAACTTAACAGTAAGGAACAAGGTAAATCGAATAATACGAGTAAAACCAACAAAAACACTGGGAAATTATGAGAATACATGGAAATGGTTTAAAGAAGCAATCACAAATACAGCTGACAAGATTTTAGGGAAAACGAAGAACAGTCCAATAAAGCCGTGGATTAGCACTAGACTAGTAGAACTCATAGAGACAAGGAGAAAGTATAAAAATGGAAAAACAGATGAGGATAGGAGATAGTACAAAAAATATAGAAACATGGTGAACAAAGAAGCTAAGAGAGCAAAAGAAGAATGGTTTGAAAACATGTGCTCAGAAGTAGAAAATTGTCTAATAAGAGTCTTAAGTGATAAAGCATATAAAATTATAAAACGGTTCTTTGGGATATACAAAAGCGGAGGGAAAGTGCTTAGAAGAAAAGATAGTAATATGGTTCTAGAAGATGGAGAAAAAATTCTAGTATGGAAAGAATACATAGAAGAGTTATACAAAATAGGAAACACAGGAAAAAGGCATAGAACCCCAGAAGTGGAAAATGGAAATTATTACTATAGGACCACCTACCATCATGATGGAAGAAATCAAATTAGCAATAAAGGAACTAAAATGTATTAGAGCCCCTGAAATCGTAATCTGTGTGGCAAATTTCTGATAGCCTTAGAAGGAACGGGAAAAGAAGCGCTGTGTAATATAACAAATGCCTATGAAACAGGAGAATTGCCTGAAGACTTCGAAAAATGTGTAATGATACTTATACCAAAGAAGCAAAAAGCTAAGAGATGCGAAGAATATAGAACATTAAGCCTAATATCCCATGCGTTGAAAATTTTAACAAAGATAGTACATAAACGGATAGAAAAGAAAATAGAGGATATTCTAACAGAAGATCAATTTGGGTTTAGAAAAAATAGAGGAACAAGAGAAGCAATTCTATGTCTTAGACTAATTATAGAAAAAATGTTCAGAATAAATAAACCCATATATATAGCCTTTGTAGATTTGAAAAAGACATTTGATAATGTTAGATGGGAAAAACTTTTTCTTATTATGGATAAGATAGATATCGACTTTAAAGACAAAAAATTAATACATAAATTATATATAAATGAAAAGGCTGTAATAAAAGGCAAATAAGGCACATACAAAGAGGTGAAAGTGCTAAAAGGGGTAAGACAAGGGTGTAATTTATCACCTACTTTATTTAACTTATACATTGAGGAAGCGCTAAAAGATCTGAAAGAGGAAGATATAGGAGGGATCAAGATTGGTGGGATGCTAGTTCAGATGCTTCGATTCGCAGATGATATTGCTATGGTAGCAGATAGTGAAGAAAATCTAGAAAGAATGCTTCAAAAAATGAATAATACACTTAAACAAGAATACAATATGAATATTAATAAGACAAAAATTAAGATACTAGTTGGTAGCAGACAACAAGTTGACACTAACATAATCATGGATGGCATCAAGTTAGAAAACATAAATAGTTATACATACCTTGGAAGCAGAGTCATGAGTAACGGGAAAAGTGCCACAGATTTTAGATGTAGAATAGCACAAGCTAAACAAGCTTTTTTCAAAAAGAAGAAACTTCTAACCAGAAATGTAATAAATATAAACATTAGAAAAATATTAATGAAAACACTTGTATGGAGTGTGGCACTATATGGAGCTGAATCGTGGACAATATTAAAACCTGACCGAAGAAAAATAGAGGTTTTCGAAACATGGTGCTGATGAAGGATCTTAAAAATTCCTTGGATAAATAGAGTGACTAATGAAGAAGTGTATAAGAGAATAAATGAAAAAAGATCAATATGGACGATAATCGTGGAGAGAAAGAAAAAGTAAATAAGACATCTCATAAGGAATAATATATGGATAACGACTATAATTGAAAAAACCGAAAGGAAGCCAGGAAGAGGAAGACCTAGGCAGACATATATGAAACAAATTATGATGGATATAGGAAGAGAGTCATAAAGAATATAAGAGAGTCGTAATGAATAGAGAAGAGTGGAAGAATATTTCATCATACTGAAATCATCAGAAGTTATTAGTTATATAATTAATTGTTCTTTAAAATACCCTGTTATTACTAGATGGAATTAATTATATGATTCCATATCTCAATTAATTAAACATAAATCAAAATTAAACACCATGACTAAAGAGTTAGGTTTAAAGTATTAATTTAACGAAACTGACATAAGTTATTTGACTGAATTTGTTTTAATAATGAAACCAATCGCTGGTGCTCTGGATCATCTACAAAGTGAATCAAATTTTTACTATGGCCATTTAATTCCTACTTTATTTTCATTAAAAAGTCGATTGCAATTATTAAAGGAACAACATTAGCTTTATACTTTCAACTTCATCAATCCATTAATAACCTCGTTAGAAAAACGATTCAAACTATATTTTGATCTCTCCCCTGAAGTTGATGAAGCTATATCGGCATCTTGTTTTTATCCTACATTTAAATTAAGATGGATTCCTGAACACTATGAAATTATGAAAAATAGAGTTAAAAATCTTTGTATCAACACTGCAGAAAAATATATAGTGAATTCTTCTCACACTGAATCATCAGTAGATAATATAGATGATGGGGACTTTTTAATATTTTCTTTTTAGGAACAGTGTTTTGATTCTAGGGCTAATTTAGAAGTAGTTCAATTTTTTAACAATAAAAATGAGGCATTAACATGTTTAGATAGTTATCCTACTGTAAAAAAATTATTCACCAGATACAATACAAGTTTACCATCAGCTCCAGTCGAAAGATTGTTTTCGCCCCAAATAGAGGTAATTTATCGAATGCTAATTTTGAAAAACTTGCTTTCTTAAAGGAAATGATATTTATAGTTAATATTATTAACATCATTTGTAAATAATAGTGCTAATAATATGGACAGTATGATTGACTCATTTTTAATTGATTTATAAAAACTAAAAGTGTATTATCATTTTAATTAATAGATCTATGCAACAAAACTAAGATAAACAGTACTCACTTATTTGAATTTATTTTTGACATCTTTATATACCATAAGAATAATATTTTGCATTATTTTTAATTCTAGTAAATATTTAATTTTAAAAAATTTAAATTTATAAAAAATTATTTTATGACCACAATATTATAATATGTATCTACATGTTTGTTACATATTATTTTAAATTCTATAAAATACTTATTTTATGATAATATTTAAGAAAGCTTTGTTAGGTTAAAACAATTAGTTATATTCATGTACAAATAAATAAAATTATAAATATTGGGACTATTGGAAAGTATACTGTTTATGCATTATAAAGTACCTATCATTAAGTTTCATTGTAAAAATTCAATAATTTACTTTTAATGAATTTTTATAATTCAAATTATTAATTTGTTCATTGAATTATATTTTATTATAAGTAATTTTATGTGCTTAATGTTTTTTTTTTTTTAAAAAAAAATTGAATATATTTTATTTTGTATTTATGTGTAACTTGTAACCATTTATTTAGGATATATGTAACATGGAACTTGTAATCAGTTATCCAAAATTAAAGTAACTTGTAATTTGTATCCAGTTACACTATGTACTGTAACTTGCCCATCTCTGGTGTTATTAAAGCCACACATTAGACCAAATAGAAATACTTGAAAATTTAACATGAGGTTCATTTTAAGTCATACATAATACATATAGTGGTTAAAAACAAATAAATTGATTAAGTATCTAAAATAGAATTTTTTTCATAAGAATTAAAATATCAAATTTTGACAAAAATTGTAAATATTATGGCCTTTCAAACCATAATGTATAACCGAACTCCGCTCAGAACTGTTTTTATCAATCGTTGCATATAAATATATATTAATAACTACCCTTTATATCCTACCTTTCCAACTTCTCACCTACAACAGTAGCCCATCATGTAAAGTTTGTCAGTTTATTTTTTTTGTCTTCCGTTATATGTACGTTAGTAGATCAACGTAAGGTGGTTAATGTGATCCATGTATATTTGTTTATTTTTTGTTTCCATGATTGTGTGAAACGATTATTCCGATCTATACCGAATAGTTATATTTTTGGGGATATCCCGAGTGCGTCCCGTTTAACATTTTTACCTTTTTTATAACCCGAGTGCGTCCACAATTGTATGATAAATAATTATCCACAGTTGTAGCCTCGTAGGTAACCATTTTATATTTAAGATTTAAATAGTGGGGAAACAAAATTTTATTTCAATTTTGATAATTTGTGATGTCCAAAAACGACCATTTTTCGTTATCGTAGGACAAACGTACGTACAACCGATATAATTGACCGGTTAATAGATTACGCCCGCGTCGACGAATATGTTGTCATCATGAACAATAATTCCTCCCCCCCCCCTGCGCAAAGGTTTATGCGATCGCGATCTTTTGCAATTCGCAATAACGGCCAATCAGATCACGTTTCCCCTTATCGCCAAAAACGTCGATCCGTGGCGACGTGTGTGTCACGAACGTCTCCGCGCACCGCTACCCAGTTTCATTTTTTCGTTCGTTCCTTTCGTTCTTCGTGTCCAGACCTTTTCTCGAGACTTCGTCACCGGACGGTCTTTCGGTACTGTTCTTTTGCTAAAAACACTCTCGTACTGTACGGGTTCGCATATTTTTGCCATTAAGAAAGGTCGTATACCTTGGCATGTTTCCTGATGGTGCCTCAAATGAACTAATGGAGTGAGTCCCGATCTGGTCAGCTGGGCGGACATCTTCGGGCGAGATGATTGGTAATATACATGTAGTTTAATAATTGGCCGATACCCCGTTTAGTTAGGTAGTTTTAAGTTGGTTTAGTTAATGTCCCCCGTTTAAATACTTGGTTTAAAATGTTTTTTTTTCTCGAACAATCGTTAGTTCAATATCATATTCACACTTTCCAACACAATATTTTCCCGTTTGTATACGCGTCCTACGGTCCGCGTTGTGTATGATTTAATATTTTGTCTATGTTAAATTTTTCCGCTATACCTACGGGGATCAACCGGGGTTTATTAAGTTGTGCGTCCGTCTCGGTGTAGTAATTCCCGCGTTCCACATCCTATGTGCAATAGGCAACCCCCCCCCCGAATTTTGTTTTTTTATTTTTTTTGTATTCCTTTTTAGGCACTCAGCTTCACAACCACGTGTGTGTACGTATTTAAAAATCTATATAATATCGATCGATTCCTCCATTTCGCGATCCGTGTTCGGACGCACCCTGCAGGTTAACCCGTAGGGCCACCATAACCACGGCCCAATCAATTTGGAATAAAAGCTTTCAGCTACTTTCTTGGTTATAATATGTGACCTGACAAACCTCACATTCCTGCTGGAGTCTCCCAAATATATATTGTGTCCACGAAAATTCCACGTGGAGGGAGGTCCGTCTCAATATATATATATAACGATCTGCACGCACGTGGATGTGAATTCGTCATTATTAACAAGTAATAATAAATCCCGGCCTGCGCGCTCCCATTGTATCAATATTCGGTCCGGACGACAAGTTTTGGATTGGTTGATGCCCCAGTCACCTTGAGATAAGTTTCCACCTTGAGGTAAGCCTGATGGGACTGAATATGTTGAAGACCTGTAATCAGGCATGTAGCCAGAGGGACCTGGGGCCCATCTTTAATTTACTCTAGCCCAGGGTTGCCCCCCAAATTCAAAATACAATTATTTTTACCAAATTATTAAAAATGTGATTATGCACATTGAAATACATCTATTGTGATTACTACTAGGTAATACAATTATTATATTCGTGGATAACGTCATATGAAAAACATAAATAATAGGGTCTCGATAAGTTAGGTACCCACCTATTTAAAACTCTAAACTATTCGTTTATATATTAAACTATATCGTCTACTATTCTGTCATCGTATATATACAATATTTTCTTCAAGTGTTATACTTCATTCCTCAAGCATATTGTCTGGATAATTATACTTTATATATTTTGAATAATAACTTTTAAAATATTATTTTGTTCTTGTTTCTGAGCGGAGCGAGGAATCTATTGGTTTTACTGTTAAGCGTGTTTATAATTTTTTGAATTTTAGAATTTGTATGTTATACAAAAAAAATCTAGACATAAAAAATCTCTATGTAAAATACGTACATTTTAATAATAAAATAAAACCCATAAACATTTATTATACTTATTATTTCAAGTTAATAAAAAATACAGACAATTTAAAAATAATTGTTTAAAACGCATGACTTTCGTATGCCACGAGTGTTATGACGTAAGTTGTCTACTCTGCTATAATTAAAAATTCTACAATACTTTGTTAGGTTGTTGTGTCTTGTGTATATTAATGATCAAATATATCCAATATATAGGTACATTAATAAATTATCATCAGTGAACACTGATAATATACGAAAATCATGTTTTAAAAAAATTGTTTATTGCCCGTGTTTTTATTAATTTAAAATATTAAATAATAAGTATAATAAATATTCATGCTTTTTATATTTTTATTATTAAAATGTACGTATAATTTACAACGGGGCATTTTTTACTCAATTAAATTCTTATATATTATTATCTTTTACACGTGATGGAATTTTTAAAACATTTTGGAGACGTTTGAGCTATTATTGAGCTATTATATACATAATACATTTGAAATTTTCGAATTTTTTAGTTTTTATTTGATTTGATGTAGACACAATGTTTGGTCGAACAGAAATGCTTGAGAATTTAATAAGATGTTCAATATAGGTAAGTTAAACTAAGTATTAAAAAAAAAGTAGTCTTTATTTTTATATTTGTAAAAAATACGAAATTTGAAACTATGTACAACCGAATTTTGTTCAGAATTAGTTTTTGTTAACAATGGTTTATCGTTACACGTGTACAGATATAAATTAAATAACTATGTTTCCTATACCTTCCCAACTTCCACACTTAAAATAATGGCACATCTATCCTTAGTATCAGCTCTTTTAAAATATGTTTATTAATAATTATTCATTATACGAATTTTCATTTTAATATGTATACAAAACAAATATGAATATTAGTTTTTATAGTTTTAATAACTCTGATCATCGAAGCATAATCAGGGGGAATTTTGCTTTGGCTTTTTTGCAGTTGAGTTGGCTCTATTCAGGCCGTCTCGTCATTTCATTAATATAATATTATTAAATAAATCATCGGCGTGTCCAAAATAAGTTAAATAAAAACTTTATTAAAAACAAATTTAATTATATGCCAATGATTGCAAATCAGTTTTTATTTGGGAAAATCGTTTGAAAAAAAAAATATATTTTTTTCATGGTTAAATATATGATATTTTTATGAGAAAAAGAATATTATTAGTTATTAATTATTATATAGTTTATTACTTATTATGAAAACTGTGAATTTGTTTTATTTTGAACGTTTGCTATTATTACCTCGAGTATTACCTATTATTAACTTTAAGGAAGACAGTGGACAGTTTACTAATAGTTGACCGGCAACACTCATTTAGCTATACTATTTTAAATCGATATTAGTTTGTGCCATAATTTAACCATTTTTCGTCACGGGGGTTAGTTATCGATCCAAAATTTTCACAATATTATTTGTTCTTATCACTTAAAAACTAGTACATATTTTGAATTTGGAAGGGGGTAAATCACAAACGGAAGTAACTAGGTGTACAAATAAGGCGGAAGTATTGGAAGTCTGAATTCTAATGTTCAAAAATTTGACTTGTGGTTTACACCCTTGAATTTTGTAATAATTTTTTTTTGACTAATCTCTATATTTATATATATTAGTTTATTT